CCTCTAGTGGTGTCTAGCCATGCAAGTTTTAGTTTCACATGAGGTTTTAGAAGTGGAGTTGGTGAATGGATATTAGTTTGTGGCACAGCACTGAAAAATTATATTTAAAGAAGTCAGCTGGCAACATCTCTCTCCCCATCTTGATAATCTCTCCACCTCACAGTCAACAGTTCTCATACAGACTGTTTCTTCAGTAGAAAGTGCTAATGTGCCATTAGAAATTTGATCACCAAAAATATTAAAACTAGAACTCCAACTAATGGTTATTTTCATTATCGACCAATCAAAAAAACAATCAGCAGATGAATCATTTGGTGTATAAAATGACAGAAAATAGTGAAACACACAAAAAAATACAAAAATTTTAATTTCTGTTAAGCCCAAGGTGATATACTCAAAATGCTGGTTGTCTTACCAACAGTCTAAAACCCAAATACATTCAGTTTATTATCACATAAGACAAAGAAAATGCAACTACAAATACACACTCAACTTGTTATTGAAAGTTAATGTTCTCCAACCTTTCCCAACACTCTCAGATTCCACCCTCCCAGTGTTGTTGGGGTGATGGGGAGTGCTGCAGCCTCTGCTAAGCTCCTGGGTCTGTCCCCTGCACAGTGCAGTCATGCTCTGGCTATTGCAGCCTCCTCTGCTGGGGCTCCGTTGGCCAATGCTGCCACACAAACCAAACCCCTCCATATAGGAAATGCTGCTCGGAGAGGCCTGGAGGCCGCTCAGCTGGCCAAGATGGGTCTGGAGGGGAATCCAGACATCCTGGATTTGGGCCGTGGGTTTGGGGTTTACTATACGGACTACAGTCCTTCAGCAATGGCAGATTCCACATCTAGTGACTTTAAGTGGATTCTGGAAGATCAGGATGTGGCCTTCAAGCGCATCCCTGCTCATCTAGGGATGCATTGGGTTGTGGATGCAGCGCTGGCAGCCCGCGCAAAGCTTGAAGATACAGCCGGGAACTTTGACCTCAGCCAGATCAGGCACGTCACACTCAGAGTGCCTCCATCCAAGTACGTTGACTGCCCCTTACCGGCCTCAGAGCACCAAGCTAGGCACTCATTTCAGTTCAACGCCTGCTCCGCCCTGCTGGATAACAAAGTGACGGTGTCTTCTTTCAGTGAGGCTCAGATTAACCGGCAGGCTCTGAAGGAGCTCTTGTCCAAAGTCAAGGTGGAGACGCCTAAAGGTAACCAGCCCAGCTTTGACAAGATGTACTGTGAAGTTGAGCTACAAACCTATCAGGGGAAGAGTTATGTGGCCAGATGTGATACCTTTTATGGCCACTGGAGGAAACCACTGAGTCAGGAGGACCTGGTGGAGAAGTTCAGTGTTCATGCTTCTTCAGTGTTGTGCACAGAGGGAGTGGAGGGCGTGATTGACGTGATTGGAAACATTGAGAGAGTGAAAGAGTGCTCAGTTTTGGGTTCTTATCTGAGGATGACAAGTAATCAACACGAGCAGTTATACAGCTCAAGGAATTTGTGATTATTCAGTGTTTGATGAAGCCAATGTAACGAGGGGGTTATATGTGTGTGAAGTCATTTAATATTTTGAACTTGCACAGAATGAAATATCAAAATGTAAATATTTTATATTCATATTTTTCAGAAATAAAGTGAAAGTGAACTTTTACATTTTATTGCATTTTTTTTGTACAAGACCACACTTGCTGTTGATTTTCTAACAGACTGATCCACTGTGTCACAATACAATTCATGAAGATTGAGTCAAACAGAGATTTTTGCTACATAAATTAGACAATGTATGTAATGTAATACACATTATGATTCTCTTGAAGTGCTTTTGATCAAGGGGATACTGTAGGGTCTATAACTATCTCTGTTCAGCAGGCAGCTACTGTTGAGCTCACTAATACAGCAGTCCCTCATTTTCTTCCGGTTTCCACCATCCTTTGATTATTGGTTGAATCAAGCAAGTTTCAGCACGCCCTGCACCATCGTTCCGATTCCGTCAAATATCTCGTGGATCGGGGCGTTGCACATGAAGGCACTGGTGGTGACCAGCTTGTTCTTCTCATCCAAGTGACTCTCGCTGACACTCTTACTCATGTGTTTGCAGCCCAGTTGGTTGATGGCAGCTGCCGTGTCAGTAGTGTCGGGGTACCTGGGAAAAACCACAATGTTTATCTAGATGTGACTGTGCTAAAAGACTAGAGTGTTGTTTGCGTTTGTTGCGCTAATAGCTAATGTAGCCTCTAGCCGCTCTTCTCAAGCAGAGATGAGGAGCGGCTACAGAGGTCAGCTCACTTCTCTCAAACTCCACACCTCCAGATTTTAACTCCATTTGCAAACTTGTAGTCTTTAGCCCAACTGATGCTCAGGCAATTTATCCAATTTCACACAGCTTTCTCTGGAGCCACAAAAGGTCTTACATAACTGTTTTCCACATTTGCAGAAGTACTCCCCCATAACCTGTAAATAGACTCTGACATAAAATTAGTGAAGTTCCCCTTTGAGACATATCCATGTTGCTCGGGCAAGTTAGACTCACTTGTCATCCTTCTCGATGCCAACGGTGACCTCACATCCAGGAAACACCTTGGCAGCCAGAACAGGTGAGATGCAGCAGAGGCCGATGGGTTTACTCTCGCCGTGGAACGCCTGCAGCACCGCCTTGACCTCGTCATTAACAGAGCAGTCCTTCCCCTGCACTGCCCACGTACAGAGGTTCTTCGCTGCACCAAAACCACCTAAAAGACAAAGAATATGAAAACATATACCTATACAATTATTTTTTACACTCTCAAATCGTGTAACAACACAACCAGATGAGATCCTTTTGGAAAGGGCGCAGGCTATCATGCTGTTGTGACCAAACCTGGGAATATAATAGCGTCATGGTCTTTGACACTGAGTTTAGACAGGTCCTGGATGTTTCCACGGGCCAGCCTCGCACTCTCCACCAACACGTTTCTCTTCTCCTCCGATGGTTCGCCTTTCAGGTGATTCACCACATGCATCTGGTCAATGTTGGGGGCAAACATGTTTACCTGCAGTGGATAAAGCAAACGTGAGGACTCTCATTTCATTTCCAAAAATAGCCAGAATAGATACCATGAGGACATCAACTAATGATTAGCTTTAACTGTTGATCTGTAACATTTGAATACATTGTAAAAATACCCACCACGAATTCCTGAAATCCAACATGATGTTAGCAAATTAATAAAAATATGCAATTTATAAATTATATAAAACTGAAAAAACAGCCAATCCTCTTATTGGGGAAGATAACTTAATAACTTAAAATCATTGTCATTATGCATTTTACAACACTTAAAGAAAACACTGCGTGTGACACTCAGTCAGGTTGCCCGTTAGAGCGAATCTGGGACTGAATGTATTTTTTGGAAATGCAAAAGATAATATGAGAATTAAACAGTCTCTGTTAGTCGACTCAAGTGGGTATTTTGCAGTCTTTTTAGATAAATTAATAAATAAATTCCTTTTTTATGTTTTCCTGGAAGTGTTTCATTCATGTTGCTGTGCTGAGTAACACAGAGAAGATTTCCTACTAAAACTTTATGGTTTAATAATCTGATTGTTGAATCCTCATATTGCCTTAATTTGTTGGAATAAACTTCTTTGAATATAGCAATCTTAAAAACAAAAAAACTAAATAAATAGTATTTGTCGTTAAATAATAAAAAAATAAAATATTTCTTGTCAGCAAGGATATGTTGAAGAAAAGGATGCTGATGTAGGTAACACTTCAGCAGAGAAGGAGTGAACATCCTGTCACTTATAAATTAGCTCTGAAGGATCAACACAGTTAAGAGTATCAGGCGGCCCACACTGGAAACTACCACACACACACACACACACACACACACACACACACACACACACACACACACACACACACACACACACACACACACACACACACACACACACACACACACACACCCACTTACAACATGCAGTCAGTATCTGCAGTTGCATACAAACTTACACTTGCACCTCCTCTGCTCAGGTGGACCAGAACAGCGGAGGCCTCGTGGATCTCACTGCCGTCATAAACCCCGCAGCCCGCGAGCACCACGGCCACGCGCTTACCCATCTGAGTTGTGTAGTAACTTTTGTTGACCGTCTGCAGCGTCCTGAACGTCAGTATGTTGCGACCACAGTGGTGCAGCAGGGTGAGCATGGCGGACTGTCAGCGAGAGGACGCAGACTTCTTCTCCTGCTGATCACCGACGCTGAAGATGCTTCTCGGTGCTTTAGCGCCACCTGGTGGTTAAACCTGAGCACTGCTGCTTCCCCACAGGCCGGCGGCTGTTTATAAATATTAGTTATTTTTTATTTCACTCTGAACTTAAATGTAATTTACTCAAAGCACATCATTTGTAAAAAACAAAAATTGTAGGTGTAGATTATTACAGTATTTATTATTTTCAGCTATTATTGATCTTTTTTGGATCCGTAATCTGTAGAATAATTAGCAAATGAATTTAAACCATTGAAAACTGTTTGTAACTAAGATTTATATTTATGTGATTAATTAAATAACTTTACATTTCATGATTGCAGATTAAAATTATAATGAATTAAAGTAAATACACTGAGTAATGAAATAAATAAATAATACTTAAATAAATAACCAATAATCTTTCACTGAATAAAATTCTTATATAAAACATGAAACAGTAAAAACAATTTCTTATTAATTAAGAAATATTTGTTTTCAATGCCTTATAAATAAATAAATAAATAAATAAATAAATAAATACCGGTAAAAGGAGCCTGATAAATTAAATTAAATACAAATTTTGGGAGAAAAAAAAGACCATTATATTTTTCTGTATTTATCAATTTCTTTATATTCGCGTTTATTCACATATATCCTTTTCAACATATTTCCACAAGTATTCATTTGATTTATTTACTTCTAAACTCATCTCCACACTTTGTTACTTTGACACACATAACTCGTGTCATGTGCTTTCGTAGCTCAACAAAACCACGTGACCAGTAATGAGGAAGTCAGTTCAGAGGGTGAGGATCATGGGAAGGCAAACTCCCTAACGTCCGTTGTTTCTGTCGGTTTTTCGGAGGGGCTTTAACATGTCTCACACGGAGGCTGTTGTGTGTTTAAACCTGCTCCTGTTTCTCCACGTTGTTCACACACAGCTCAGGAACAACGGACAGCAGCAGTGGCCCGTTCCCTACAGGTACGAACACCTTCCTCTGCTCGGTAGCGTGGAGTCATGTGACAGCTATCACATAGAGGGTCTGTCTGCAGGAGAAAGTTTAAACTGGAGGAGAAATGTACCCTAACTCCAGATTGACTGAGTCTTAAAAACAGCTGTTATGATTTATTGTTCGTGTAGATGTTATACCTACCACAATGTGTGAGTTTCAAACTCAATCTGTCACATTCACGGATTAAAGTAACATCCATAACAACAAGTTGTGGCTGGTGCGTTCACATGACTCTGGAATATTTGGACTCTGCAGCATCTTGCTGTATGAGCATATGAGAAATCATATTTTTGTTGCGCAACAGTACTAATGTAAGTGCAAGCAGTGCTGTAAGTATTGTTTGTATTTGAATGTAATTGACAGCAATGATTGATGGATAAAGTGCAGGCTTTATTGAACAGCAGAAATCTCCTGACACTATCATAAACATTTACTAATTTATTTAGTGAATAAAAAAGGACATCATTTTAGAGAAGTACGTAAGTGATGTATTTTTAACTTAAAGACCTATGTATAAAACAAGACAAAACATAAAGAATGTCTAAACTGTGTGGGTGTGTGATCAGTGTCATATTTAGAGAAATGTTTCTTAGTCTTATTTAGAATAAAACCCATTATGCTGGAGCTGCAATGGATCATATGAGCTACAGGGACCCCAGTGACTTAATGCTGCCTAACCATGTCACAGAACAGCATTTGTTGAGGCCTAAACTCTGTCTGCATTCCTCGTGCCATCAACAGACGGTTTGATCGTCGTCCTGCTGTGGACTCTTACTGTGAAGCTCTCTACCCCTTCTGTCCCACTGGAGACCGAGACGGACGGATTCCCTACATGAGAGACAGCGATGTCGTCTCAGTTTATCGACTGCAGACACCTGTGTGGGAGTTCAAGTATGGAGATTTGCTGGGGAAATTTGTAAGTACATGAATCCTCTGGTTATCAAATAAAACATGTTGCAGATATTTCTTTCTACATCAGATTGAGATCAGGGTTTAGGTTTCCAGAGACTCATGAAACAACCTGGTAATGCCGTTACAATCTTTCTGTCAACTGATAAAGTCTAAATTAAATTGGCTGTGTGTGTTGTAGTTCAAAAATTAATTAAAGTAAATTATAAAAAGAATTTATCTTTTACTTTTTAGTCTCAAAGATTGTTTTGTTTGTCCATTTTGATTAAATTGGTTGTTTCTGTTATTTAAACTCTAATATTGAAACAATTGTGGTTTCTAGTTAAAATTAAAAATTAGTTAAAAAAGACATAAAAAACAAAGTAATTCATCCTGTGTTCATTGTAGTTAATATAACTAATAAAATATAGATTTTGTCAGTGAAAAATAATTGGGTAAAATATTTCAGACTAAATGTGGTTTCCAGGGGGATAAAGTATCCATCAGTAGCACAGATATTCTCTGTGTTGTTGATAATTATTCTCTGAAACTGAGATGAAGATACCACTGTGTTGCTGTGGATGGTAAATCACATGTCTGACACAGACGGGTGATTAAATATAGTGGGGCTGTTAAACTGGAAGTGCAACTTCTGACTTTATTCATAGAAACACAGCTGTACACCCCCCCCATCTCCACACACAGAGAGCCATTTTAATGTCTCTGTTTGGTTCACAGCATATCATGCATGATGCCATTGGGTTCAGCAGTTCAGATACGGGGGCCAACTACACCATGGAGTGGTACGAACTGTTTCAGCTGGGTAACTGCACCTTCCCCCACCTCAGGCCAGAGGCGCCCGCACCTTTCTGGTGCAACCAGGGAGCTGCCTGCTTCTTTGAAGGCATCGACGACTTACACTGGTCACAAAACGGCACCTTGGAGAAAATAGGAGAAATCACAGGTAAGACTTAACTTAATCTTGTATGTTTGGTCATAGAGGCCAACAGAAAATGTAAATACAGTATGAGTGGATTTGTTTTAAAACTTATGCTCTGACGTTTTAACATCATTGAAATACAAGGCTGGTGATACTCTTGCATACAGGTTTATTTTTGGCAACTAATCCCATGAATTGACCAAAACCAACTATTCCCTGTAGTCTATTCAGGTGCCACGCTGTTGCACTTGGGGACATGTTCTTTCATTGTGCTACTGTTTGCTTTGAGTCAACTTGTTGGAGGCACAATAGCTACGTGGTCTCATAGCAAGAAGGTTGTGGGTTTGACTAAGTTTCACTTGCGTCAGGGGTTACTGGTTTCCTTCCTCAGTGCAGTTCAGGAGGTTACCTGTCCATGGTGTCTTCCATGCCTTTCTCCCAGTGCATTCTAGGAACAACACTCCCCTTGAGCCAGAGACAAACTGATTAGATGTAGAAAAGTGATGGATAAACTAATCATTCGACTTTGAAAATGCTGCTCTGTGACCATGACTATTTTTATCGACTTCCAGGGAACCAGTTCAATGACATGGCCCAGTGGGTCCAGGACGACAACGAGACTGGGATCTACTACGAGACGTGGACAGTTCGCTCTGACCCCAGCCCCAACGCCACAGTGTGGTTTGAGTCTTACGACTGCTCTCAGTTTGTCCACCGCACATACAGGAAACTGACTGAGCTGGGAGCCAAGCTATCCAGCAGAACTCAGACCAATTACACCAAGATCTACCTGTACAGCGGCGAGCCCACCTACCTCGGCAACGACAGCGCCATATTTGGACAGCCTGCTCTGAAGAATCTGGCAGTGGACATCCGTAAATTTTACCACACGTTCAGGCCACACCAGTCGTTTATAGACTTTGCCATCAGTCTGTTGGAGGCTTATAAAAAGGTTGTGTTGGACAAGAGCTTCTACCTTTACTACAACTTTGAGTACTGGCATCTGCCAATGAAGCCTCCTTATTTACAGATTACATATGAAGAGGTGCCTTTGCCTTAACATTAAACTTTTACTGCAGTGATTTTAATCAAGGGGTTCAAAATAATAGTTATTTTCATTAATACCGTATCTGCCTTTTGTTTCTTTGTTTTTGATTAAAAGATTGTCCTAAATAAAGCCAAAGATATTATAAAATCAAATGTTCACATTTTTGAATTTGAAACCAGTGAATGTTTGGCATTTTTTTCTTCATAAGCAGAGTTTAAGAGTTTGCTGTGTTAAAAGGTGCCTTGTGGGGATTTCATTGTAAGCAAACAAAGTTCTGTTTATATTCAGTGTTTCGCACTGAACAAGCCTTGAGGCATGGCAAATGTGTTTAAAGCATTCCCTTCCTTATAAAACATTTGCAAAGCTTTTTTTTAATTATTTTAAATTGTGTATTGTTTATAACCATGTTTGTTAGCTTGCAGTCTTCTTCTCCCCTTAAATTTGAAGCCTTTGGAAATATGTATGCCTGAGAGCAAAATAACAGTGTTTCAAATCACTACGCTCATTGTTAATACATTCCTCACCTGTACTGGGATATTTAGGCCATTCTGTCCATCAAATAATCGTTTTACACATCGGTTTTTTTTTTACATAAATCTGTGTTTTTCCAACCAGCCTAATAACTTGGTGTGAACTATCCACTTTAATTCAATTTAAAAAAGTAGTACATAGATTTCTGTACTATAATACGTATAGTTTTATTAGTGAGTCTACTTGTGCATAGCTGTTTTCACGTAACTAATTTCTCACTAAGTGTCTGCTGTGTTTGGGAATGAATAAAATGACAGATGCGAAGAGTACATTCACAAATGTTTATTACCAGTATAAGATCACATGTCTAAAACAATCATTTTAATTTCAAGACAGGTGACCAGTAAAGCAAAGTAGACGAAGCATTTGCCATACAGAAGCAAAACTAAAGGACAGTATTGTCAACACCAGTTTACTCCAAACAGAACTCACCGGAGGACTCTCTAAACACATTAGGTTAAAATAGCTGTGTTTAAGTGAAACATGTTTTAACTCATCCAGCTGAATTTCCCAATAAAAGCCAATAAAGACAACAAGAAAATGGTTAAAACCAGTAGAGTATTGAGACACAACCTTCACTTTAGAGCTGCTGTCACTGCCACCGTTTAATGCACTGCACAAATGATGAAAAATGATCAGGAGATATGTTACTGTACCACTGAGATGCTAAGGTACATGAGCAGACAATCAGCACAGATATCTACCTCAGTGATAAGAGACCATTCAATAGACTATGTTAGCTCAATCCAACAACAATAATAATAATAATAATAATAATAATAATAATAATGATAATAATAAGCGGTTGCACTTCCTGCAATAAGTCAGTTTTAGTCTTCATCACCGTTTGGCTACATGAAATGTCTAAGACGACATGAATAAAAGGAATCTGAAAGGTGAAAGTCTGAAATCTAAAACTACAGCTCTTACTGTCACGCAGTGTTGTCCAAACGTTTTTAATAATAATTGAAAAGACACATTTTGTCGACTGATTTATTAAATACGACTATGTAGCTTTTAATGGCATATACTGCCACAACTCAAAAGGTTTGATTGGAATTTTGGTTGACCTTTGACCCATATCTGTACATTTTTACATATACAAATAAAATTTAATTGAATATTTGATTCCAGTGAACCGTCTTGATGTTAAATTAACTTTTACATGATCCTTTTAAAAAAAAAAAAAATGTCATAAAGCCATCTGAATCAACGAAACTTTCCTTTCCTTAAATTCAAGCAGGTGTAGTAAAACTAGGGGAAAACGGATCATCTTTCACACAGTTTAAGACAAAAAAAAGGATGGCATTCGTCTGCAGAACAGTGGTTGATTCACCAACTGCAATGTAACTTTAGGTGTTGCCTTGTTTAGTTTTGGATTCAAACTACTCAAAACCTCTGGACAACCAGCGTGCAACAAAACCATAGTGACAGAGGTGGAAGTGTCAAAACCAAATAAACCGTTATCTTGCTGCTGGTCTGCTTGCTGGTTATAATGATTGCTTCTTTTGTATAACTGAAAAACACAAATTCATTACAAAAGCAGTATCCATATCAATAAATTACACAGCTTATCTTTTCTAGTGACTACGGTATGAAAAAGACCCATCTAGTAAAGGATAACTCGCACTCTGGTTTTATAAAAGACACGAGCTGTTGGTTAAGGAAACTTCAAACCCCGACAGAGGGCGAAATAAAGAAATAATTACATTTCTATTCATAATAATCAAACACACAGCGTTTTATATACAGATGCATTTGACTTCCTTCTTAAAGGAAAAAAGTTTGTTTCACTCATCTGACTTGTCAAATCTCTTATCGACTTTTTTGGTGTTCTGGATCTGCAAAGACCTTGTTTGTAATGACAAGATGAATATTGCTTCCTCTCCTGTATCTGCGGTGTGGCGGCACGATACAGAGCAAACGTGGGCTAATAGGAGGGCAGATATTCACAATGGGTTTAGAGCTTGAACAGGCAAATAGCAGAAGATACAAATGAAACCTATTTTGGGGAATAAGATTTAATGCACCTGAGAGACACAAAGGGTTAGTTCTGCATTCCCAGCATGCATTGTAAGCTTATAGCCGCAGGGACTAGTCTACAGAATTATTACGAAGCAATCTGATCACGAATGTTGGAGACTCACCAATATCTACCTCCAAATATATATATATATATATATATATATATATATATTTACATAGAATTATTACTGTTTTTTTTTTTTATTGGCTTTATTTCTTTAATATACTGTCTTTGGTATCTGATTCAACAGAGCCCCAGTACAGTGTAAATCACTATTAGAATCTGGGTCCAACTAACAAAAATTGGAGTTTATTTCCTTTTGTTCATTAGGGCAGAGGGACTTTGTGTGTCGTGACTAGCATTTGGTATTCATCTAAGGTGCTTACGAAATCTATGACTGTACAGAAACCTTCTTTATACGAAATGGAGAAATTAATTTATCAAGCCAATTGATTGTGTGATGCAGGAAAATAAAACTCTGACATTAACACTGTACACCTTCACATCACAAAGATAGAGACCTATATACACATTTCTGTTTCTCTCCTGGCCAACCTCAACAATTTAAACAATCATGATTTCTTTCTTTGATGCACGACTGAGCTCGGGCGAGGAGGAAAAGCAATATGTCGTCAACACTACTGCTGCTCTTTATGTTTAAATTAGTTTAAAATTAGATGCAGGACCCAACCCCTCCCCGCCTTCTGTCACATACTATATACAAATAACATTGCAGCTATTTGGAAACCTACAATGCCATATTTTGTTACAGAGGACAGAGCTACTATCTCAGACAGGATTTAAGGAGGCCAAGTGGTAGTGTAACAACATGCAATTGTGCACCTATCATCCCAAATTACTCAAAACATTCAAAACACACACACACACACACACACACACACACACACACACACACACACACACACACACACACACACACACACACACACACACACACACACACACACACACACACACACACTCATTTGCATACGTACGTGCATGCACCCGCCCATGCGCGCACACACACACCTGTCATAACATAGATTATCATAACAGGCGACAATGTCCATATAACTCAATTTGCAGTTATAAAAACATTGTTTAGTCAAATATTTCCACCTGCACTGGTCTGTGTGCTGATTGTTTACTATGTGAAGAAGCCGGCGTGGCCAGTTCTGTCTCCTGAATTAGAAAAGCAGGATTCCACAGTCCATTTTGAAGCTAACAGGCAGAGATTTCTGTGGTGTTCGCATGATGTGATAACATGGTGTAGCAGTCAGGTTCCACATGACGTCCCTACCCTGCACTCCACACAGGAGTTCAGCAACTTTATGCTCTTCATGTTGGCACCAAACAATCCACTACAGCGGAGCATTTAAAGGCTTTTCAATGCAAACATGGAGGCCATGAATGTTCCACACCACAAACTTGACGTACTGAATGAACTCTGTGTGCCTCTTTGGCTTCACTTTACCAGGTCGGCATCATGTCTGGGAACCAGACCCGGCCCAGGTGCTTTGAAACCTCCCAGTGGATCTCATCCAGGGAGTATTTGTGATCTGGAATCAGCACCTCCTCCATGATAGACAACTGTGAAAGCCTCCGGCCACACATCTTGACGAACTCCACAAATGCGCTGCAGGACACCTCGCACTCGCCCAAACCAATGGCTGACAGCTGAGTGCAGTGCTTTGCGATGCGGATCAGCTCCTCATCCAGAGGACGCAGGCCGTTGGCGCACACCACAAGCTCCACAAGACGAGGGCAGTGGAGGCCAACACGGCCCAAGACCTCCTTACTGACTGAGCGACCAAAGTAGAGGTGAGTGACGGGGATTTCCTCGTTAAAGAAAGGGCCAAACTCGTCCTCATAGAGGAAGAAGTACATCACCAGGTTGAATTTGGGTGAGTGTCGCACCATGGCGTCCCAGCTGCTCTTCTTGATGGTGTGGAAGTGCTGGCCGGGGTTCTCACTCACAACATCGATCCTCAAGTGTTCCAGGTGGACGTGTTTCTCCGAGGAGAGGGCCAGCAGGAGTTCATCACTCAAGAGGTGGTAGTTAAGTGCAAGCTCTCTCAGCCCGTGACACTGGTCTGCCACACACAGGATCCCTGCAAATACGGACAGATTGTTTTAAAAATCCAAACCATAGTGAAATCCAGAATTGTTTAAAAAGAACAACAAACTCCTGAAAAGCTCCTTAGTAATAAAAAGGTCTGCTATATTTGCCAGACGAGTTGCAGTTGAATCAGCAGCCATTATCATAGCTAACAATTAACAAGAAATTGTATGCAAGAAGGAGAAACAGGATAACCACATAATGTCATAATTCATTCACAGTATACCATGTCTGGCAGAAAATGACAACGCTGCATGAGGGCAGACAAGATAATTACAGGCTCTAAATAAGCCACTGGCTGGAGAACACAGCCTTGTGACTCGAAAGAGGAAATCAAAACATTTGACTGAAAGCGCAACACAGGCGTGATTATCAGACAACCACACCAAAACAAACAACAAAACACAGAAAACAAACAGCAAAAACATTACATGGCTGCTCCCTCTCATCGTAAGCACTGAAACAGCTACAGGAGTCTTTGCGCCCACTGTACCTGCTGGGGAGACGTGTGGGCAGCTGCTCATCTTCAGCAGTTTCAGGGTGTCACTGTTGTTGGCCACCAGCACCTTCAGAGAAGGATCATCCACTGGCGTGTCGTCAATCTTCAGCGAAGACAATGATTTGGAGTTGACAAACACCACAGTCAGAGCTGAGATGAAATGAGACTGGAAGGACAAAGATGGCACAGTGAATTACAATGTGGTCAGAGTCTGACAGCAGGGGCTACCAAGATAGCAGGTCTTAGCTTTTGGTGGCCATATTTGAATAATTCATATATGGAATGATGTTGGCACATATATACTCCACATTATAAAATATTTTTTGGCTCTATAAATGCCACAGAAATACACACAGATAAGTAACATGGATTTTAGTAAAACCAAGTGACTGACAGAATTCAAAATATAATTATCAACAAGAAACTAACTTTCCAAGTTAATTTACTGCAATAGGGGGGAAAAATGTCCCAACCGAGCCTGTCCAGATCTGTAATTTACTGCTCGTGTTAGGTTAGAGACATTTCTAATCCTTGGATGTGGCCAACAAGTTAAACAAAGTAAGACTGGAGTGCTACAATGGGTTGTATCCATTGCGTGGGTGCACCTGCTGTAGCACTCTCTGCAGTGAATGGGCAATGGGTTCCTCAAACATTGGCTGCCTACTAAATAACTGCCAACAGACCTTTGTCTGGCTACCCACTACGACATTTTTGTGTTTAACAAAAGCTAACAAACAAGCCAACAGGCTTTTCACTGGACAACGTGATAAATCGAATGTTAACCTCAACTTAATTGCTGGTTTGTTAGGTACACCTAGCTAAAACTAGTGCTACTGGGTGGACAACACAAAAACATCTGCTGTAGCTATCATGTTTCTTTCCACAGGCAGTCAGGTTGCTGAACCATTGACGCACCCATATGCTCCTCACATTGTTGTGTTACCATGTACTGTATATTGTGCATATAATGTAACAAACTCATTGTGTACATGGTCTATGTATGTTTGTAGTGTGTGACCTTGTGTTTAAGGCAGAGTGAGCCAGCACACAATAGTTTCATTGTATGTCAAATACATGTGACCATAAAGTTGAACTTGATATTTAGTTGAGTGTTGGAATCTTAAATTGTTTCAATACATACAGAGTCTCCTCCTCTTTAATTGTTATATGGATTTAAAGAGGCAAAGCAATAGAGACACAGGCTTTTAAAACTGCAGACTTTGAGAAACAGCTGCGTGAGTCAAGTATGTTGATAGAAGTCACAGCTTTGTAGCCATAAGGATAAAGAGCTCAGGAAAACTGATTATGCCAAATGATGATTTGGCTGAATCCCATGACCCCTGCAACCCCTTCAATCGAAAAGAGTACATCCTTAATAGGCCAACAATCACTCAACAAAATTTAGTAACTGAACAGAAAAAATAAGGATGAGTGAGAAAAGGCAGGCGCAACACTTTCACTGTCTCGTGTCTGCAGTGACAGATTTCTGTTCCTTAAAAAGACTCTTCAAAACCAGCATATGGAGAATGTGGGGACACGAATACTGAACATGAACCGTGTGTGAAAGTTTCAATGATGATTTCTGCACATGCAAAGACAAGTTTCAGCCTTTCGCATCCAAATGGTAGACAATAAAATAGATCTTACTCTCAGAGTACACCAAGAGAGACCAAACAAAACTTAATAACAACATCCTGTGATCTTCAGAGGCCATGGTAGTAATTTCATCGTTGTCCTCGGCCCCATCATCAGATAAGAGAGAGAGAATACAAAAACTATGCTGTTAACCAATTATCAACATGCTCAGCTGAAGCTTTAAGTTAAATTCCTTTGAGTTATCTTGTAAATCTGAAGAACAGGATACTATAAAGGTGCAGACCCCTAGTGATGATGTTAATTATACCTTTGGAACCTCCATGAAACTGGGCCTGGCTGTAGAGATGAGCCCCAAGGTCTTCAGTGAGCAATTCACCAACTGTGAAAGAATGTCACATGCTGCCTCTGCCGACTCCGTACTACTGTCCACCTGGCAAGTACAAACAAAGACTGAATGCCATTTCAAAAACATAAAAGCTCAATTTTTGCTTGCAAATTGTAAACACTTAATCCCAGAGTCAGGATGCATATTATTATTTTCACACAGACACAACAGCTTTTCCACCCTTACCTTGAAGCTGACATACTGCAGGTGGTTGGAGTGCCTCTTTATGATCTGTTTGATGAGGTCTGGATGTGTGGCTTTCAGGTAAGAGCTGGCTGGCTGGTTAAGCTCAAATTCAAAGCATCTCCACAGCTCGGGCATGTGGAAAGCCTGGTTCCACCGGCGGCACACCTGAGAGGCATAAGCCCGATCCAGCAGTGGAAGGTACTGGAAGATGTGCAGCAGGAGTTCCTGAGGCAGTCGTGCCCAGTCACTGTCTAGTGACCCACTGGCCACCACTGCCTCTGACTCCTCGCCCGTCTGCTTCCGCACCTTCTTGCACGCCTCTGATGGGCTGTTACTGGGGGAGCTGTTGCTGTCCTCCTCTCCTCCTTTCATCCGCTTCATCCTGAGAAATGGAGATAATAAGCCTTTTATAGTCGAGCATGGTAAAACATGGATATAAACTTATATTGATTAACAAGTCCATTCATTTGAACTCTTAACTTATGTGAAAGCAGATCCCTGTCTGTGATATTTCATATATGTGCGATCACATTTACATTTGAATGTATAAAAAGGTGTACGTGTACCCTTGCTGCACTTTCTTAATTGAATATATTGCTGTATCAGGTGTATGACACTATTTTGTTTTGTTTTTCTTGTGTTTCTCTCTTTTGGTTCAGCATATATCCAGTTTAAAGGAAAGAAGAAGGGATGAACAAAATAAGAGCTGTAAACTGTTTTAATAGTTTTCTATTCTCTCAGTAAAATCATAGTCGTTAAATTACACAGTAAGATTTTCCTTTCAGGTGAAACATGTTAGAGGACATGAAGTTAAGCTATATCAAACGGAGGCCATGCTTAAGCAGGTAACCGTCAATATATTGATTTTACACGCAGGACAAATCATTTAATTCATTATTAAATGGCTGATTGTGCAACTTGCCTCGCTGCAACAAAGTTCGAGTTAAATTAAGTGAAAGGATTTCCCCCCTGGGATTATTAAAGTATTTCTGATTCTGAACTATAAATGACTTACACGACTGGCTACGTTAACTAACGCAGTGACAGCGTCAGGTAACTTCACCGTTAGCTCAGTTAGCTAAGTCTTACGTTACGTGAAGAGTAAATAGTATTTAACGCTGGCTACCCAGTGCTAGAAACCTGCCTCCAAATGAGACCCAACCCACCACGTAGTTACTATTAAATTTACTTAATTTACAGAAAGACCCGCAGCTCATTCAATACTGAGATATCTGTTAGTTTAACTACAACCCAGCTCGGAAGCTCGACCACCCGTCCTACCTTGTTGTTTACACTCAGCTAGCCGACTAGCTGTTAGCAGGAATATACCGACAACTGATGTGACGCTTCAGCCCGGGCCCGCGCTGGAAAAGCTCATTCGCACCAACCGAATAACACGCATCGGAGATCAATAACCGAGCCGTTGGACGATGGGGAAGAGGTAAGAGACGTTTTCAATGAAGAAACGACCGGAGCTTGGCACCTCCGCTCAGTTGACCCAATTCTTTCGCGGGAATTACGCCCCCCCCCCCCCCTTAACATGAAATGGCGAAGTGTTGTTGTGACAGCAGCGGTGCACCATGGGAAATGCAATGCGAAATGGCTGTTGGTAAAGATCGTCTTTGTTTGAGTGATGACTCACCCGATAGTCAGAAACGACACACACATATCTTGTCTTATTTTTTCGAAATATTATATTATATAAATGTTATATAATAGGAAAAAATAAATGAACTAAAAAAATCGTAAACCTAAAGTGAAAGAGACTCACTTCAACATGATCACAAATACATATCCTGTTACTGATTTTTCATCTTTTTGAGGATTTACACATATCATTTTTTGTAATAACAACTTGGTTATCTGTTAATGAATGCACCAATATTCTCTTCTACAAGGATAAATTACTGCTAAAAGTCTCAGATTTGGTAAATTTTACAAAATTGTTCATGCTCTTTGTAAATAGAGCATTAAATCTAGAGTTAATAAAATTAGATTCCTGGGTTTGTTTGTGGTAAAACATTTTGTTTTGCACATATTTTGAGTGTGACAATGGTAAGGATAAACAGCAAAAATCATACATTTTGAATCCACTGGACATATACACTACAGCCTGGTGTGTAGTGTAGCTCTTACACAGGTAATGTTGACCAACAATAAGATGTATTTGGCCATTCAATAACACCGGACTGCATTAGTTTTGCAGTTTGGCACCAGGAAATAAATGGCAGAGTAATACATCTATGTATTTTCCTAGTCTCTGCTGAGATGGACAAGAGCTTCAACCTTTTAATTTTGGTATTTACAGAATTGATGTGTATCATGGATCATTGCAGTCTTTAGCTGTATTTGGCATCATCATGTCTTCATTATAAACAAAGCAGAGGCCAGCAGTTACAGTAGGTGATTTAATGGAAATGTCACCACTCATTAGAAATGACACATGTAAACTTTGCGAAACAGAGAACCTGGTTTATTACCATTCAACTCCATCCACCACAGATATTACAGAGCAGATTCACAAGTATTAAGCTTTTTTATATAACAGCAGCTGCTTTTTTTCCACACTCTGTTCCTGACCCCCAATCCCCCTGCCTCCTACTAGGGAAAAGCATTACAGGTGCACAATTTTATTTGGTGTGAAGACTGGCCCCTCAATTCATTCAGCTGTAATCAGTCCCACTACGAGGTTTTTTGTTTCTTTTTGTATTACTGTAGGATTTGGTACATATTTTGACAGAGTTGCAAATAGGATTTACATCCACCTTCATTCACTGCAGGCGCCAGGCTCCTCCTTCTCATTTCCAGACAACAGAAGAGATCTGACATTTAGAAGAGGGGGAATTACGACTGTCTACTGTATAAAAATGTACAGTGGCTTTATTGACATACATTCCATAGGTTAAACAGCTGCAAAATAGGAGGCACACCCAGTATTGCACTTCATTAAAAGTTCTGGCTCAAAACATAACCCAGAATATCAAACAAAACTGAAGTGAAGAGTAGCAACTTCGGAATACAGCTATTTTGAATAGTATCATTATATACAAGATTAGATAAATCGTACACTATTTTCCTCCCAAACATAATATTCTTAACAGTCTTATCCACCCACTCAACTTTTTTTGTCCGTCAACCAATGATGCACTTGACAGTGGAGAATACTGTACAAGATTACGAAAAAAAGTTTACATACAACAATATTTTAAATTTATAGTTAGGAAGCTGGAAATACGGCCTGTTCCTTTTTTTTTTTTAAACCCAAGCTGATCCACAGTTGCCTTTAAGCAAATTTATTTGATATTCAATGTTTAATCTGTTACACTTCAGTGATCAGGAGGTGTGCAACGTCTATAGAAGCCGAGGGAATACAACGGCCGCATGCAAACACGTCACAAGTTATTTTCTTTTTTTTCTTCTTTTTTAAAATTCTATTGTTCTTTTTTTCATTCAGATTACTCTGAATCCAAAAGAGCCACAGCTCGTTTTGTAGCAGAGCCTGGATACTGATGTTGGTAGAAGAGCAGACCTGAGGACTCTTGGCGTAGAGCAGAAACCCGGTCCAGTGTCCAGGAGACTTGTCAATGCAAGAGCCGAGTTTCACGGCTGAGCTTCAGCAGCAGCCAGAAAATCACAGTAGACAAACTGGTTTTCAGTAAAAGTCTTGTTGTTTAGAATGTGTGGGCATTTCTGCACACCCCACAGCCCAGGGCAAACTCCTCCCCTGTTGGTGGGTGAACCACATGCAAAGGGCACTCAGTACCCTCCAGTTGCTTGCCTTTGGGCCCTGTGACAGAAAGGACAAAGATAACACCTCACTTATTTATTCCTATAGTTATTTCTGTCTGGTATTTACTGTCATATGCACCATGAATAATTTAACATTTTCCGGAAGAGTGTAGTCATTAGAATCATTAAAACCTGCAGGACAATGGGGCAGCTCCTCCTTGGGGACACTTGTCATCCTCTGGAAGTCATCATGGCAGGCGTTGCAGAAGTGTGTGGTGCCAAAGCAGAAGAAAACAGCCACTGAGCAGCAGTACCGGCATTTATACTCCAGGAAGTCTGTGCCATGCTTGGAGCACATCTGGTGAAAAGTAAACAAGAATCATCAGGGGTGGGATAACTTTGTGTACAGATAAGCACTATTTTTAAGTTAGAAGAGTAGCAACACTCTTCTCATCTAACTTAGCAAGAAAGAGAATAAGGGTGTATCGCAAAATGTCAAACTATTCCTTTAAACTGGCCATAGTTTCAGTCACAGGCTCCTCACCTGAGCCCTGGAGACATCTGAGCATGCTCCACAGATCAGCTCGCTGGGGTCATAGTCATCTCCCTGTCCTGCCTCCGCATCGCAGCGAGCCTCTCCCCCAAAATAGGCCTGGAAATATGGGAAACCATAAATTCTCAAAGCCCTGAACAACATTTAAATGAAAAATAACTTTACTCTAAGTTTTTATGGTACCTTTTTGCACTTGTAGCAGACATAGTATGCATATCTGTTCATAGCAAAGCCTGCTGGGTCATTGTGGAAACGTGCTCCTGGTGTAGTGATGGCCTCACTCTTATGTAGACCCTCATACTCCAGCCTCATCAGAGCCTTTCTCCTCACATCCTCATAGAGCTCTTTAATTGGGTCAAGCAGGTCCTTGATCACCGAGTGATTGATTTTGTTCTGGAGGCAAACAATGAAACAAACAAACCAGCCCAAGTTCATAAAGAAGGTTGAGTTACTGTTAATGTAGTTGTCAACATCATTTCACACAGATGACAGTGAAATAAGCAGTCCTGGTCTGTGACATCCACACAGTGGGCTGAGCATGTTCAACAAAGCATTTAATCAAACTGAGCTCATTCAACTTCAAAGTGTGGTTAAAACTGTTCTCAAGCTCTTTGTTGCTGGCTTAATCTGATTAGTCACAGCGGCTCAGGTAACATCTTACCTTGCAAATGGGACACAACATGAACCCAAACGTGATTCGGGGCCCGAGCCAGCGATTTTCGAGAACACGACGAGTACACTGAAGGTGGAACACGTGAGTGCAGTCCAGCTGAGAACAGAACAAAACAGTTAAACATTAAAAGGAAACAACTTGAATGAAACTCTTTCACCTAATGGATTAACACCTCTACTAAGAGCTACCTGTACTGCAGGAGCAGCAGAGAGGGCCTCTGTAAAGCAGATCATACACATGTCATCTGCATCCTGTTTCAAACAGCCAGTGTTCTTGTCACAGCCGTGCAGACATGGAAGGCAGCTCTCCTCATTCTTGACTCCTCCACAGGGGTGTCCACAAGGATGAGTTTTACTGCAGGCTAGTTTAGCGTACTCCTGAGGGAGACAACATGATAGAAACTGGTGAGGCTAAGGAAGCACAACCACATAAGTCTACACTGCTTAATATGTGTCTTGTGTATGTATGTATGTATGTATGTATGTATGTATGTATTTGTTTGTTTGCTGAAATGGGTGGACCTTTGCAACATTCACCACAGACTATTCTTTTTGAGGAAATCAAGTAAGTTTAGGGTCTCAAAGGATGCTTCAGCTCTATCAGGCTGTGTTTAATTCCATACTCATCTTCTCAAGTATTATAAATATTCTATAATGTTTCCACTCAGCAAAACACCAAAAAGCAAAACTGATTCAGGTTCTAATTAAATACAATTAATATAATATATATAGAATATAATAGAATTATAGAATATAAGAAACGAGAAAGGAACCTGTTGAAAAATAAAAAATAATAACAGCATAATAAACTAGGTTTTGTTCTTGCTATTTTGTTTGTTCATTTATTTTTTTATAGCTTTTTTTAAACAGTTGTTTTTCGTTTACATGTGTGTATGTTGTATGTATTTTGTGAAATAAAAACAAAAGATTATATCTTTAGATTATTTTTAGAGCTTCAACTCGATAGGGGTTGATGTTAAGTACCTGGCAGTCTGGGTCTGAGCAGACGCTGCCCACTGCCGACAGCTCGGTTCCATTCCTCGTACCACAGAACCTGCAGGCATCTGAGCTGCTGGAGGCTGGTTTACCTGTAAAAATAACCAATGTTTTAGAATAGAAATACATGCAGTAGGGGAAGCCTTGAAGCAATTCTGGAGGTGAAAGTGACACCACTATTAATGTAATTACACAATTGAAGACAGCAATATATATAGTCATACCCACAAAGAGCACAGTGGGATGTTCTGTTTCTATCTTACCTGTGTGCTCTCTGAACTCCACCATAGCCTTCATAGTCTTAGAGTCTGCCAGAGCCATGAGCCAGAACAGCTTGGTCCTCCCACAACCTTCATGAAGATCCACCTTTATGGCCTCCTCTTCCTCCTTGAACACCTGAAAGCAGCCATGAAGATAACATTAAACAAAACTCTCCATATTATCCAACTAATCAGCAGTTAACACTAACCGGAAGAACCATCACGCTAAAAAACCAATGCTAACCTGTCTCTGGTGAGAGCGCGTGCGTCGGTGCAAGTGGAGGAAGCGGTCACAGTCGGTGCAGAGGTTGCCACACATGTTACACAGGATGATGGCTGCTGTCTCGCCATCGTCATGGTTGTCACACATGGGCTGCGGATAGTAGAGGAGGAAATCAGTTTGTTATTCATTGGACTGTGTCAGTAATTTTCACACACTATGGCTTTTATGTCGTTCTCACCATCTGCTTCTGCTGTCCATCTTTGCCCATCCAGCGGCCAGAGGACAGCCTGTCGACATGGTCCTGGTCCAGCACACACAGTGAAGCTAAGGCCAGCCACAGCTATGAAACAGAACAGGATATAATTCATTAATTAATACGCACTCATTGTAAACATACCACGCTGTGTGTATGATACGAGTCCATACCCTTGTGGTGGCGATACAGCGTACAGGAGACCGATGCTCCTCCTCCATTTTGGTCAGGGCTATGATGGTCTCAGCTATTGCATTTTTGGTGACTCTGGACCAAGCATCTGAAAGGTGGCCCTAAAAACGGCAAAGGACTGTCTTAGAGGTGCTTTTTCCATGACATTTATCACAAAGATGCATGTGGTTCTATATCAAATCATGTTAGCAGAGAGTTAAAAGGAAAGATAGACTTAAACAACTTACAGCTGCCATGTCTTTAACCAACTTTATGATGATCTCTGCTATCTGAGGAGGAGTGGAGCCTTTCATCCACCAGTGGCTCTCCCCTCTGCGGATATAGCTGAGCATGACAGAAAGGTACAATTAGTATAAAAATCAAAGAAAACTGCCACTTGCCAAAAACCACAAGTATGTAAATTTGTGTTGCTTTAAGTGTTATATAATAACATCTCTTTGATCATCCAAATTTTGATTAGCTGTAGCAGAAACAAACTCACCTGGAGTTGAAAATCATGGGCAGCGTGACAGTGGTGACCCCCTTGCCCGCAGCCATGCCAGCTGTGCCAGAGATGGTGGTGCCTTTGGCTTTCAGCTGCACAGTGAGGGCTTTTGCGATGCAGCCCAGGAACATGTCGAGGATGCAGAGCTTGTTCCAGTCACCCTTTTCTGTGGAGTGAATGATGTCACTGATGTCTGCTGGTGGCAGAGCCTTCACCCCAATAATACTGGCAAGTCGCACTGGTGTAACCTCTGGAAGGACGCGTCTAAGCAATGATGTAACCTGAGGTAGGGTAAGATCAGATGGCAAACATGAATATAATTTGCATAGTGTCACAACGTATTTACCTAAACATACAAACACACAGAAACAATGCTAAAAAAACATTATTTGAAAGAATGTGTTACACTTGCACATCATGGATTTACCAAACTTGTTTTTTTAAACATTTTTTTAAAATGGGCTTTGCAAACATTTTACACGGCAAGAAATCCCCTCAACGTGTTTGTTCGACCTCGAGGATATGCACAAGACATTCTGTTGAGAAACAGTTAATGTAAACATAAATTTGTTTGTTTTCAAGAAAACTCAACAAGGTACCTTCAAATACTAAACTGCACATGAGTAAACCTCTAGTGTGCGTACTCTCTCCCACCTGTCTCTGTACTCTTGGGGAAGCCGTGTGCAGCAGAGAAAACAGGTCTTGCATGAGTGTTAGCTGCTGAGCTAAGTACTGGCGGCCGACGTTGGAGCCACTCAGAGCCAGAACCATGGACAGGAGCTCAAAGCAGTAGGCGTCTGATGAGGCATCATCGTCGCTGGGCTGAGAGTTAGCGTTCTCTTTGCTGGAGATGGCGTGCTCCCACTCCTCCCTCACACGTGTTGCCTCCATACGGATGGCCTGGACGATGTGCGCACACACCTGGAAATGAATGCGCACATCAGCTTAGAGGGCTGAGATTATACTAACTCATGCTTGTGAATGGTTCAAGAAACTGACTGACTGATTTACCTGTTTCTGGAGGTTGGTCAGTTTGCTCCTACTGAAAATGATCCCCACCATGTGCTCTTTAAGGTCTGCGTCAGATGGTACCTATTCATAAAAACATAAAAAGTGTAAAACATTTGGTTGAAGGTCACTCAATATTTGAGTCAGTTAAGCAGTACAGTTAAACTGTGACAGTGCAGACCTTGTCTTCTCCCTCGGGTGATGAAAGGAGGTTTTTCTCTTCCTGTTCTGGAGTTGGCTCTGCATCTCCACAGATAAGTTTTCCAAAGACCTAAATGAGCAAAACAAAGAAGGAACAGTCAAGGATTCAAAAGAACAGTAGAGTATGGTAATAGAAAAATAACTTATTAGGTGGTTATAAGATGTGGATGAAGCAGTTAAACAGACCTGTGAGGTGATTAGGCGAAACACTCTGAGAGTCTCAGCCTCACAGTTCTTTTGCTGGGCCATGCTGGCTGAGATCTGTCCTAGAATCTTGATGCTCTCGCCCTCTTTCCAACCAAGGACCTTCACCTGGCGCACCCTCAGGGTGTTTTCCGGACCTTTCAGTTCCACCTTGATCACATGATAATCCCCTCCAGGAAGCTCGCTTGTCACCCAGCCCATGTGACGCGAGTCGAGGTCAACCTTGGATGAAAAGGAATAAGGGTGTTCACAGTGTTCTGCCACATGTGCACGTAAATCTGTAGTGTATTGTAATGCTTGAACCAACCACGATGCACCTCATAAAACAACACTCATTAATACTTAAATGTCTCTGCACTTTCATTATGATTTGGACAGAGGAAGCAATCAATACATACAGCTTCATACATCAATTAACTCTTTTTAAATAGCATACTCTGTAGCACAAATTACTGGTCATACTGAACCACCTTACTACCAAAGAAACTGACCGTACCTGTTTGATTCTGCAGAGGTCCTCTATTGCTTTTCCACACAGGAATGTCACAGATGTTACTTTGTTCTGTGGATACGACAGAAGAAAAATTTAGTTCACTGAAACCCATCAGACAACCCTTATAAATACATTATGATCATAAACATCCTTCATTTTGCCTTTTTATTTTAACAAGTAGTGTTTTCACCCCAAAACACATAAATGCCCGGTTTGCTGTTGCCCCCTTACCCCGATGTCTCTAGAGTTGTCCACGTGAACAGAAACATTTGAGGCGTTTATGCCTTTCACACAGGTGATGGTGATGCTCTTGGTTTTGTTCTTGTCCTCATCTCCAGATTCCCAGAAGGTCTCTGTGGAGCCGTCTGTTAGGCTGCCAATCATGGCAGGACGACTGGATGTCTTGATGTCTACTACACTGGTCAGGTCCTTCAGACAGGTCACCAGGCAGAGATCCTGTTGTCAAACACAGATATGTCAAGTGTCAGCTTAGTGCATGTCATAAACACAGATGCATACCAGTAAGTGGAGTAAGTCAGTTAGTGGTTGTTTTCTTGCCTGGCTCATTGCTTCGTAGCCTGACTGCACACTGATGTTGAAGCTCTCCTCACTGTCTCCATCATCTGACTTGGACAAGATATTGTTGATGTGATGGAAAACGTTGCTCTGATGGAGGAACTGGTGGTCGGACTGCTTGAACTTGAGACTCCAGCACCTAGAAATATAAGTCAACAACACACTTTCTCATACAAATTGCATGAAACTCAGAAATGGGAAGAGTGCAAAAAGAGATAGTGATGAATCCTGACGCAGATGATTGTTTGCCAACTTCTTGTTCACACTGAAACTCCACAATACACAATACTACCTTGGGACTGGGTCCTACACTTCATCACATCATTCTGCAAGTTTGCATTTCACTTTGATCAAGTAAACATGTCTTTTTCCCAAAAATTCAGAAAGAAGTAGAAATTGAGGACATGAACCCTGAATTTAAAATCAATCCATCTTAAAATGTTGGTTTGTGGGTTGGTACCATTTTTCAAGAATTCAGAAACTGTACCTAAGCGCCATCTGCTGAAGTGAGCTGCCACTAGGAAGCGACATCATAAGGTCAGAGATGGTCTGAAGGAGACGGTGGAAGGTGTGGGGGAGAGGATGAGCTGCCTCCCCAGCAATAACAATGTCAGACAGAGGGTGCTCACAAACACCAAGGTCTCTTTCCTGCAGGGCACAGAATGGAGATATAATTAGAAGGTACAAGAGCAAAGGAAAAGCAATGCTGCAAGCTTTTCGACCAGTTAATGACTGATTACCTGTTCCACGATTTCTTTGTTCCCCTTGTTTTCCTCATCTTCCTCATCTTCAGGTTCAAAGGGTGATGGAGTGAGAGATGCTACAAAATGCCAAAGGATATCATGCAGGGAGGTGGTCTGGATCACATTGCACAGCAGCCAGTTGAATGCCTGACAGGGACATCAAGAGATAATCATACTAATTAGTCCTCCTTCTACAGAAACAACACTGTGGGTGCAGCTGAGGTCTATTAGCTAATTAAGTATACAAATCCAATTGATTAACTAACAATATCACCCTGAGTCACTGCTTTATAAATAGCAATAATTAAAGCAAGACTGAGCTCTAAGGTCCAGAGAGATATTGCAGACCAAACAGCTGTACCTCCATGGCAAACACCCTGCAGGCAGACTTTCTCAGTGCATGCCTCATGGCCACCTCCAGGCCCTCCAGGTCGTGATGCTGGATAACAAAAGCTAGGACAGGCCACTGGAAGTTCCTCTCCCCCTTACTGAGGGAGCCGTGCGCTGAGATCAGCCTGGATAGCTCAGGAGACGGGTGCCGTAACAGGGATGATCCCACCTCTGTATGGGGGAAAGAGCGGGTTGATGTTATAGATGATGCATCACTTTTTCTTTGAGTATCCCTACTCACTTTTCAAATTATTACGTGCGATTACCTGCATCACCACTGTGGACTCTGCGTCTGGGTACGGCTTTGACCCGGGCAGGAGAGGGTGAGTGTTGCTTATCGTACTCAGATGCTACGACAGAGTAAGACCGCTGAAACACTGTGCGCTTTGCCGTGTCGCTGTCTATGATTGGACTGGTCTCAAGACTAAAAGAGAGCATATAAAGGCAGAAACAGACACATACAATTTAGCAACACAAATACCTCTACAACGCTTCAGAGTTTGAATATAGAACTAGAATACGTTTTTCTGTATTTTAAATATGTTTGCAGACAAAACAGTGGCCAGTATGTGTTCATTTTAAGCAGCTACTGACAGATCTTTTAAGCAAAGCAGATACAATCAACCACTGAGAAAAGGCTAACTTCATAGCAGAGTTTAGTTTTCTTTGCTCCACAAAAACACTGAAATTAGCCCTAACCAGAGAATGAAGCAGCTAGGCTCTTTTGTTCTGTATGAGAAGGGGCTAGTCATGATAATGAGGCATAACAATTAAGGCACATTTGAAAACAAAATGCTTGCTGTCAAACTATGTAGGGTGCAGGGCAGAGAGTGGGAGTCTGCTCTGAGCATTCATTAATTAGTGTGGGAAACTATATAATATGTAGCGTCAATAGCTCAACATGATCTTCCATGACTTAAATATCACGCATGTACAACATTATAAACAGAGCGACGTATGAGAAAATCTGTAATAATAAGCAATCTGCATGCTAGTAATGGAATGTGGAAGCAATAAAGAACATAGTACTAAGATGTGTTACCTGGGGGGCATTGATTTCATGTTGCTCTCTGGTTCCTCAAACACATTGGGGCAGGCGTCAGGGGTGACTGAAATGTAGGGCGCAGGAACAGATGTTGAGCGCAGATACCTCATCTCATCTTGAAAGAGGTTATCATCTTGGTAGCCCCCGAAGTTCTCAGTGTGTTGCCTGAGGGACGAGAGGAGAGTAGGAGAGACTCAAATCATTATCTAAGCACGTGTTAACTGTTTTCCTACCCATACAACCTGTTATTAACTAAACTGTTAGCTACCTAGCCAGTGTCTGAAGGTAGAGACAGCCCATTTTATTGGGGAGTTCGTCCGACACACCCTCCTTGAGGCTGGGCAGCAGCTGGGAGTGCAGGGGCCGGGGAGGGTGATGGCATAGCATGCTGGGCTCAGCAGCACTGCTGAGGGACAGCAGGAACAAAGCGTTTGCCCGGATCACCTGATGGGCCTCCATAGTTGGCAGCGCCCTCGGAGTCTTCACCTGCAGAGGTTTTTTCCTGGACTGCTTCACCTGGCAAAGAACACGCAGCTTGGTTTTGATTCAAGTCTAAGAAGTCAGTATGATGTAAAAAGAAAAAGCTGACAGTGCTTCAGGGACCCACAATACAGCACTAAAAGCCTGGCAGCAGCAGGCTACCTTTTCTCTGGCGGCAGTCTGTTTCTCTCTCAGGTATTTTTCCCGACAGCGATCACACACCAGGTACCAGGTGCTGCCTCCAATGCCTCCATCTCCACAGTTCCCAGCCCAACCACCACAGAAGTGGCCAATGCTGTTGTAGCCCTGGCCTCCAGCATAGCGGCCACAGCCTGCCACAGAAATACCAAAGAGGGATGTTTAAGGCACAAAGTACAGTTTGGAGTTAATTTAATGACTAATACCCTGATTCAAAATTACAAAACTGTAACCAGAACCTCCTTTATTCTTACCTGGGTGAGCCTGTCTCATATGGTAGGTGACAGGGTAAGGGTGAGATTCCCCACAAAGCTCACAGATGGTGTCTTTCTCTGGTCCACCCATGGCGAGCTGTGCCATCTCTCCAAACAGATTCCCTCTTGGACGCACCTCTGCCTTCTCCCTTTTCTTCTTCTCCTTCTTTGCCTTTTTACTGTCTTTCTCGTGTTCTTTCTTTTTTAGGATGGCACTGGACCCTGGGCTAGGAAAGATCATGTTCTGAGTTGCTGCTTTGATGGTGGCCATAGAGATGTCCTCCCAGAATGCCACCAGATGTTGTAACGTTAACGGTAAGATTGACTTTGCCCTCATGGAGGGATGAGAAGTCGTCTCATAAGAAGTGGCATCTCCCTTGCCGTCCTCGCACTTCTCAGGCAGTGGAGGTTCTTTCAGCATAGACAGCACCTTGTTTTTGTTGATGCTTCCCATTTTGGAGATGTCTGGCCCATGTGGAGCAATATTAAACATGTTAAGTGCAGAGGAAATCTCTAAGGAGTGGCGATTCTTTAACTTGCTCTCTTTCTCTTCAGAACCCTGTCCTCCCAGGGAGCTGCGAATGGGGGCGTGCTCTTTGGTTAAGTCTGGGTTGAACTTGAGGAAGGAAGAGCAGGCCATGGCATCATGGACAATACCTTCATGCCACAGGAATGCTGCAAAGACTGCTCGTGCACATTCAGCCACCGAGGGTGACATGGCCTGTTTGGCAGGCTCTGTGACCCTTGATGTACTCTCACCTTTAAACAGAGGCCCAGATTTATCCTTCTTAGGGCGTGTGTGTCGACTGGTTTTGCGGCTGACTTTGGGTGAGGAGCGGCTCTCTTGTTCCTCTTTGACGGGGGCTTTGCCAATGCTAAAGTGCACCTTGCATGATCCCTCTTCAGAATTACGGACCTCCACATTCTCATCATTGCCCTCCTCGTTGGAGAGGAGGGCACTAGAGGTGCACACCTCCACCACTTCACTGTGGAGATTCTCTTGGGTCACATGTGGCGAAGGAACACGGTTCTCTGCATTACTACAGATCACTCCTTTATTTGGATCTTTCGGGGACAGTTTAGGTTTGGGAGAGGTAGACCTGCCCCTAAGTGGCTCTGTAAGTGGAACCTTCTTCTTTCTAAGTGTGTCTGGGTCCAGAGTGTATGAATCTGATTTGGACCGCTCTCTGGGAGGGTCCAGCCGGGCTTTGGAGGAAGGGCTAACTTTAGGTGGTAGGTTTTTGTCGTGGTGGGTTGAGGAGGAGTGCTGGGAGGAGGTGCTGGAGGGACTAGACCTGCCTGAAGAGGATACTCCTTTTTGTTTGGGAGAGGAGGAGCGAGAGCCAGGGTTCGGGGACTCAGCACGCAGTCCTGGGGTTCTCCCATCTGCCTTTAGGGCCTGCAGAGTGTTGTGATTGGGCGAGTGAGAGCGGCTGTGAGAGTCCGACCTCAGCTTGGCTGTGTCTGACCGCAGGATGAGGGCTTCACTGGCTGAGAGTCCACCCTCTCCTGTCTTGACCCTGCTCTGCTCGGATGAGCGGCTTCCACGACTCTCCTGTTTGGGCGAGCGATTCTCCTGCCGGTGTTTGGAGGCTGGGGACATGGGCCGTGCACCGGGCATCAGGTTCCCCCGCTCACCTAAACGTTAATAATTCAAACACAGTTACACTACAAAAGAGGACCAAATCAGCAGTAAGAGTGTAACCATTTAACTCTAAACACAATACTCACAACGTGAGTGAAAAAAAAAAATGTATTGTCGAAAATAATGAGTTAAAATGAAATGAAGGGCAGAAAAGACAGACAACGTAAATCCCAAAGGTGAAAAATGTAATGCCTTGTAAAGCAAATGACAACAAGAGTGATGTATTTTTCTTAGAAGCAAACTTGTACTTTACTAGCTGGGTGCTTCTCCCACAGCTTTGTCTATTACTCTACCAGACTGATATGGATGAAGATAGCTTGTGGACCATGGAATAGCTGATGAAAGATGGATTCCAGCCCAGTCCTGGGACCTCGCCTTCTAATACTGGATCAATCCAGTTTTAACATTTAGTAGCCATTGGTCTAGTAACCACAAAGATCATTGAAGGTCCATCTATTTTTAAACTGAACTTTATAGTGCAACTTAGGTTTTTCCTCTTTATTATAATATTGTGTTTAGCCACGTCCGACTTTAGACCCCCAGTTTTGTAAGGTTGACACTAACCCAAGATGCCCAAAATGTTTTCACATATATTAGCAACGTTTCGGTCCTTGACCTTCATCAGGCAAATGGATATGCCTGATGAAGGTCAAGGACCGAAATGATAGAAACGTTGCTAATAAATGTTGCAATGCAAGTTAGACAGTGTACAGGAATTTATCTTTTCTACTTTTGGATAGTCATCCCACTCCTACGGCTCTGCCTCATGATATAGATGTGCGGAATTTCTGTATCTATTTAAAGCTAACATACAAAACCGTTTGTTCATCACAGAACAGACTGTGTTTTTTATTGAATTCCTACCCACCCTCTCTTCAGTCTGAGGGAGGCATGCATGCTGTGATTACCCACCCTTTTGCCTTAGAGCGACAGATGAGAGAGCAGTACCATGCCCAGCCACGGACACACTGCTTTTGTGCACACGCTCGCGAGAAGCAAGGCTGCGTGATGAACCATCTACAGCGGAAAACAGTGGAGCAGGTAAACGAACAAGGCATGGAATGCAAGGGAGCCACCACAGAGAGAAAGAAAGAAAGCACAGGCAATGGAGTCAAGTCTAGAGCTTGAAATAGAAAGAGGCAAAAGGACAACAAGGGATGGGAAGATCAACAGAGTTAGAGAAATTGATAGACATGAAGAAAGAAACACTTATGTAAGAGGAAAAAGAACAATTACAGAGCCACGGAGATGTTGTGCACATTCTTTAATAATTTGTGTTCTCAATTTAATATGTGTAATTAGCCTCCTCCCCTCTCGTAGAGGGCAACAAACACCTTTGGCGTGCAAAGACGAGAAATAATACATTTATGAAATGCTCAAGAGTCCTCAAGATCTAAGTCGTAACAGCAAAACAGTCTCTTGTTCTGTAAAATAGGTTTAAGGAATCTCAAAGATAACACAGTATTGTGTTTGACAGCCAAATTCCTCAGTATATCCACTCGTCTTAATCCAAGTTTAAAATAAAAGCCTATTCAATCCCAGTGATCCAAAGGTGAAGGGTACATGACAAGACTAACGGCATGAAAGTGATAAGTTATCTATATGTTATATTTAGAGCACAAATTATTCATTTATGACCACAAATTCGTTTTTTTTTCTCCAAGACACCTTCCGGGCTCCACAGGAAACAGACAACTAAGTAAAAAATAGATTACAAAAGGAGAGAGAAAGTAGCAACACAGAACAAAAGACGGACAGGAAGAAAGAGCTATACAGGCTGAAAAAGTTACAAATGCATATCTCTTGGATCCTAATGTAACATCGTCTCTTGTAGTGTAGTATTTGTACTTAAATTATCCAATGAAAGTACAAATTATTAGTAGTCGTTAAATGTAATAGTGTGACTAGGTTGAAATTTAGGAGGTTATTGTAGAATGAAAACAAATGACTATTTAGACTACTGTTGTTTACATTTGCAGGGGAGTCCTGGGCTGGTTGAGACAAAAAATGAAACAAGTTGTTAAAGGATGAAAATGCAGATCTGAAGTTAAAGCAGCAAGAAGATGATGAGGAAAAGAAGAAAAAGCTGGCTTAATAAGAGAGCAAGCAGAAAAATAAGCAACTCAGCTTACTACTTAGCAAATGGCAAAAATATACCTTTTAACAAGACGTTTAGTCTAGTATTTAAGTTTGAAATCTTGTTTTCAAAAACAAGTGAAAATACCTGTGAATGCATAATTTTTCAAGGCAGTGCCACCTGATTTGTTTTTTAGAAACAAGATTTAAACATTAAATAACAGACATGTTGGCTTGTCAAGGATATTTCTGCACTGTAGAACATAACTGCACTGTTATGTGTCACACATCACTCCTGCCCTCCTCAGAGAATCCATAAAGTAAAAGGAATACAAAACAAATCAGGAAAACAAAAAGCTGGGAGGAAAAGGATCAACACCTGTGCAAGCAAGCGCTGTCAGAAAGCAAGACAGACTTACTCAGAAGCTGTGGTTGTGGCTGAGACAGTTGGGAGGGGGATTGTCCAAACACAAATGGGCTGTGGACAAGGGAGGAGGAGGAGGGAGGAGGTTGGGCGGCTTGCTCAAATACGGAGGAGGAGGGAGCTGCTGAGAGGAAGGGCCCAGACTGAATGGAATTCAGTATGGCACTCAACCGGTCACCTGCAAACATGGAGACAGAGGATGGGGAAAAACTACAGCTTATGCTATGGTTTGTGGTTTCCAAGGGGGGTGAGGGTCATTCAGAGTTTATTTCCTACCAGTCATTCAGTCATCTCCCACAACGCAACAGATGTGAGAAATGGGAGGAGCTATTTTGAGCCTCCAGGGTTCCAGAAGTAAAAGTCCTATTTGTTTTCTGTATAGACAAGGCTGGAAGAATGGGTGTAGGAGCACTCCAAAAGCTTGAATTGGCATCCTAAAGATGAGCAACGGGGGTAGGAATCCTCTGGTCCGTATGATTAGTGGAAGTGTATGATTAAATAGTGAACTACAACTCCCAAGAAATATTTGGTAAGAAATGTTATAAAGCTTAAAATTATGTTGCTTGCACTGCTAATGGCGAGGTTTCTGCCTCTTAAAAGGACGTTTTTTTCTTGCTGCCGTCGCCAAGAACTTGCTCATTATGGTACTGTTGGGTCTCTGTAAATACTTTTATAAGGAGTACGGTCTAGACCTGCTCTGTTTGAAAAGTGTCCTGAGATGACTTCTGTTATAAAATGGAGCTTTACAGATAAAATTTAATTGAATTGAACTGAATTAAAGCAAAACAGCAACGTTTTAAAAACCTTTTACTTTCACTTTTTAGAAACCTGTGAAAGCATTAAGTTGTTTACAGTGATAAAGTGTGCTGAATTTGCTGCTGCTCTGATTTGCACCTCTAACTGGCTTCCTCTCCAAAGCAATGTCAGCTGAGGCTCATGGTTATTGTACTATTTACAGCCATTCGCCATACCAAACTTTACAGAAACTGTATTTTGGAAATAATTAAAACTTAAAGACTAACTTAAAATCACAATTAGTCAATTAGTTTAAAGAAAAGGGTATTTAGGAAATATCAGAAATGCTCCTTTTCCTCTCAGCAGCCTATAGGAGCTTGTCAGTCCCTGTGTTTGATTGGCTGTAGTCTTGCTCAGTGTGACCATCTGCTCTGCCTATGACACAACACTGACATAACTGCTTTATGCAAGATTTGATTGGCTGTATTGGGAGGTCTCCATCTACGTAGGCACGTACCTTCAATATTCCATCCAATTAATGCAAAACTAGGGGCCACCATCATTAAAACAAAAGATATCAAATATAATTCTTTCCCCTTTTGGTGTCTGAATTTTTTCTCAAAAGAGGACATAGTGGAAGTTATTTATAGAGCAGATATGTGTGCTGGACAGACCAAAACTAAATTCTATTTAATTTCAGTTGGACTTTAACAAAAACCTATAGGTCAACTATTGTTAATTATCTAGGAAACTCTGTTTCCATGTTGCGGAGCATTGACAACAGAAAACTTTCAAATGGGGTGTTTAAAAATACTTCCAGAACCAGCGGCTCCTCCCATTTCACAACTCTATTGGGGAAAGGATATAGAGAGGGAGGGGCAGAGAGGGGTCTCTTTTTATGTATGAATTAAAAAAATAATAAGCTTGTCCTCGTCAGCAGTTAAAAAAAAATGTGCCGGAAGAAAGTGAACCTTTCTCCATATACTGTGTAGTGAGCTGACACCGCATCAGTCATCATTCAAAAGTCTGTCACTGTATCTTGACACAACTGACTTGTTGTCAACCAGATTCAAAACCCAGTCACTATGTAGTTGTTGTGCAGACTGACACAGAGTCTGCAAGACACTTTTAAGTCTGGACTTTACATCCATTGCTATTCAATCAATTGTTGGAGCCAGAACTGGGAGGCTGCCTTGGTGAAGCTGAGCTGGGGAAATCAACCACCATGGCTGAATATTGAAGCAAGATCTGCTCAAAGAGCTTTGGCATAGGCTGGCATATTAAAGATGACCAGTCTGAAGGCGACCCATTTACAATGCTGCCTCACAGCATGATGGATCCATCACACAGGTGACTAGTGATTCAAACCTTCCATTAGATGGTTCAGCAGGGGTGATCACCTTGACCTAGAGTTGCAAATGCCTGCATCCTCCTAAGGGCTTGCACAAACATCCAACATGCTTGTGGTAGTTTGGTGTTTAGAGGGGTACCTAATCAGCAACATGTGCGTACCCCTGTAACACTGGCAATTTATGCATTGATGGTCATTTGGCATCAAAAAATCCTTGTGTAAATGCAACCAAAAAGTGTTTGAGACAGATTGCTACATGACTGCTCAAACTACCTCGCGAGGAAAAGCGCAAATGTTGAGAAGGGATAAACCCATCCATTTCTCCATGTCAAACACAAACTTTACTTCTCCCAAGTAACTACATCGATGAGCAGTCTCCGCAAGTCAGCACTTCCAGGGTCTTGCCTGTGTTAATGCCAGCCAAAGTGACAATGAAATTAGTGATCTTTCTCTTTGTCGTATTAAAGCAACAGAAACATCTGCAGTCTTACAGAAGGCTTAATAGCGTGTTAGCGTTCTTTGTAGCAAACAAATTCCGATGCATTTCCATCATCCTCCGGATAGGAGTAAGCCCTACACAGATTTGCATTTAGCGCAGTAAAAGAAAGTTAGGGGCAATCAAATTTGTGATCTGCCTAACAATATGTGGCCAACTGTAAAAACTGAATCTGGCCTTTACCCAGACACTTGTGACAAGTGTAAATTGAGCCTTTATTCTGCAGTCACAGTAAGCACTGTGATAGCAAGAGAGATATACCATCTGAATAACCATGGTCCTCTGATTAGCATGGCTAAGTGTCTCAACAGGTCAGCCTCCTTTTTCAAGCAGTGAGGAAGAGGTAAGCCGTTTGAAAGACAATTGACACAGCGTCAGCATGATATTCAGGCAGAAAGATACACAGACATATTTGGGGCCAGCCAATCTTGATGGTGGAGCAGAATTAATGAGTTAATTCAGGTGATGTTTTCAGTATTCAACCATATTTTTAAGAAAACAATGATTCTGTTCATGATCAAATGTTTTCTAAGAGACTAATTTAAAGGACCAGTGTGTAGAATTTAGTGGCATCTAGCGGTAAGTTTGCAGATAGGAACCAGCTGAACTGCCTCAGCCTTCCCTTCCAAGTGTCTAGAAGAAACAAGTGGCCACGAAACTCAAAAGGCCCTATCTAGAGCCAGCGTTTGGTTTGTCCGTTCTGGGCTACTGAACAAACATGCCAGTTCAACATAGTGACCTCTGTGGATATACAAGGCTTATGCTAAGCTAACGAAAACCACGATTCTTATTTTCAGGTCATTATACACTAATGAAAACATACTTATGAACATTATATTCCATTTCTGTCACCAGATCCCTCTTAAATACTACACACTGGCCCTTTAAGGAAACAAAGGGTCGAGGGTGAAATCACAGACACGTGTTCAGGGCCAGTTATCGGTGTTGGGCATGTACACAGTGCCCCAACTAAACGGACCCCACAGTAGTCCAAATGAACAAAAGCACACTGGCTGGCCCATGCACACAGACACAGGCACATGCCTGACATTGCAGAGATGTTAGGCATGGAATAACAAGAGAAGAGACAATAGAAAAGCATGCATAAAAAAAAGAGATGATAGATCAGTGACTGATGGCATCTGTGATTTTAAAGAGATTGACTGACCCATACTGGATCACATACACTTTGTGGGTGTGCTGTCATAAATTGTGGACATCAAGTGATTTGTAATTCCCTCTTACTTTGAATAAAAAAAGAAATTGGACTTACTAATGTGATATAGTTGCTCAACCAAAGATGATTCAAATGTCTACATTTCTACAACTAAAACCAGGTAATGAATCAAACAGTTTATGAGAAAAGTCTCAATTCAAAGCTTAGGAGAAGTCAAACAGAGTGTATATTAAGATAAAGCAGAGAATAATCAATACAAGGGTGCAGAGTGAAGTCAAGTGAAGAGGTGACATGTACAACAGCAATAGTAATAGATCTAACAATCTTTGAGTAAAGCCTGAGGACTCAAAAACCCCCTCAAATGTAAATGAGTGGATGTGTAAAGCAAAGTGATACGCAGCTTAATGATATGTTATTGATATGTTATTTTGTCTCTTACAACCTACTCTACACCAAGTCGACCTCACCTTTGTTGTTGGAGATGCCATAGTCAAAGCCCTGCGCTCCATTTGAAGTTGTGGCTCTGTTGAAGGCCTGCACAGAGAAAGGGCTGGGTGGTGGGGTATGGGCCCCGTGCTCAAGAAGTGCTTGTTCTATGAGATCAAATTAAATGATGTCATCTTAAAATCATCACATTTTTAGGTTCACAGATTTTCCCGAATGAGCGTGGCTTACCGTCATCGTGGCGGAGGTACTGATTTCCACCGCGGTCTCTGGCTAATGACCAGGCCTCTCCTTCATCACTCTCACAGAACTCCACTACACTGTTCTTATCCAGCTGTACCCACGTCCCCTCGGAGTTGACCACCTGATACACAAACAACACTCTTTATCCATACTCACACACACAGCACCATTCACACACTCTGTCAACCCTCAACTATATATAAAAAACAGTCATTCTCCATCAACCCCAGTCCATCCATGATATTACTGCACAGACAAAACCATGACACAAATTCTACTACAGTAGATCACTTACATGCAAACATTAAATTCATCTGATTGACACATACGAAATCCACAGCAGCAGATCACATTAATTTGATTTTGTGTACCAGCAGACACTGCAGGACAAAACTGATGTAGCTAAAATAAAAAAAACTTACTATAAGAAAGGGGTAGCTTATTGAAAGGTAAATGCATGAGGTTGTTTTGTCTCAATTCCCTGAAATATTATCATTTTGGAAAAACAGAGATAGACGGAAGTATTAGTATGTGCAGGCTGCACCTCTCAGATTGAGACAGGGCATTCCAGTACAGGCTCAGAGAGGAAACTATTGAACAGCATGACACACCACAGCAGCCAATGACAGGTCGTATCCAAAATAGGGGAGGCTCCACTCATCACCAGGCCAAAGACAATTTAGACAGTTCAAAGTACCAGGTTATTGACAGGATTGTTAAAAGCGCAAGAAAGATGCAGTCAAGGCACAGAAAAGCTCCAACATTTTGTGATCAGACTTCCACTGAGAAGTCTTGAGGCGGCTGAATATGACACCCTGAAACTGCAATGGATTTATAAAACTGAAATTAGTAAGTCAGGAAGCACGCGAAAATGTTGCAGCCACAGGAGTTGGTAAGACCTCAACAAGTGGAAAGATACAGAACACACACCCACACCCAGAAGCACCTGATGTATTCCAGTTAGAAAGACAGATTACATCCTTTACATTCAAAATTCAGTTTAGGAAAAAGAGGGAACTACTTTCTGAGAATTAAGGCCAAAATCTAAGAACATTAGCTACAATACATTACGTGATCTAAACAGACTGATTTATTCAAATCCTGCCACAAAAAACACATTGCATTATTTGGGGTGAGTGCGTACCTCGCCTATGGCCTTGACCTTGTTGCCAAGTACTAACATTCCAATGGGGATACCCCTAAGGTTTGGGCAGCTTCTGATGTTGTGACCAGAGGGGCCGGTCTTCACTACCTTATAAAGCCCCGGGCCGCCGCCCTGCCCTGCCCTGTTCTGCACCCGATTGGGGGCCTCGTGGGAAGGGCAGCTGCTCACCTCCTTTACGTTCTCCTCCGATTGGCCCCTGACCTCCTGCAAGAGGTAAGAGCATTGATTAGAGAGTACAGTAACTCAACAACAGGCTGCAAAAAAAAAAGATCAGGACAAGGTTCAGAATTTGAAGTCCTGAAATATTATTGTGAAAAGCCACTGTTAGAAGTGTAACAGGGAGTTAGTGTAAAAGTGCACGTATGCTTAGTATGAGGATTACGCCTTAATCAAAAATGGGCCGTAGTTTATTTCTCATATCGAGAAGTTAGGGTTAAGAGGCACCTGGACGTGCAGTGTAGTCTTCAAATACTTAAAGCAATAGACTTTTTGGGAATTATTTGCTTTCTTGCCCAAAGTTAAATGAGAAGATACCCCTCTCATACCTGTCCATTAAATATGAAACTCATCAAAAACAACCCTGAACAAAATCAACACTTTTGTTTTTGCCCCCATTCATCATGAGCTGAACTTAAAGATCTAAGACTTTCTCTATGTACACAAAAGGCCTATTTCTCTCAAATATTGTTCACAAATCTGTCAAAATCTGTGTTAGTGAGCACTTCTCCTTTGCCGAGATAATCCATCCACCTCACAGGTGTGGCATATCAAGATGCTGATCAGACAGCATGGGTATTGCAGGTGTGTGCCTTAGGCTGGCCACAATAAAAAGCCACTCGAAAATGTGCAGTTCTATCACACAGCACAATGCCACAGATGTCGCCGGTTTTGAGGGAGCGTGCAATTGGCATGCTGACCGCAGGAATGTCTACCAGAGCTGTTGCCCGTGAATTGAATGTTCATTTCTCTACCATAAGCCGTCTCCAAAGGCGTTTCAGAGAATTTGGCAGTACATCCAACCGGCCTCACAACTGCAGACCACATGTATCTTCACCTCCAAGATCGTCTGAGACCAGCCACCCGGACAGCTGCTGCAACAATCGGTTTGCATAACCAAAGAATTTCTGCACAGGAACCGTCTCAGGGAAGCTCATCTGCATGCTCTTCGTCCTCATCGGGGTCTCGACCTGACTGCAGTTAGTCATCGTAACCGACTTGAGTGGGCAAATGCTCACATTCGATGGCGTCTGGCACTTTGGAGAGGTGTTCTCTTCACGGATGAATCCCAGTTTTCACTGTACAGGGCAGATGGCAGACAGCGCGTATGTCGTTGTGTGGGTGAGCGGTTTGCTGATGTCAACGTTGTAGATCGAGTGGCCCATGGTGGCGGTGCTGTTATGGTATGGGCAGGCTTGTGTTATGGACAACGAACACAGGTGCATTTTAGTGATGGCATTTTGAATGCACAGAGATACCGTGACATCCCAGTGCATGGCCAGCATACTCACCGGGCATGTCACCCATTGAGCATGTTTGGGATGCTCTGGATCGCCGTATACGACAGCGTGTTCCAGGTCCTGCCAATATCCAGCAACTTCGCACAGCCATTGAAGAGGAGTGGACCAACATTCCACAGGCCACAATAAACAATCTGATCAACTCTATGCGGACCCCCCACCCCGATACAGTGAAACTGCACATTTTCGAGTTGCTTTTTATTGTGGCCAGCCTAAGGCACACCTGTGCAATACCCATGCTGTCTGATCAGCATCTCGATATGCCACACCTGTGAGGTGGATGGATTATCTCGGCAAAGGAGAAGTGCTCACTAACACAGATTTTGACAGATTTGTGAACAATGTTTGTGAGAAATAGGCCTTTTGTGTACATAGAGAAAGTCTTAGATCTTTGAGTTCAGCTCATGATGAATGGGGGCAAAAACAAAAGTGTTGCATTTATAATTTTGTTCAGTGTATTTTATTTAATCCATACAAGAACCTAAGATTAAAAATAGCAGTTTTACCAGGTTATGAGTGTGACTGTTTCTTGGCTGGGTGTTACACATTCTTTGAGTCTTTTTACACTTCAGTTGTGTTGATTACACAAACAAGATACAATGTGTAAATAAGTGAAGTGCAGAGGTGTTATAGAAGAAAGTCAGGCTAGCCGTTTGTTGTTATTTCCAGTCTCTATGCTATGCTAAGCTAAGCTAACCAACTGCTAGCTGTAGCTTTATATTTACAGGACAGATATGAGAGTGGTATTAATCTTGGGCAGAAACCTAAATAAGTGTCAAACTATTGCTTCAAACTTTGCTCGGCTCAGATGAGATAATCTTGTTTTCCAATTACAAGATATCACATGACATGAATAACTGAAAACCTATATAGACTTCCATCCTCAACCGCAGTAAGTTATATTCCAAAACTATATTTTTCCCCCAGATATTAAAAATGCATGTACTCATGTACTGTACATACACCTCAACAATTTCAATATGCTTGAATATCCAAGTACTCACAAAAGATATATAATGATACATATACAACATATGAAATCATCATTGCATTCAACATTTTAGTGATGCAGTTAAATGATCAATAGACAATGGACCTACTCAAATTAAGTAGAATGTCCACATATTTTCATACACTCTGAAGGGAAGCATGCTATAACACACAAGGACACAGGACTATATATCACAAGCCTTATAAACAAGACCTCATGCAACAGACTGGACATTAGTATCTTCAACCCCATGCAACATACAAGCTTGAATAGTAATTACTTTAAAAAATCCCAAATATGATCACTGCAGGATTCAATGACAGTAGCCGCTGACAATACTATACGTCACTGTATCGTCAAAATTAAACAAAACAGACAACCATGCAACTGTGGTTCAACCTCTTAGGCCTGATTGTAACACTGTGAGAAGACTACAAAGTCACAAGGGGTTCAAGAGGACAAAGTAACAAATAGATGATAAGCTATGGGGCAGTCAAGCTATTTGTCCCTCCTTCATACAACTCACCTGTGGCGGGAATATAGTTAAGGGAGTCCACGACAAAAAGCCGATATCCCTGACTCCTTGGCTAGCGTTAAAGACATTCTGAGCAACAGATCGTGAGACAGTCAAGAAACAGTAGACGACCCGAGAGAGGAGAGAAAACAGGATGGGGGAAGACGCTCATGTATTTTTTTGGAAGAAAAAAAATATTTTTTGGCTTGGCTCCTCTGGAATTTCCAGCATCAGAGGTTATATGAGAAGATGAAGAAGAAAGGACAGACTGACTGGTGTCAGACAGGCCAGTTAGTGAAGCAGAGATAAAAAAGGGGCCTTGAGGAAATGCAAATACAGGCAAAGCCTGTCAAATGTTTGAACACTTTACAATAAGTGTAGGATCAAATGCATACAAAAATACAAAACCCAGTTGCAGGGGCAGAAAAAGAATTGAAAGTTCACTCCAAACACCACAGGGTTATTATTTCCAAATCGACGACCAAATGAAAGACATATAAAGAAGAAACTTCCAAAAAAATTCCCCCTTTGGATGATGTGGTGTGTCATGCTGTTCAGACAGAGACCTTACATGGAAGCCTCCTAGCACTTAAAGCATCCCAATGCAAAGGTGGAATTGTAGAACAATAGAGGTACAATTTCCCATTGAAACTTTTTACAGACCAGTGATTGCTTCATGACAGAAAACCACCTGATCTTTTAGATACTTGCCCTGTTACTGCTATTTTCATGTCTTAAATAAAATCCAGTCACCATACTTTTGATTCAGTTGCATATGGCGGCGGTTTTTGTGGCATGGAGCAAAATGTGAGAGAAAGCCTTATTATCACATGCTGTGGTGTGCAAGTGTTTATGAATTGTGAGTGAGAGGCAATGAGGAAAAGAAGACTGAACAGTGCAGACTACCCAACTTTACCACAGGATGAAATTGCTCCTTTACTACCTTTTTCATTGTCTGTCAATTCCTGCATTGGGGTTCACTTGAATGCACTAAATATTACCTAGGCGTGTGAGCATTTACAAGCATTGTGTCCAACTAAATACACAATGGTCATGTCATGGTAAACCTTTTGCCTTCAAACATGAGTTAATGCATGCACACTCGCAGCTGCTGTTCCTTTGCACTGTCTGTTAGTGAACGTTTCATATGTTGCTCAAATAGATGTGTCATGCAAGAGAACAGACCAACAATTATACTCTGATGAAATCCTCAATTTTCCATGCTTCAAGTACATTTGGGGAGTGGGTGCTAAACACTACAGTCCTTGAAAAACCATTACTGTTAAACAAGAAAGATGATCTGTCAGCTTTTCCCCAAATGAACAGCACAGGAGCCTCTGTCATTATTAAACTGAGACAGATTGCTCAACAGGCCTTCTTCTACTTACGTCGGCTGGGACCAATAGGCTCCTGCCCAGGTGCTGGTTAAAAGAGAGGCACCAGGCTTCAGTGTACCCATTCATGCTGGGAACATACTTCTTTACTGTTTCATCATTGAGCCTGAGCCACACACCATCATCATTGTGGATCTACAGGAAAACAAGCAACAGAACAGAGCCATGCCGTCCCGTTACTATGGAAACAGGATGGGCAGCACTCTCCCACACACATACACACACCAACACTTCTGAGGCTGCAGGAAAGTCTCAAGTCCAATTAGAGGTTACAGCACAAAGTAAGACATATAGAAAATGTCTCCAGTGTTGTCACTAAAAGGGTGGGAGTGCAGATATTGTTTTGGACTGGCCAATATACTAAATATGTGTTGCATTATAGTACAACCATTATGTATGTGCTTTGAGTGCTACAATTTTAATTTTGGATTTAAATGCATCACATCCTTTTGATTTATGGTGCAGGCGTTCAAGCCTTTCGGGTAGCCTCAGAGTGCCTTGCAAGAGTATGAAGCAAAATAAAGTAAGTGCAACCAATTTTTAAGCTTTGAAAGAAAGTAGTTATTATTCAGAGAGGTAATAACACATAATACATAGAAGCCATCAAAGAGTACTCAAAACTACTTAAAACTATTGAACTCGACATAAGATTAGGATTACGATACTTGTGATTGTATCCTTACTGATTTAAAGAAGAGACAGGAAATAGAATAAAAGTGGATAGTGCTCCCGCTAGTAAACTTGTAAAGCATAACTTATATTCTGCCTGGTCTAGAGTCAATTACCTCGTCAATGAAAGTGATGGTGCCATTGACATGCACTATGCCTATCTGTTCACTCTGCAGGGAGGGGTGACTACGCACACGCAGGCCTGCGCTGTCCTTGGACACAAATTTGCGGACCTGAGAGAAGCAGAGGGGAGATGGAGACCGTGAGCGGCAGGAGCAAAGAATAGAAAGAAAAAAAAAAAGACAAGTGCAGCAGGAGGAGAAAGAAGAGGAAGCAGGACAAGTTGACAGTGGGAGATTGCATGCGTTAACCCACACAGAGCCTGCTTCCAAGTACACGCATAGAAACGGCGAAAGATGAGGAAACTTTAGCTCTATTTTCAGTAGCACCGGTTGGATGGAAGTTAGTCTTGCTTTCCCCAGCTACATTTATACTGGTGGAAGCAATATACACAGTGCTGATTTAAGGCACATTATGTTTGCTTGTTTCCCCATTATAGATTGCAAAATCAAAATACCACAAGTTTCACAAAATGATGATGATCCCCATTATGGCCCCAATATCAGTTTCATGCACTATCTGCATTGTAAGTACTTTTCAATCACTGTATTGCTTACTTTTTTACAACATGATTGAGAAAGAGGAAAACTTTTTTTTTTTATTTATTTATTTTTTTTAAATATGAGTAAATAAAATAAAAGACTCGATAAAGTGATATTATGTATTATGCAGTTTCTTATTTGTGCATTCAACAAAGTAAAGCCACATCACACTGGAGTCCTCTTTTATATAATCTGTTGAATATAAAGGAGGTCCAAGCCTGGTAGCCCCAGTTTAGTCTGCCAAGTCCTGATAAAAATATCTGCCCCTCTTTGCCTCGCCAAATGTCTGAATGTGTTCACGCTTATTTTGGATCCCCATCATCTTGCACAGGACTAATAGCTTACAATGAAATTTGTGTCCACTGCTTTCTATTGACCAGCATTTGTTTTGTTTGTCAGAACCACAAACCAAAACAAGGAGGCAATAACAGCTAAAGGTTGCAGAGTGAGAGTGACAATCCTTACAACCCTTTCACATTACAGGGAGTTCCTATCAAAATATTGCTTAATGTGGGTTGTAGGGTTTAATTACAAATTGGTGTTCACAGGTAAACAAGACAGGACAAATTGCTTCTGGTCTCTATTGAGTTGTATTTTATGGGTGATTGCAAGCACACATGCAGTTCACAGGTGTGTTTATGAGCATGTTCATGCCCCTGTTGGTTGCTCAAAAGAAAACGCTCACCTTGCTAGGCTGAGGTTCAGCCTTTGGTTTGACCATCTGAGTGCCAGGTGGTATCATTCCTTTGGGAGGGTCTTTGACTTCTACCTCCAAACCAGCATCTAAAAGGAAAGACCATTTACAGCTCAGCATTGCAAAAGACGGCAGTTCACAGCCCTTTCTGAAGGCCTTTACGTTTATATTAATTCATCAATATGAATAGCAGCTGCATTACGTTATGTCACATGGTGGGGGTTGGGGAGTTGGTGATGGTTTAAAATAACATACCTATTTCAATGCCGTCAATCGTGACATGGATTGTATAGAGGCCTACTGCTCCTGGAGTCCAGTTGGCGCTGTAGGTTCCATCAGTGTTGGCACGAATCAGCATGTTCTCACTGGGTCTGTGTGGGAAATGATCAATAAGTAGATTGCATCTCACTGGAAAATGGGTTTGGCTTTTTGCATTACCTCACATACCTTTTTGGGGTGGGGGAAGCAAAGCGCAGCTCTTCAAATGAGTAGTTTTCATATGCCTAAAAAAGACAGAACACAAGTATGAACAACAAAAAACACTCAAATACAGCGCAAATTTAACAACTACAGAAAAAGTAACCATTTTGAGGTTACTTATTAACAGATCTATAACATGTATCTCTCATTGAATCTATTCTATGAATCTATGAATTATGTTTCTTCATGTATTATTGTGCCAGATTTCATTACTATACTGTCAATAAACTTTAATTTTGTTTTGCTTCCTCAAGTAAAATAACTGTTTTTCAGCCATTCTGATCTCCATGTCTTTATTTAACAATTTACTCTTATATTTGTCTTTTCCTGAGAAATTCAAATCATTCTACTTTACCTTATCGTCTACACCATCTAAACTGCTATTACTTGTATTTCCTATAGGGGCCACAGGTTGGCATGCAGACAACGGATCTCATAACAGCTCCCCCTTGTGGAGCATCTGCAACCTTTTAAATGTAAACAAGTGAGTTTGTGAGTGATTTCTGAGCCAGTTACATGAGGCTGACCTTCATCATGGTAATAGCAATGTATCGGGCCTCTTTCACAATCATGGGCTCGTACGTGGCCTCCAGCTTGGGCATTGGCAAACCTCCAAAGGTTAAGTCGGGGCCAGAAGACGAAGGTGAAGAGCTTCCAGGTAGCCGCTGCAGCTTCTTCACATTTTCAGGCTGCATTGACTTCTTCTGTGAAACAGGAACGGCCTTCACCTCCACCTGGACATTTAAGAGATAGCAAACACAAGTCACGTCAACTATTTTGTAGATTTGTCACTGCAGTGAGAATTATTCTGTCTGTCGGAATTCTTTCAAATATTTTTCTCTTGGAAGCACAAAAGCCAAACCAATCATCCTGACCTTCATGTTAGGAACATGCACCACATCTCCATACTGGTCTTTGGTTTGTACGACCACGGTAGCCGGCCATCCACAGCGTATATCATCTTTGTTCAGGATCAGAGATGTTTTCTGGGGGTCTGCATAAGAATCTGGCTGCAACCACCTGGATGGAAAAAAGGACAAATGGGAGAGAGACAGGGTAATACATTAATTATTTGTAATGAAGGAATCTTTAATTGCAAGGGTAAAGCTAATATCCATTTACAACCAACACATATTTCAAAATAGAAAATACATATTTTGCTAACTTTTTTTTTTGCTATCTAACTAGACAGTGCAGGCTGGCTGCCTTTACAAACATTTACCTGGCCAGACGTCCTCCACTTGAGTTCTGTACACAGGTGATGAAGTCCTCAAGGAAAGAGTGCTCATTGGTTTGGAGGTGCAGCGGCAGATTTCCCTCCAGGGCCTCCAAGATGGTGGGGGAGTGAGACAAGGCCAGACCCTTCCCCAGAATCCCTGAGTGGGTCTTGCACACCTGGTGAAGGTCAAAGGTAATAAGAATCAAGGAAGGAAGAGTGTTGAGGAGGTGTAAAATCATTTTAGTGAGACCACAATAAGTCTGAAAGAACGTCTCTGAGATTAAGAAATGACTCACCTGAAGAGAGGCTTCCTCAAGAATCTCAAGATCCTCCTCCAATTCATTACCTCAAATTAAAAAAATTACATAGAATAGAATAAATATATAGAATATTATAGATAGAATAACAGATATATGATTTACTCAAAGAGGTTATACAATATGAATTGGCTCCCAGCAGTCACAGGTTATTGAACAGCAATAGTAAATTCCCCATACCTATAGGGAGGGCCAGATCTTTCTTCATCAGAGCTGCAGCACACACACTGCCCAGGTAGGCTAACTCTTTCTCCAGCAGGATGGTACCCTGAAATGTCCATAAGTCAGAAAGGTATTGTATACATTCAAAATTTTTCTGTCTGAACCGATGCACAAACATTTTACAGACACAAACACCCATTGTACAAAAAGATGGAAGGCCAGCCTACTTCATAACTGACAGAGGAATATACAAGCATGTCTGTACCTCATCAGGACCAGGGTTGAACTCATATCCCACAGCCACACACTTGAAGCCATAAAAACAAGCCTTCTCATCTTTGACGTAGTCGGAGGCTGTTTCCAGTGAGAACAGAACTTCATTTCCTGAAAGTAGAGAGGACAGAAAAAAAAAAAAAAAAAATGAAAAGAGAGACAGGTGGGCAGTTGTGTGGGTAATCACTGGTAAACGAATGACTGCTTGCTGTGGCAGGTGGCTCAGTGAAGCATGATTAAAGAGATTAAAGCACATATGAGAACAATTAAACTCAATGAACTACAACTGGGTTGCAAGAATAACTGTTGTGTTTAGAACGGTGCTTAATCACTCCTTATTGATGCTACATCATACTATACATTTCACTATGAACTTAAGAGTACTATAGAGCCTAAGAGGAAATGCTACTGCCTTACAGGCTATGGTTATTTATTTTACTGTTAATTTGTATAAAATCATGTATAGAAATTTGTAAATGAGTTATCATGCCTGTTGGAACTTTGGTATTTATGGCAATTCTGTTACTATCAAAACTCATAAAGCTCTAATTCATAACTTTTGATGAATGTTCAACCGCTCTGCCTCTTTTACCTGGCAGCACTAGGACGGTGGTTGGCCAGCCCGTGGAGCCCGAGAACTTCTTGAGCTCAGTCCAGGTGTTGATGGTATCATGGATTAAAGGTTTGCCCCCCAGGCTGGACAGGTGGAGGGTACGGCTGGGGATGAGCAGGCGCAGTACATCCTCTGGCTGTGCAGTGCCACACTGTGGATCAAACTCAATAGTGGTCCAGCGGACACAGTCTGGGAATGATACCTGAAGCAAGGTGAAACAGAACAAGATTAGTTTAGACTGGAATGCTCTTTGTGTCCCTGACTTTTTCAGATGCAAGTTACTTTCTAAGCAGTCAGCATGCCATAGGACATCTTACCCTGTATTGCGTGACACCAGCTTGTTTGTAAGGGTGGTCACTCTCAATCACTGAGTAGTGGTTTGAGGTGGTACAAGCTGACAAGCCCTGCTCAGGCTGGTTGCCAGTCGTGCTGTCTGTTGATTGGTTGGGATTGAAGGTGGGTGGGGCATATTTTTGATTGAGGGCAGAGACAGCAGGTAACAGTTCCTGAACAAGTCCAAAGACCTCAACAGCAGCCTAGATGAGGAAAAGGAGGAATGTTACGACAATGGTACGTTAGGGAGAGACAACTGAGTCAAGATAAAGGTTTTAACCTCTTACCTTAGGCACAGACGCAGCCACAGGACCAATGTAGGCCAGGATAAGTGGTAGAAGCATGGAGAACAGGCTGGAGGAACTTAACAGCTCAGGAATATCATCCACTGGAGAAAATAAAGGACATAAGTTAAACGGAAGAACGGCGATCACCTGTGATCTAAATTCAATAAAAGTAGCTCTATATCAATTACAAATGATACAGGTGCAAGTTTGTTGTGCTTACCATCGACGGCAAAAGCTCTGTGAAGCAGGTCCTTTGCAGCTCTGACCACAGCACTGACCACAGACAGAGCTCTGCTACAGTTCTTGTCCTCCTCATTGGCTTTGCTCAGCAGCTGAGACTGGAGGTCCCCATCATACTCACTCCTTCAACCACAAGAAAAATTCAAGTCAGAAAAAAAGAAGTACTTCGGAGATGGGATATTACAAAATGCTGCCTTTGTGTTTACCTGTAGTAGAGAATTTGTGGGATCTGTCCTCTGGTCTGGTTGGTCCCGTTGCTACTCAAGCTGCAGGTGCTGAAGGTGAAGGACACCCCATCAGAGCACTGCACTGTGGTCATACCTCCATCCCCATTAGCTGTCCGGCTGCCGTAGTTTCGCAATCGAACAGCATACTTTACCCCCTCCTGCAAAAGGGAGACTCATCAGTGAAACAATATACAATTTAAAAACAAGCACGCAGTTGTATAATGTTTAAAAATAGTTACAGCATGTCACATGTACGTCCTAGCATTTGTATCTCAACAGCAAATCATACGCATGCATTATTATCTTGAGATCCTGTGTACCTTGAGTGGCACAGCCTTGTCCAGGCGAATCTCAGCAATATCACTGGGAGAATCATCAGTGCTGTAAGTGCCCTTGACCAGCTCTAAGGATGTCCACCTGTGAGAATGTGCCGAGTCCCCTGGGTGCTCTGTCTGCGCCTGAAGGAAGGAGGGGACAAAAGTTGTAAAAAAAAAGTTCACAAATAGTCAAGCTACACCAAAAGCACATAAAAGATAATAAAATATAATCTGAAAATTATTTCTGATCACTTACGTCATCAGCCAGCACCTCTAGTTCATACTCATGGATGCCCCCTCCTCCGTAGACACAGACGCCCACTAGCACAACGCCTGGCTTGTCCACTGTCAAACAGATGGCGTCTGGAGAGCCATTGCCTGTGTTCCAACTACGGCCCTGGCTTGTTTTGGTAAAACGGTTCGGAGATGCTTTCACTGAGTGGAGCGAGTTCAGCCCATCAACCTAATAAGCAAGGACACAATAGGAGATGTAGCCAAACATATCAAACAATCAAACAATGCAATAGGCATAACCACATTGGGCTGAGTGAAAGCATTTGACGGGAAATACCTAAAAGTTTTATGGCAAATATTAGTAAACAATAAAGAAAGAAAGAAAAGAAGAAGAAAGGCAATATTGAGAACAAAGAATAAACATAGCAGTTAATTTCAAATATTGTTGTACAAGTAATGAATATCATGTAAATATGAAGGTAGCAATATGTCTCTAAAAGACACAAACTGAAAAAAATGTCTGAAATAAAAACATCTCTCTTCTGTTTGGCGTGTGTTAAATAATACAAACTGTTACTATTTAAGTCAGCCTGCTGTCTACAGAGAGCCAGACACAACTGCAGAGGGACCTATCCAGGTGCTCTGGGGAGGAAGAGTTGTTTCCCTGACAACAGACTGGGGAAAAAAATAGTGGTGTCGAGGGCTGCCGTCCAGTGACGGTCACTATGGCAACAAGAGCTTAGGAATCCTGTCTGCATTACACGGGTATGCTTGTAAACAGAGACAGTGACGATAATTAAATGAAGAGTGTGAGAGAGGGTGAGTGACAGATAACTGTCCCACCCACTAAATGACTCAGCATACCATAAAAAAAACAATACAGAAAATTCCCCGATTTCTGTAGCCTAAACTTGTTCCAAGCAAAAGTCATCACTTTACATGGGTAAATGTTTGCCAAATCTAAGCCCTGTGGCCCTACATTAGTGTGTGTTTGTGTGGACGCATGTTAGTATTGAGTTAAGTTACCTCGGAGCCTAGGGCAGAGGCAGTGAGCTCAGAGACAATGGAGGCTAGCAGACCACAGGTGTTGGAGACCAGGTGTGGAGAGAACAGCTCCACCTCTTTCCTCAAACTCTTCCTCACTGGCAGCACCACAATCACCAACATCTTCTCCAGTACCTCCCGGAAACTGGTCATGCCCATCAGGTTCTCCTCCGTCTAACACAGGTAAAAGATTAGAAAAAATATAATATTACTGTTCTGTTTTGTATTTGAGGTATATTTATGAGAAAAGGATTTGGTAATGATCAAACTGCACCCATATACACCATTTTGAAGTGAGGACAGCTGATGTACAGTATATGACATGCAATAACTCACATGGCTTAGTTTCTCCATATGGGCCACCAGGAGGGGGAAGCGGTGAGCGAGGGCAGAGTCATTCTCTGTGCTGACTTGTTTGACGAGTGAACGCAATAGCACTTCTCCGTCGTATGCGATGGGCAGGATGGATGTCAACTTGACTGAGGTGTTGCAAAGGGCTGACATTACGGCCGCCAGCAGACGGCTACTGGATGTGCGAAAGTTGGCCTCAGCAATGTCCTAAAAATCAGGGAGGACAAGAATGAATTAATGAATTATCTTTCACAATTTTGTTTTGTTTTTTGTTTTTAAACTTTGGTGTGTAGCTCAATATCTGAAATTTTTACTGGATGTAACAGCTTTGACAATCTTTATAACGTAAAGAAATTGGTCGATAATGTGACTGACAGGATTTAATCGTCAACCATTATGATAATTATTGCTCAAGTCAATCATCAGGAAAAATGCCAAACATTCACTTGTTACTATTATTGTAAATTGAAAATCAAGCAATGAGCTTTGAGATCTTGTGATGGTGACATTTTATACAGTAAAGTACACTACACTATTGATGAATCAGGGAAAAAAACAATAGATTAATTGCTACTGAAAAGCTAGATTCAGTCCTATTAAAAACTCTGCCTGCAGTACAACGACATGGTCTACCATCTCTGACCTGGTCTAGGCAGTTGAGCAGGTCACAGAGGCAGGCCCACTGCAGAGCTGGGGTCGGGTAGAATGAGTGGAAGCAGGCAGTGAAAGTGTTGTGGCACTCCTGCAGAACAGCTTCCAGCAGGGTTAAAGGCTGAGACAAGTAGCCTTGGGGGTCATTGTCCAGTTTGGTCAGGCAGTTGTCCATGCCTTCTGACAGGATCTTCTTCAACAGGCTGCGTGTCTTTCCCACGCACTCTGCCAGCTTGCTCGACTCCTCCACCACAGCTTTGGTGCTGGCTAGAAATCAAACAAGGGATATGAAAAGAAAACAATGTGAGATCTTATCAGAAGCTACATTCTGAAATACAAACTTTATGGTGCTCACTATTCTATACCTGTGAAATATAAACACAATCGATTCTGTATTTGAAGGTTTTTAAATATTTCTAGGCCACAGATATACAAGTGTTAAATGACACACGCAGTATTTCATTCTAAAATGATTGTAAGGTCACTGATTCTTTTTAAGTCATATAATATACACCATAAGTTTAAAAGCAGCAGCACTTTGGTTTTCTTTTTGCGGAGAACAAGCCATTATATTGCCATAGATGAAATGTTGTTAATATCTCTGTGCTCTTACCAGCGATGGGGAAGATCTCACAGATGTAGACTCTGAGTAGGCGGAGGCAGCACGTGCCAACAAAGCGAAGTCTCTCCAGGTCCAGCAGGGTGGCCGTGTACTGGAAGCCCTTCAGCCCTCGCAGCTCCTCCACACCCAAAACCAAAGTGGTCCAGCTCCAGTGAAGGATACTCAGCAGAGACTCAAAACACTCCTACAAAGAGACATAGAAAGAAAGTCACACACAGTGCTGTAAAAAAAAAAAAACCTGTCAAGGCACTTAGGTAGGTAGAAACAGAGAGAAGGTAAAACACTATTAAAGTATCACAAGAGACAATACTCACCACTGACACTGTACGAGCGAATGAGCGTTTAAGGATATGGACTGGTTCACTGGTCTGTTGTTTCCCTTTAGATGCATTGCCATCATTTGAAGGAAGCCTAATGGTAAATTACAAAAAAGCAATTAAAATAATTTACTTGACAAGCATATAGATGAAATAAGCTTACGTCACTGTTCACAAAATGTAATGAATTTTACTTGCCTGTAAAGCAGCTGAGGTATTTGACCCGCATTAACATCTGTACCGTTGTTTGACTTCTTAGAGCTTTTGAACTGAAACACCACACTAAAGGGACAAACAAAACAAATTAAAAGGGCTGTTATCAATATTCAAATTCAAACATTATATAGCATAAAATGTGACCAAATGATAAATATGGAAAATTTGTAAGACGTACTCTTTTATAAATGCACAAGTATTATGTATATCAGTGGTTCCCAACCTTTTTCCTTAACGGATCCCTATTCTATTAAACTGATGACCCAAGTGACATTTTATAGATATTTCATGCTGTATTAAAAACTGTACAGTTAAACCAAATAATGAACTCAGTAACGTAAAGTAAGTTTGTGTAAAAACAGTGATTTGGACATATTTTGAGGAGTTTTATTTTGTATTTTTTTGAAAACATATTGAATAAGCTGCTTTTTTGACGAATTCAGTGTTTTCTGTCCCTGACACTTGGCCATTGTTCTGTTAGACAATTTACTTTACATTTACTTTTCTTCATACAAGTGAACCAAATGCTAAGATATAGGCCAACTGTGTATAGGTTTTGCAGCATGCCTGAAAGTCAAGAAGGCCTCACGACTCCCCTGTGAAGCTTTGGCGACACACATAGTGGGGGGTCCCGACCCCAAGGTTGGGAACCACTGATGTATGTTGTGAAATCAGTTTTACCCATCATCAGTAGTAATGGTAGCCTGTCCATGTGAGCCACAGTCACTGCTAGGACCAGACACTCGGGCCCAAGCCACATACCACCAGCCTAGCTGCAGCAGCACCGGCTCGTCAAACATCATCGCATATTTCTCCCTATAAGTAGAAAAATACAAAAGACAGCAACATTAATAGCTATCAAAAATGGATGAGATCATGTAAATTCATAACTTGTTTAGAACTAATAGTTGTGAGAACAAAGGGAACATAAGCAATTCGTAAACGTTACCTGGCAGCACAATCATAGGCCAGTACATCAGTCTCAGCCAGCAGATCACCGTCTGTCTCATGGTCACCCCCATCAGGTCCCAGCTCAAAAAGCTGCACGACAACAGAACTGGGTTAAAATACTGTAAACACCTGTAAGGATTCCTCGTAATCCATTGAGCGTATTACCCTCTAGTGGTACTTATTATTACTTACTATTTTAGGAAGGTTATGTATTACAATGCAATCATTCAAGCTTGGCATTGATTATGGTCACAGAACTTCATTTTTTGCTGTATTTTTACTAGCTCTGCAATTTTTTGCGTGAAATATTTTTGTAAAACTTGCAGAAAATTGAGTAATATTCAAACTGACAACTCAGTGTAACTGTGTAGACAATTTGCAGCAGCACACGCTATGGATTAAGTGTCAGTCCTTGGCACAAAACAAGTGAATTTTAAAATAACAGCTGTGACAAAACAAATGCATGAAATAAACATTGAATAAATGGCTAAAGAAAAAAAAGTGTCACAGGATGGCTTACCTTGATCTTGGCAGTGTACTCCCCTCGTCCCCCGAAAAGGCCCAGCCCACCCAGCAGGATGTCTGCATCAGCACAGAAGCGGATGGCCTCCACAGAGTGGGCTGAGTAGCCCCAACCACCACCATGACCTACAACATCACACATGGGATCAATACAGCTGTGCAAGGTAAACAGAAGTTGTTTATCCACTTTAAACCCCTTTGGTCCTTTACTAAAGAGAATGTTAAACTGATCTTGACTGAATATTTATGTTTCACATATTTGACCTAAAAGGTAAAATCTTAACACTTGATATAATCACAACATCAATCCAAAACACATAAAAGCCAAATTTATCTCCATTAAGTTCATACATCATTTACCATTTATCCTGTACAAAGAACCTACTTACTCTCAAAGCGGTTCACCACACTGTAGTCCTCCTTGGAGTAGACCTTCATCACTGCCTGGGTTTCTTCCTCTGCGCTGGCTACACCCATCTTTAACTCCTGCATGGCTGCCAGAGTATCCAGGCAACCTAAGTAGACAACCCAGGATATCTCCTCTTAACATTGACTGATGACCAACATAAATACATAACCTAAAGATTCCTGCAAACACTTAATCATATGTTTGGCTATGAACTATAAGCAAATTTGTCTCTCAAATCAATTTTCCCAAGAATTGAAAAAGAACTGAAAGCACATCACTAAATCTGTGGATCCCAAGAAGGAAGATAGGAATCATTATAATCATTATAAGAAAACCATAATATCACTATAATATCAACAATAACAATAACAAAGCAAAATACAATACACAAGTTTTAAAATTAAAAATCGTTCGGAAAGGGCTCTGAATAATGAGCTACCGCTGATTAAATTAAAGGCTCCTGACATTAAAAATATGGGAGCTACATTGAATACATTATAGCCAGATAAGAGGAGTGGGATTTAGACTCTGGTAACATCTGATGTGAAGAAACACAGATGTCCACATTGTCCATCATCATTTGTGTTGTAGCATTCATCTATATATTCATGAGACACTAAGACATTCATAAAAGATTCATATGACCGAAGACACTTTGCTGAATGGCTGGTGCAGAGGATTACCAAGGATGTGTAGGGCTCCGTGAGAGCGAGTAGTGGTGGCATGTGATCCTGAGGGCAAGGCAAGCTCTGGGCTAAGGATGCTACAGCGAGCCTGTAGATCTGTAGCAGAGGGCATCCTGGCATCAGCTATCACTGCATTGTAGCACAACATCTCTCTTGAGATTGGCAAGAACCTATAAGCACAGAGGGCCACAAGAATAACACATGGAAGGGGTTAATCTTAACTGCTAAATCCTAAAATTTGGGATATGTAGTACACAAAATGGCACATAAACGTTAACCGAAATTAACCTAAATGTGTGCTTTTTATTGCTCTGTATAGTGCTTGGACTGACCTCCATATGACGTCATACACAGGGTCCAGACACAAGCCAAAACCCTGCAGGTCCTCCTGCTCAGAGTCATTGAAGGTCCTGCAGCTTCCATCCATTTTGTTGATAAGCAAGCATTTAAATGGAGGTGGCTCAGACACAGAGGAGGGCACAAGGCCAATAATGTGTTTGCTGGCAAAGATTTCTGAAGTGGCTAGGACATGGGAATTGATAAGAGCCTCATCGATCCGCAGGAACGTCTGGTCTCCACTGGCACCAATCCAGGTAGCCTTTCGTCCATATTTGGCACCAATGTTGGGCATGGGAGATGGCTTGGCATTCCAGTAGGGCATGTCTAGGATGGGCCGGCCCAGCTGCCCTTTCTGAAAAACAAGGAGACATTATAGTCACTCTCTATAGCAGTTTATGGTCAATTGTATCAAAACAGGTGTAAAGCAATGAATGTTTAAAAGGTCTAGTGTGTTGCATTTAGGAGGATCTATTAGCAGAAATGGAATATAATATTCTTAGGTATGTTTTCATTAGTGTTTAATCACCTGAATATAAGAATCGTTGCTTTTTTGTTACCTTAGAATGAGCCTTTTTTATCTTCACAGCCCAATCTCATTCCCAAGTTTTTAAATACGAGTGAGCGGTGTTCAGTTAGTTGCAATCTGCAACTTCACCACTAGATGCCACTAAATCCAACACACTGGTCCTTTAACGTACTGCCATCATTACTGTGTGTAAAAAATTATGTTTCAGACTAGACAGTGTGTCAGGGACAATGTTTTTCTTACCGAGAAGCTGCCAAACGTAAAGACCTGCCCATCCACGAGGAGAACCGCTGTGTGGTTACTGCCGGCTGTCACCTGTACACTGGGACCTGGAAGGGCCTGCACCAGAGTTGGAGAGCCCCTAGCAGGCAGAAACATCTAGTTTAGGTTGTGTGTCCATGTGAGTGCAGTTTGTTCATTTATATTTGTAATACAAAAGTACTTTAAAATGACAACACGAGACTCTGGACTTACACTTCTCAATTGAGCTGAATTAACACATGTTGGCTGCTAATAACCACAACAAGTGGCTAGCTTTCCTAAACACATGTCTAACAACAACAAACCTTGTGTTACCCCATCCTGGTCTGTAAAATTACAAGTAATGTAGAATTTTATTTATCTGTTTTTTCTGTTACCATTACTGTATATACTGTATGAACATTCATCACACTAAATTCAAAACATGTAAGTCAACAGAAGCAGTACCTTGAGTTGACATCTCCATGTCCGAGCTGCCCATGTTGGCCATAACCAAAGGTGTAGACATCTCCATTCTCCATCAGCACCACTGTAAAGCAACATGATTGTGAATGTTATTTTCTCACTGTTGTTACTTCAAGGTCAGCCACTCTATTTAGAGAGTTCTAAAAAAGTTCTTTAAAAAAATGCTGTTGCCGGCCCAGAAGGAGTCATGAGGGTAATTAACCTACCTGAGTGATGAAAACCGCAGCTGACCTGCACAGCTCGCAGCTCACAGTCAAATCTCACTGCCCCTGGAGGGTAGGTGGTGATTTTGCTGGCATCTTTCTCTCCACGCTCACTGCTACCATCTACAAGGCAAACAACTCAAGTCAGCACATCTGAGTAGAGAACTTTGAGAGTGAGTGAGGTTTAGTGGCAACTTCAGACCGCAGAGGTGGATGGCTCTGCACAGTCCTGGAAAACGGAGCTGGAGGGAAAATAGGACTCAAAAGAAAACAAGGAGAAAAGGGAAAAGCATGCAGAAATAGAAACGAGGGAACACCTCTATAACAGAAAAGGCTTTTGGCAACCAGTCCCTTTGCAGATGGACAGATTGTTTGTTAAGCAAATAATTAGATTTTCTTTTTAACATCTGTCTGTGTTTAATGAGGAAAAGGAAATCTGGTTTACCCTGAGCCCTGTATGAGAGGTCACAGTTGTGGTGTGTGAGTGGAAAAAGTTGGACAGAGAACCATGCATTACAGTAAATATAATGACTGTCAATACCTTTTTGGACCAGGAACCAGCTCATTTTGGTTTACCTCTGTAACTGAGGCCAGCCAGATGAGATAACAGCTTTCAATAGTTGAACTTCACATGGCCCAAACAAGAGAGGGTTGAAAGTTGAGCTCATGGACCCTCAGTGTCAGTGAAAAAACAGAAGTGTTCTTAATGACATCTAAAGCACACTAAAGGGTTTACTGGGAGGTCACAGAGGGAAACACCAGTGTTGTCAGTGGGGGGATTTGGAGCAGTCATTCCTCTTCGTACCCCAATAATCTAGCTTACAACTGTTTATCAACCACAATGAACGGTTCTGCAAAAGTACAATTATTCAACCACAACAGCCTCAATTTCTTAACTGAAATATCGCAGGAAATCACTGTGGCGTCATTGTTTCCACGTATAACAGTGGATCAATAAAACATGCCACTTATTCTTAACTATTAGGAAGGTTTTCAAATTGTTAAATGGATGTCTAGCACCAAAAAGGGAAGAATGCTAGGCCCCCAACATTAGACCAAGCCATTGTCATCCTCCAGCAGTTACAGACCTGCTGTTCCACTCCAACCTGCACCACCTATCGGCAAGAAGCAACAGCAGCTTAGAGAGGCAGATGTAGAGCTGCAGATGTGCACAATATAGCCAGAAATACCAGCTCTTTTTTATATTTGTTCAGTCAATTAGTTGACATTTTATAGTAACTATATTTTGTTCCAAATAAGAGTTCAGAAGGCTATAAGTGTCTACATGTGTTCTCCTTGTGGTTACTTTAGAGAGGAAGGAAAGATGGTTTGTAAAACCGCATTTTGTTTTCTTTGGAAAAACAAAATGTGGGGCTGAGATTCAGTGGACAAAACAAAACAAGTAAACCACAAAACCACAAATATGTTGACTGTGTTCTGTTGTTGATCTTAATCATAAATGTGGGTTTTACTAAAATAATTTACTCATCAGTTGTTTATTGGTTGAATAGTTACCTTTAAAGAATTCCAAACAATAAACACATACACTCACTTGTCTTATGGTCAAGTGGCCTGAAAAGCTAAATGTTAGGCCAAGTTCATAGATATTTAGATGTTTGTGAGTGAGCCATTTCCACGAGATGCGTCACATCTCAAACATTTTAAAACTAACAATCCTGTTTCCCTACTTCGGCGTCATATTTGTCAGCTTGTCATTCAGCTTGCTCTACCCAGTGCTCGCCATTTGGTCTGCTTGTAATGCTGCAGTTGTACCCAGAATCTGACAAATCAGCTGCTATGGGACTGATGGTAAATCCAGTTAGACAGGGACATTGATTTCTATTTAGGTCTAAACAACAGCAGTGGGCAGAGCATGCATAATACTCAAAGGATTAGAACTGTTTAACCAGAAAATGAATTAGCATACCAGACCAAATCAGTATTTCCTGTATTAACATAACTAATGCAACATAAAATTAATCAGATTCAGAAGGAAACCAGCCTGTTGAGATTGGTCTTTAACCCGGTATAAAGGCTTCACAGTCATTTCCCCACTGTGAGTCACAGTGAGTCCTTCTTGCCAACAGGCTACATTGGTTGTTACCATGAGACCTGGTGACGACATAAGACTCCTGCCGTCAGAGAGTGAGAGAGGAGGTGGGCGGGACAGCCAGATTGGCAGATGAGTCAAAGGGGTGTCTCTGCACCCGTTGAGTTAGTGAAGACCGTAGTACCTTTGTGCTTGTCCCGTTTATGCCTTAGTGCCTGAAGGGGTCTTATTCTGGCTAGGGCCTGCTCACGCTGGTTCATAAAAATGGGACCAGGAAAAACAAGGGGGCCTGGGGGAGAAAGAAACTTTCACATGCATGCACAATGCTCACAAATGGGAAAGAACACATGATAATACTACACCACAACAATGCACACACACTGAAAAATAATTAAGAAACAAGCAAGGGGGAAGTCACCAAGGCCAACACCCAAGCTCACTCAGCACCTGAAAATTATTCAAAACTAAAAAGGGGTGGACATACTGTTTGTAGCTTCGCCCTATTCATTAACCTCCACTCCCACCTTCTCACTCTCCCTGAGCCTGTGTTTGATTCTCTATCATACAAATCTTAACTTCATAAAGCCAAAAAAAAACAAACACACACAGCGCTTCCATAAACATAGTCCCAGTCTGTTTAGCCCTGATCCATACCTCTGCCCTCCTCCAGCCTGTGCCGGCGGTTGATCCTCTGTCGTTTCTCCTCCTGACGGATCTGAATGTGCTCCTCAATGTTGACTCCTGGAGGGGGAGGGACAGGCACAGCTGAAAACAAAAAAGGCCCCAGGTACAGGCAGCCCAGACAGGATGCAGGATGCAGGAAGAGGATGAGGAGGGAAGATGGAGCAGAGCAGAACAAAACAAGACACACATCAATGAATGATGGAGAGACGTAATGGCAAAGCAATGACTCTGCATCACACAAGAATAAAACAAAAAAATGAGCAACAACAGGTGTGCGAAATACTACATCCAAGCAAAAGCAACAGACAGTATGACAAGTGTAGCATAAGCAGCGCGCTGGCAAAGATCAGAAGTACATATAGCTTGCACACATCCTGGCTCAAGACAGTGATAACAGGTATATGATTCATCAGACTGTGGTTTTAAGTGAAATATAAACATTGTGAGTGGTAATGCAGGTGAGATGTAAATATTGTACAAATGACAGTGGGAAATAGGGGAAACATAAAGTCATATAAGATATGAGTTGGCATACCTAGCAGCAGGTCCAGAGGAATCATCTCCTTCACAGCATCAAAGATGCCTCTCTGTCTGGCCTCTTGACCATCCAGCTCCCTGGCACAAGCTTTGCAACAGCCACACGCTGAGCAGCCAGACTCCCCAGAACCACAGCCACAGATACTGGTTGGTGGACAAATACACAGACACAATATTTAGGTTGTATTCACATAGTTAAAAAGATCATCTCCCTGGTCATATTCTAACGACCACCTTCACCCCTTCCAGTTTTGTGTCTTCTTACCCTCCTGGTACTCTGTCTGGTCGCCCACTGCTGACACAGCTGGCACCATAGCCAGTGCAGTCTCCACACACCGTACAGACCATGCACTGGTCCAACTTCCACTTGTGCATGCCTGGTTGGCACATCATGCTCTTCTCTTCCTTCTCTTCAAGCTCATCCTCCAGGTCTTCATCCATGGCTGTGGCCATGCTCTCTACACCAAACGCTTGAAAAACACACAGGAGAGTTATTAGACTGAGTGTAGTACAAAGGCAATGTCAGTATATGTCAGACACAATATACAGTATGTTATACAGTATGTTGTTTGTCTGTATTTGTCCATCTGCTCACCTTTCCCTGCCTGGCTCATGGCTCCAGTGTCTCTGCCACACTGGCCCTTGTTATTCACCCCAAATGTCCACACTTCACCACTCTTGGTCAGAACACATGTATGGGCCTTACCCATGGCAACCTGAGTTACAAAGTGACCTTTCAGGTCTGTCACCTGGCCTGTGGAAGCAAAAAGTAGTGATTATGATAAAAGTGAATAAGATGGCTTTTAACAGAGAAATATTTATAGATAAATAAATGTTTTATTCTTAAAAAAAAATCTTTAACCTGTCTTTATCAAAGCAATGTAGTCGCAGACAAGAATCTACTAAAATATATCAGACAAGATCCCTGAAGTTGAGAATCTGAAATAGCCCTGTCCCAGTTAACTCACAGGTGCTGTCACTGTAAATAGCATCTTTGCCAAACATGTAGAGCTCTCCATCCTTGGTGACAATGCTGCTGCTGCCATTGTTACACGCTGTATACACTGCTGTCTTGGTCTCTAATTTGATCATCTTCTTGGGCTTGTACGGCTTGGGCTGTCTGCGACTTTTGGCTGCAAAGGAAAACAACAGACTTTACCTTTAGAACTTCAACTGAAATGGTCTTTGATTCTGTGTTTAACTAAGGTTGAATAAATTGTCTTACTGGACTCTCCATCCTCTCCCTTGCTGGCAGAGCCTGTAAAGAACACACTTCCATCTTCTGCTACGAGCAGTGCATGAGAACCATCATGCCCGACTGAGAATTGAGCAATCTTGGGAGACTTTGTAACGGGCAGTTCCACCCATTTTCCTGCTGATGGGCCACCCTGCTTTATACCCAGGCTCTGGTATTTTCCTGTGTAGTAAATCTGTGAGGGGGAAGATGAGGTAAGAAGATTAAACAAATAGCAAAAATTAGAAAAAGATCAAGAATAAGAAACAATTCTGAGGAGTCAAGGATCTATAGTATATCCAATTTAGGGCAAAAGCTTAGCTAGGGTTAATTTTCCTTAGCCTTAGTCCATGTGTATATTATTTTAACAATTCAAACAGAAGGGGTAACTTGTGATGATACATCAAAGGCTGCTGCGGGAGGTGAGATCATTCTTACTATGAATCATCTGACATTCGCTTTCCAAATTACACAATCCAGTAGCTTGTAAACCCTAGACTCTTTTGCTAATATCACATGTCAGGCATAATGTCCAGCCCAAGTGATGAGTGAACTTTGAGCCAAGATACAGGTCAGCTGCTCCTATTTTTACCCATCCAGCCAGTCTGGGTCAGGGTAATCTGCAGATAAAGTGTGCTGTGAGATTAGGCCTCTACACAGACACAGAAAAGTGCAACAGGCAACTGCCCTGGACTGCTATCTACAAAAGAAGCACACAGCACCACACCTACAGTGCAGACACACACAACCACACCCTCCACACACCCAAACCAACTACATAGTTAGCATTCTCATCTTACACACACCATGTCACAAAAAGTGTAAAAAAATCTACTTCAACAAAGCACAGCTTCCTCATAGTGATTGGGCCGGCTTTCTTCGATTACATAGACCCTGCAGTCTAACTCTGAGTCAAGTAGTCTGCCGAGCCAATTCCTCCAACAGCCACTGTACACAGACGCAAACATAATATCTATGGTGTTTACTCTACCTTCGTTTAAATTTATAGTATAATACTGTTTGTTTTTCTATTCTTACATACTGTAAGTTCATAAACAACGAAGCTTCACTTTCAGTGGGCCCTAGTGGATTTTCCTGAAAGTGGACATTACACTATAGGCCAGAGCTACTGCTTAGCCGGGTGAAATACTCTAATCACTTCCAGTTAGTTAACCATGGACATCACTTTATAGGCTCAGGGTGTATATAACTTCTAACAGTAGTTTGGTACAGAGCACAATAAACATAGACCATGAGACATCCAAAACTACAACTCCTGTATGTTCTGTAACACAATTTAGCTTAGAGGGCCACCAAATACTCCAAAACAAGAATACGTGTCTTATTGTTATGCTTTAGTACAGCCTGATCCTTGGAAAATCTGAATATAGCTAACTACATACAGATGTTATGAACTCAAGGAATGTTAATTTTGTACAATGGGCTTTATGTGGCCAGTGTGACATAGAGGGAAGAAAACACATGCCGAAACACAATTAATTTAGAGCTTCCCCCCCAGGTTCACCCTCTGAAGGGCCTGGCATGTCATTAGCAAGACAAAAGCTGTTACAGCTCTGCAGCTGAGTCCGTTCCAACTTTCATTTTTCTTAAACATTTTCAGCACACCACCAGAGGAGATGTTCACTCTCACCTTTCCCGAGGCAGTTTTCATCAGAGCAAACTCCCTGCCTGCTCCAAGCAATGCTGCCTCTTCATCAAAGCCTGTGCCTGAGAGAACAACATACCATTAGGATCCAGATACACAATGAGACAAGAATGGGAAGCAGGTTTTTTTTTTTATATTCCTTTGTGTTTTCAACAATTTATGATACCGTTGCAATCTTTTCAACACATACAATATGAAATGCCTTTAGCAGGTGTATGTATGCAGATGAAATCACTACTCACAGCCTCATACAGATATTAAGTGCATTTTTTGATCACTTACTGATGATGTGCAGATCCTTCTCGAGGTCAAAGAGAGAGATGCCGCAGGCGTGGAGACATTTCCTTGCCAGCTTCAGCTGCAGTTCCTGCTGCAGGGCCGGGTCTGAGCTCATAGTATAGATCCGTACCACAAAACCATCCTGCAGGAGTCAGGGCCAACAGGAGAAAACACTGTTTAGCTTCACAACACCAACATTGCTACAGAGTGGCATTTGGATATTAGGACACAACAAGCCCTTGGTTTTTGAAAACATATACCCACTTCACCTGACTGAATGTGATATTCAAAATAAATCAAGCTCATAAAAGGAACAGTTCAAAATGTATACAGACATAAGACACGCAAATAAGCATATTTCCCAAAATCTACTGACTGTTAAATGCAGTTTGTGTCAATCTACTGTAGGTATGGCTTCGGCATTACGAAATCTGTACAAAAAGTTTTAATATTAGTGGCTATAGCAACTTAAAACCCCATCCATGTCAGTGTTAGAATATCCATTTGTCTAAAGCGTGTGACATCTATCCACAACTCACACTCTGACTTATTGCAGAGAACATAACGGATGCTAGAGGCGTGGGTTAGCCAGACTGCAGGGGATGTGGCTAAGAGAGACAATTTACAGGGGAGAGTAAAGAGAGGAACACAACAAGGAAATAATTGGGAGACAACAGGGATATAAAAAGGGATGAAGGGTAGGGTGGGAATGGTCTGGTTTCTACTGTGTGGTAATGATGACAGATTTATTTATTGTGCTTTGATTTCTCCCGAGCAAAGCACATGTGCCGCTCAAATCATTAAATAAGCGCCTATACCCTTTGGCCTGTACTACCCCCTAACCCCTGACTTTTCCTCCCTACATTTTACCTTATACCTCTGAGTATCCCCTTGACCTCCTATAGTTTACCCATATCATCCTTTTCTTCCTGTCATCTGAAACCTCCTTACTGTGTGTCTCATGTGGTTTTCCTCAGCCGTTAAGTGGTCTATGCGGTGGTTGCATTTTCTGGCTACTCACTAAAAATGCATGCAGCTTCCGAGGCCTCCCCCCATACAGTATACCACCCCCTTGATTAGCCTAGAAACTGCAACCCGGGAGGAAGGCTAGCTGCAATGGCAGATATATGGATTTCAGATCTTCCCCTCCCCCGCTCACGTTACAGAGTGCTTATGCAGATAACTGCTTGAGAGATTAAGCTCTCTGGAGAACCACATCTGGTGCCACTGTCCTCACTGCCACTCCCACATATACACAACACACCCGCACATATAAACACAGACATAGCTACCCCCCCGTTGCACAGCTGGTGATCAGCTGAGAGTCCTTCAAAGTGGGGCTAGGGCGTCTACAACGTCTACAACAAGGGAAATGACAGATGCTTCACAGGGCAGTTTGAGGGGGAATGACTATTCTCATTTTAATTAACAGAAGAAAAGATTTGGTTTTAATGAGGGAAATAATGCAATGTGGAAGACAGCTTACTCAGTTGCACAAGATAAAAAAAGATGATAAATGAGGAGCAGGGAACGGTTTGATTGCACTAGTGTGTGTATAAAGAAACTGATGACCATGCACAAACACAGTCTGCATTTCCTTTTAGTAGGGACAACAGCTCACAAAAGCTGACAAACAACAACCTCTCTGAGATTGAAACATACTCTATCAACCCATAACTTAACTGCTGCAATATAAATAAGGAAGATCAAGTCAATGACTATTCAAGACTTTTTAAACCTGACTGCCTGCAGGGGATTTAACGGCAAACCAATCTTATAAGCCTATAAATGCACATAAAGCCAGCCACCATTTTTTTTTGCTGGGTTCAATTACACATGTAGGGGAACTCCTGAGGAACACAGAGGATTTCCCCTCCGATACCGATTCTTTACGTTTTAAATAATTTAAAAACGTCTTCTTTTGAGGAGCCTAGGAAAGATGAACATTACTTACGTCTTTGCAGGCTGCGATCTGGTTGATGTACTCTCCATCTGTGAAGATTATGTTCTGTCCATCTGAATGTTGACCTGAAAAGAAAAGTAAGAGTGAATAAATATTTTTCATTGGTATTTTGATGACTTAACTTCCATCGGGTGTTTTTCTTCAAAACAAGCCAAATAAAAGTGTTTTCTTTGCACCTGGCATGGCAACCGTTCCCTCATGCTCCAGAGTCTCAGGGTTGATCTTGATGGCCGACATAGTGTGGTTACTTGTGTCCCGATACAACAAGTACCCCTGAAGACATAATAGAAACAAATAAATGATAATGACACTGTATTTAAACAAGTTATTGTTTTAAAAACAGTGTTTACAGCTGTTGAGACTCAGAGACAAACACTAAACTAAGCACTGATGACAGATAAACAACTCATTGCCTCTTCAAAGCCACCTCACTGAAATGTATGTGAGGAGCATCTTGATGACAACCTACCTGAGCAAACCCCAGCCATGATCTCTTCTCTTTTCGATTCCTGATACGAGACGTGGAGTTGTACACATGGCCCTGTGAGGCATTGATAACACATAAGCAGACAACCACAAACACTGACAAACCTTAGTTTAATGTTGGCAGAGGAAAAATCAGCAGACGACAACAAACACTGCCATGTAGTGTTGGTCATCCACTTCTTTAAAGTAGGAGAATAGAAAGGAATGCCAAATTATTTATATAGCACATTTCCTACCGAAGGCAAGTGCTTTACAAAGTTCATGCATGGTTCTCTGCTGTTAGAAAACAAAACTGCTGCTGTAAGCTGCCAATCTGCAAGTGGGAAATACTGTATGTAGGGTCACTCCATGTTTAAAATTGATTTCATCACATGATCATGCGTAGAAAGTCAATTCAGTCTTTTTGCTATCACATGCATAGCTTTCCTGCATACATCAGACACAGACATACAACTCAATTGCCAGTTTATCAGGTACGCCTAGCAGATTCTCGATACCAAATCAATACCACGGTGAAAAACAAAAACAAAACAATAAATCCCATATACTCTCTCTCTCTCTCTCTCTCTCTCTCTCTCTCTCTCTCTCTCTCTCTCTCCTCCCTCCCTCTCTCCCTCCCTCCCTCTCCCTCCCTCCCTCCCTCCCTCCCTCCCTCTCTGACACGCACACACAATGGTACCGGTGCCCCATCTCTCTCCGTTTCTCGCCCTGCACGCGTCTCTCTTGACTTTCTTCAGCAGTAACTTTTATAAAGTTGCCCAAAAGACACAACTCGTGTTTGAGATTTTTTTCACCCACGATTCCGTTTTAACAAGAGCAGGCGAAGCGGGTGTGGACGTGGCTCGTTGCTAAAGACATAGCCTATGGAAACGATAGAAAACAACCTAGTAATGAATTTCATCAGTGCCAGGTGATGTGTTCACTGCTGTTAACTATTGCTTTACCTGGTCCACACTGGTAAAAATAAAATAAAGACGTATCTGCACCAGAGAGTGTCTGTGACTGTGTTTTTCTGCAGAGCAGTGTGCGACAGTCATTAGACTGTACAGGAGGTGCCCCATCAGGTTGGAAAGAATTGATTACCCGGTACCTATGGTAGTTACGGTACTGTAGAAAAATGTCACATTTTCAAAACATTGGCATCGACTTGGTACTTAAGTATCGGTTTTTGTGACATTGGTATGCAGGACTGTTGTATTAGACTGCATCAGTTTTAACTTAGTGTACCTAATGAACTGGCAACTGCTATCCTGTGAAAACCATTTATCTCTAAATCATCAACCTTTCCTGAGCCAAGAACAACAATCCATCCTTAAAGTTTTATGACAGTAGATTTTAAAATAATCCAGTTTAACAGTTCGTTTATTTTGAGAATTTTCCCAACCCATAAAGGAGCACTTTATCCTTCAGTTTACCTGAAAAAGTCACCAGATTTGGAGATATGTGCTTATCACTCGACAGTGACAACATGCAGCTTTGAGTGCTATGTACATACCCTGACAGTGCCGCTGTATCCAGAGCCCACTTTGTAGAGTCCGTCCTTGCAGAGCAAGTACAGGAAGGAACCATCAGTCTGTAGAAGACAGCGCTCATCCTCATCAATGGCTACCTCTTTCAGGACCCACTTGTTCATCAGGGCTGCGCGTTTGATGCCATTCCCAAACCAATCCTGGATTTGAATCTTTCCCACCAGGACAGCCTGTACACTCCTCTGTAGTGCGTTCAGTATGGTGGGCACCTGGTGAAATTTAAGAAGACAAGGAGGGTGCTGAAAGAAGAACTGCAAATGTCTAATGTGACATAATGGAAGTAGACGATGCACCAGGTGGGAACAGGCCAGTGAGTTTCTTTGTTGCTGATCGAGTCAAGTTCTCATGTTAGTGACTGAGACTGTAGTTATTTTACCCTGTTCTCAGTTTGTCTGAATGCATTTTCACATACACATTTCTCATATTGTTTCAATGGCAGATATAAACACACATCGCTCACAGAAACACACATATACACAAGCGTATACAGCACATAAGCCCACACTTCCCATCAGCCAGCCTGCCATTGTAATGATTCACAGTCCAGTCAATGCCTAAAAGATGAGCAACCAGGAAAAAACAAACACACAGGCCTGTGTCTGTGGGGGATAAATGTGTGGAGCTATAAAGTCTCTCTGCAGCCCCAGTCAAATGTAACAATTTTATCCATATACAGATAAAGGTGAAACATTTTTATGGTTACAAAGCCTACACACAAATCTACTTACTGTTTAAGTTACAGTTTTTGTTTTTAAAGAAGCAATACAAAAAATAGAAAGAAACAGAGGGAGGAGAGAGAAGGAACAAACTAGAGATTGAAGCAAACAGAAGAATTCAGGAAGGGTAACGTAATCAAACAGAAGAATCAGAGCGGCTTGACATTTTCCAAAACTCAATTTGTGCTGTCCAGACACTCCTTTGAGGCTCTCTGCTCAAAGGAAATGCATGGAGGAGCCAGAGGTTACTTTATCCTTCTTAAATGCACTTTGTTGAACTAAAGCATTTCCACTAACCTGAAGGAAAAACCTGAATAATATATGGGTACAAATGTCTTGGTGGAGGTATTTTGGAAAACTAACAAATTCAACTGGGTATGTTAACAACAAGACAAGCATTAGATCAACTGGAATGTATTCAGTGTAAGATAGTGAACAGGTGGTCAGTACAAAGATAAGAGCTGATCATCCGTAGTTATCAGTGCCAAGAAAGTCTAGCACAACAAAATAACTAACTATGCAAAAGCAATGTTTGGACTGACCGACTTATTTCTATCTTATTTTACTGTGTGCTTGAATCAGAATCAGGTTTATTGACAAGTAAGTTTTTACATACGAAGAATTTTCCTTGGTACATTGGTGTGTAAGAATCCCAGTCAAATGCAATGAATGCCAGAGATTAAAAATAAAAATGAAGAACTCCAATTGTGCAGCCCTTACCTGTATCGTCTGGCAGGCATGGCTGCCGTTGTTGGTGAGGATGGCAGAGACGGCCTGCAGGATTTTGCCAGTGTCTCCCCAGGCCACCACCAGACTAAAGAGACAGGCGCAGGAAAGAGCAGTGATGGCCTGTCCTGTTGGGTCATTGGGCCCTGTACTCCGGACCGTGGTCTCCAACAACAACTGGAAAAGAGACTCTGAGGAAGCATACATGGTGGGTAGGTTAGACATTTGTGAAAAGAGAAAAATAGAGGAGTGCTGTATGTAAATCAGGCTGAACAAAACATTATTAACAAATTACAATATAATTCAGACCAATACAACACAGCATCTAACTACAGCCTCAACTTGATTATTATGTTGCAACAAAATATCTTTGACAGGGTCAATAAAACTGAACCTTTTAACACAATTTGTTGCAGGGCTTTTGAACTGATTAGCATTAGATTGTACACATCCACCTGAAAAACTTTTCAACCTTACCTAACACATCAGGAGGCTCAGTCTGAAAGCCCTCAGGCTGTTGTCCCTGAAGCATGTCCAACAAGGCCTGCAGGCTACGCAGGCACAGTGAGGGGTGAGAGAACCGAGTCTCTTTTATCAGCTCAAATACCCCACACAGGCCAATGCCAATGATCTGCACACACAGAGAGAAGCAAATTTGTATGAGCTAATGAACACTATGCTGTCATACCACGGCCCAAGACTAGCTGGACTAGCTGTGATACCATTTTACACAGCAAATGAAGATGACACATACGGACATTGTGTATAGACATAGTTTTAAAGACAATCACCCGTTTCTGTCAACACTCTACTCTTATTTCCCCTGTTAATAATGTTGATACAGTAAGTAATCTGTGTCTTTTAATAATTATTCCAAATGAACAGAATTGGAAAACAGATGCTTAGAGTGAATGCTTACTTTTAATAGCATGGCCTCATCATAATACAGTAAAACAAAATGTTTAGTTGGGGGCCCACAGTATGTACAGTTACTACCGCTTCAAGATCCACTATTAAGATTGTGAATAATGATAGACCCACTTGAGTGCATGGAAAAGGGAGGCAGGCAAAGGAGTTTGGCCTAGAAAAGGATGCAGTCCTCTCTCAGTATGGCTTGTTAGTGAATCAAATAATGCTTCAATGTTTCTTCCTACTTCAGTGAAGAACTTGTTTTGTAACAGTCAAATGAAAGCTTAGCATCAGTGTATAACTAATAAAAAAGTACAATAGAACAGATAAAAGGTAGATAAGTTTATGCCAATTGGAAAAGATATAAAAAAGACAAAACTAAATCACTCAAAAAATTACAGCAATATATATCAGCAGTAGGTTTTTTAATTGATAGGACAAAATAGATACAGCCTTTGTTTTCCATTATGTCAATTCAAAATCAAACCTATCCATCTGTGACATTCCAGTATGTAGCTGCTAAACAATATATACACATCAACACCAATTCTTAGGGATGTATTCGCCTTGTTGACTGACTGCCTATCTGCATATAAGATGGCATTCACTGGTATCAGTGGCCAATATTTATCTGTTGTACCAAATCAATTTTGTGCTGGATAAATGTTGTGCTAGTTATTTCCTACTTGGATATTGGAGAAATAATTACCCCCTTTTTCCAGCACTGGCACAAATTGCACACATATGTACTCCATGCAGCAGTACAGACAGTGAGTGGCTGATGAGGATAAGAGAAATAGACTAAGCTGCAACAAGGCAGAGATGCTTATCTCTGTATTTTTTATTTATTTATTTATTTTTATGTTTACCCAGCAAAAAAGGGGGAATAAATAACAGCAAAAAAACACTGGTATCAGGATCGGTGAGATGGTATCAGCTATCAGACAAATCGTTATTTTAAACATCGGTATAGGCCCAGATTTTACCAATCGATGGATCCCTAACAATTCTCATCACAAACATGTACAAATACAGAATTGTACAATAACTGCTGTCGCACTGTATAATTGTTTGTCATGTAGTAGAGTATTTTAAAGCAGCAACACAATGTGCATGAGAGATTAGAAAAAAGTAGGGCATAATGCAGGTAATTTGAAGGCATCCCTGTAGCTTAATCCTAAACTATGTTGTACAATTGATGTTCAGCTTATTTATGGGGCCCCTGCTGCCTCACTTGGATGACAAGTGTTGCTACTTTATCTTATGACGGGACTGTAAGGTAATAGCCTTTTACAAAGTCAGCAAACACCCTTAACTTCCTCCCTTTATTCTGCCATTTATGGCACAGAACCTAAAATAAACCTTTGACACATTGCCTCTAGACACTTTGGTGTTGTATTTATTTGTTCATCATGGATTGCACTTCTATTTTATGTTATCTAAGACAACAGCAATAGGCTAGTTTACAGACAGGGCAGTAGGGCATGCAGTAAGTCAGGTGACAACACCTTACTTGAGTAAGGCAAACTTAATAAGAGTCCACTCAGTTCATAGACAGTGAATCAGAAAATAACTGTCATTACAGACTGAATATTCAATTTTGTTCACACGTACGAGAAAAAGCTTACATTTTAAATAAAAACTGAGAGCCCTGATATGAAGTAATAAAGATAAACTGGCAGGCTCACAGATTACAAGGGGGAGTTGGGGTAACAGAGCAGAGGCTCTAATCCTCACAGGATGGGGGTTTGAAACCTCTGGTAAAATGTCTCTAATTATCACAACAATAAGAAGAAGGATGAGCCCTACATACAAGCCCGGGGAGATAAAGGATTGTTGCATCCCTAAGATAAAGAGCACTGGCTGGCTCTCGCCATATTACAGTATGCTGCTGCTCATACCTTTGGCAGCTTCACGGCTGGCTCGCGGTACTCTTCCTCCTCCTCACTGTCTGAGTCGCCGCTCTGCACCGAGCTCCTGGAAGCCAGCGCCAGGGAGGCCTCTCTCTGCTGCCAGTCCAGCACACAGTGCCGCACATTGCAGTAGACATTGAATGCAGATGGGTTGCTGTGCAGTTTGATGTCCGGTACGCAGAGGGCTCCATCTAGACCATCAGCCTGTGGAAAAACAGTAACTTGTGAGTGGTCGGCAAAGCTCAGCAAAACCTTTTCTTAGCAACAACAAGTGTGATATCATTTGGTACACCAATAAGCTATTTAGCACACCACATAGTAATTTATAAACTGCAATATCAATTCTTTATAAGTATGTCTAATTGTGAAGAGTTGCAGTCGGTTGTGTTTACACCTGTAGTTTGCCTCCCTTGGTCCACTGAAAATAAAAGGCACCTTACTTTAAGCGTTAACATCTTTTTATTGAAACCGTCTTTGAGACACAATAGTGGTCTCCTGGTGAGACCATAATGCCTTGAGGGCAAACAGTCAAACATGACTGTATTTTGAGAGAGCAGCAAGCATGCTTTAATTAGATCTCTATGGAGTAAGACAGTTTCTGTACAAAGCATGGGCTTTAGCTTCTAGTCATTTTTGAGGCCACTTGGTTTGGACCAAAGCAGAAAGTAACGTATTGCTGCATTTGGGGTCCTGTCTGTTTCTAAGAGGAGTTGTAAACATTATATCACAGGTAATTCATTCATTCATTTTGGTTTGTGTCCCTCGACTGTTCATGACTCATGCAGTTGCTTAAGAACTCATTTTAGTGTACATCCATTAATGGACACGCCTAGCCAAAGCAAGTCTCTACTGACCACAGTAAGTTTGGTAATTTCTCAACTGGCTTTACGAGTAAAAGCACATCTGAAAGACACAGGCTCCCAAACATAAACCTAAAAGACTCTAGGTAGATGTTAGCGGTTACATTTGGCTTTGAATACAAAATTATATAACTAGAACACAGTTTTTATGCAATCGTTTCTGCCTTTGTCCTTATGTCTAGTCAGTATTGTACAACTGTGACATAAAATTACTCCTTCTTTTGCTTTGGCTCCTCGGGACTTTTGTTCACACTCAGCTTGGTAAGAGTTTACCCATTTCTAGATCAGCTCAACACAGTCACTGCTGTTACAAAATGGCTTACCCAACATTTTACATAACCAATGAATGAATCAAGTTAAACTGGTTATGAATTGACATATTATCACCTTTCAAGATAATATGTTGAACTTGTTAGTAAACTGTTACAGAGAACCACAGGTCCAATATTCCATCTCTTTTATCCCTGTTTTCGGTCTTTACCAACTCTTAAGGGAAATATCTGCTAAATGTTCCACTGTGTTGTTCACCAGCTCGTTGCTAACTGTGTCTGCCTGCTGTTTCGTGTTGGGATGGTAGTTTATAAAAACAGTACCTGCTACAGCCAAAAATGACATTATGAGAGCGATGAGAGTGAACTAAAACACTCCTTTCACACTGACAGTTTTCAGTTTTCACAGTGTGATTTGAGACATTAGTATAGTAAAATGTCAGTTACAGTCACTTTAATAGTCATTTTGGGGGGCTTTAGTTAGTGGTGTTGTTGTATGGTATTACTTATATAAATGAGGTGGACCAGCCAAAAGAGAAGATTTACAATAAAATCATTATAGCAAACCTTAAGCAGTTACATCCAGTAATCGTTATGATTAGAGAAACTACACTCTGGAGAGAAACTTGATAAGCTTACTAACTGATAAGCTTTCTCTATCACACCAAGCAAGGCATTTTTAACTACAGTCCTGAGGTAACCTCTAGAGAACCCTATTGATCGATTGTGCCTCTCTTGCAGTGTTGCGCTTTTGGCTTCACAATCACAGAGGGTGATGTCATCTATTTGGGGAGAGAGGTCATTCATTCTCAGCTCAAATCAGTGGGGAGGATATTAGCTGCCCTCTCATCTAACAGTACTGTCTACAGCTCTCCTGTCTTGCTGCTAGAGACGCAGTTGTGACAGTGACTGTACAGCATTCACAAAGGAGCACATTGCCTGTAAAGCATACTTCAAAGGATTAAAATAACCTAGAGATGCTATAATAACCCAAATATATAAAAAAGGGAGTGAAATGAGTTTCTTGGTATATGTAGAGACCAAACAAAATACTGCATGTGCATTGAAGATGAGCATTCGAGATAGGATACCTTTCTGGCTTATAAAAAACGAAGAAGGAGGGTCCCTACTAAGAACAAATGTGATATTACAACAACAGTAAACAAAATCTAACTTTGTTGTGTGGTGCTATTATTATTAAAATCTGAAGCCAAGATTAGTTTTAGTCCCTAGTTTCAAATATGTTGAGTCTTGTAACTTCCATAATGTAACTCTATAGCATATTTCAGTGTCTGCTATAAACCCAAGTCTTTCCAACTCAACGCTCAATGCCTCCAGATTGAACACATAGAAATCTGCACTATTACTACTATCAACAACAACAATCACATATGTTACACTACATCTGATTGGTTACATCTTACAGACAGAACATGAAGCAGCTGAAACATGATCCTCACGCTGCAAGTGAAAATTGTCATTGGCAGGTTACACTAGAGCAAACAAATTCAATTTAAAACTGAACAAATTATCAGAAAAGCCATTAAAAGTGACACCTTCACGCTATATCATGTTGTACAAAAGCAAAGGCAGACACAAATGCAAAGCCAAATGACCTTCTGATGTTTTGTGGTTTCTTCTCACTTTTTAAAAAGGCACCAACCCATCACACAAACACACTGTTCACCTGAGAGTTTCTTTTGTGTTTCTGTCTGCACTTCACTGCTGATTTAATAGCCATCTAAAAGCTTTGGAAAAGGCTGCTATAGAGCCCCTGACCGCACTTAGACATCCACACATTTCAGATTGCTGGATTTATGGAAAAATAAGAAAAAAAACGTTTTCCAAACTGTGTCTTCCAAAGCAGAGGCTCAAGCGGAGTGAGTGTGAGTTTGCACCACCGTATCAGATGAGTAAATATGCAATAGGACACTATTACAATACTTAATATTCATCCAATAATCCCTTGTAATGTTAAAGACGACAGACCATGCCTGTCTTTACTCAGACTCAACCTTAGACCGCATGCACCAAGATAGAAGTATAGTGCGTAGGGGGCACCAAGACCTTTGGGGTTATACATAAGAATCCTCAAAGACTCTTCTAACCATCTGAAGGGGGAAAAAAATGTCTGTCCAATGCATGACAAGACTGTTTCCTAACCAGGTTACTGATGGCTACCATCTTTGTTTGGATTAGGAAAAAGATCACAATGAGTTAAAGGTCTTTTGTAATCATGCAGCAGACAGAATATTTTTTCATCCATACAATTAAAAGTATTCTTGAGGATTATAGAAAGATCATCAGAGCAGCACTAAGTTTTGTTAAACAACCTTCTGGGTTTTCCAAACATTGCTGCATATTTATTTTTTCTGGAGAGAAGAATGCTTAGCTCTGACTGTAAGGCTGTTAATACATGAGAGGCACAAACTGGGGCTATTAGCTGTCATACTTAATAATGGCAAATAATTTTGATTCTACAATCAATACTTTTTATGGATATTCTGTCCATTTTTTATATTAATAATTTAAACAGTGAGATGCTACACAATTTTATTTGACTTGATCGACCCATTTACTATCTAACTACCAGTAATACACAACAGCATTGTTCTCTGTCATATCTATTTCAATTTACCTAGGTTATAAATACATCCTACTCAGTTCAGTCTCCTACAAATTATGTTCCTCTGCAAGCCATGTCAATATGCATCCCAAATTTGAATCTCTTCACATACAAACAAAAAATTTTTTTTTAAAAAACACAATTTTTTTTCTAACTGGTTTTAGCTACCTAACCCCCTAATATTATTGGAATAACCAGCTGAAAATAATTGTTTTTCAAACCCCTCATCTTCTGATATACTGAGGTATGTATCTTGCTAATGAGAAAGTTGGGTTTACACTTTTTATTTAAAGATACAGTTTGATAAATGTAACTGACACACTTATTCATTCACACTAACTGTAATTTCTTCAGTGTAAAAGTGTAACGTGCAGCGAGTGGTGGGGGTTCCCAGAATTCAAAGAGGGGTCAGAATCATGGTTTCAAGGTTTCATGCAACAGTATGGATGACTAATTTATAAGATACTTGGTATCTAACACTTTAAGGAGTACCTCGCACTCAGATTTGAAAGAAATGATACAGGTGCACTGCAGTCAGGCAGATTTTATAGATTATATGTATTACATAGACATAGGGCCTGTCCTCACGAATACGCGGCCTCACCCAATACGATGTCGTTTCGGAAAAAATCTCCGTAAACACGGCGTCGTTTCCAGAAATATCTGCGTCCACACGGATTCACTGACAACGACCCAAAACGCTGTAGTACATATGCCAGGCCTGTATGTGGCGCTGTGACGCCGCCACACCAATACACTAAAACCAGAAAAGAAGCCATGGAGCATAGGCAGTTTACAAACAAGTAGTAGTAGTCCGCCATTGTTGTTGTTGTTATGACACGAGAAAAACGTATTCTTGAGGACAGGTCCATAGAATGCTGCTCTGTTAAATGTATAATTTGTAACATTATATTATAGTAAAAAATATATCACAACATATCTGCTTGTAAACAAGACACTGTGTTTTGTTCTGACTCCACTTTCATATGTTTATAAGCACAGAGGCAGACAAAGGGGGAGAAGAGAACCTTTCAAACCACACTCTTGTCTGACCATGTCAGTGTGAGAGGCTTGACAGAGAAAGAGTGAGCACAATATACAAATACAGCATGACTGCCCATCTAACTGCACACGTTATTATGCCTGCCTGTCAGCCAGCCTTGCCTACCACTCCAATCTCTGTCTCTAGTGTATCTTCTGCTGTTCCAGGACATCAACTCACTGAACACAAGTCAGCCTGAAGAGAACTTAATTGACTAGCCCACTGTACATTGAATTTCTTGTCTGGGATAGTTTTGAGGTACGAGACGACCAACTAGTAAAGCCTCTGTCTTTTTCTGCTACGATCACATCAATATCTCTTGCTTTTGCCTGTTGGAAAAAATCACTGTAACAAAGTTAAATCTAAACACTGACTAACAACATTACATGCCAACCACAGACCAGGCTACTCTCTCACTCTCTGAGAAAAACAGCGAAGAGATAAATCAATATAATCTGAGTGGATTATATTAGTTGTCATAACTTGAGGATCACCTGGTTAGCATGCAATGTCTACAGCAGAGGCAAAAACACGACCACATCCAATGATACAGACCAGGTTCCCTCTTTGGATGAAGGAGATGGAGGCAGGCAACTGTTGCCGTGGAGATGTGGAACACATTAGGTCGCTCGGCAACAGGCCATCATGCACAAGCCAGAGCCACTCCCATTTGTCTCACATTGTGCCCATCCACCTCTCCAGCTTCATGTGTGGATGGGCTTCCTGGCACCTGACCAGTCCAGCCAATAACAATAGTTGTTCTGCCAACCACCTTCAGGACTGCAGAGAATCTAACCTTATCTTTAATCTGATCCTCAATCTGTTAAATTCATTCATTTAGCTGTAAGGATTTATCAGTGCAAACTTCAGGCTGTGACAGTTGAAAATTAAAACTGTCAGTCATATTGTTCTTATTAATATAACGCCAAATATTACATTTATATTTAGTCTATGAAATGTTTTAAGACATACTGAGAATGTTAGGCATCCCTCTAATAAATATTGCACCTACTTGTGATTTGTATTGTATTTTGTTTGTATCGTTTTATTCATCAAGAGGTATAAACAAGTTAGGTCATTTTATATATATAGCTCCTCTGAACATATCTATTAATAATATTCAAATATAAATACAGCAATAGTAGCATTACACAGAAGGAGGAAACGGTGTAGAATTGTGTAACAATTGGTTAGTGGTCTCTTACCTTTGTTCTTGATTTGACTTTTGACTTGACCTTCTGTCGCCTTTTCAGTTTCTTCTTACTCAAAGCCTTTTTTCCCCTGAAAGTATACAGTGATCACTCAGTATTGCAATTCATACTGTATGCTTTGGCAATAGTTGCACTCAAACACATAGCATAACATTTAAGACATTTTGTTTCATGTTATCACAAGCTTTATCGTCATCTTCATCATTCATTCATTTGTTCGTAACAGGTGTTCGAAATCTTGAATCTTGTTTCAGATGTCTTTGATGGTTATCTCACTTTCACTTTTTTATCCTTGCAGAGTTCGCATCTAATGCAGCTGGCAATGTCCTTTGAAGTGCAGTATACCCAACTCAACTGTCAGTGTGTGTTGTAGCAGTTATCACCAGATTCAGTGTTTCTCATCTTGACAAAGCCCCAAAACATTTCCTTTACAAATCAAGCTGCCAATGACCCCTCACCTACACGTCGTCCCCCCCACGTCCATCCCAAACAAGACCACAACAGAAATAAGCCTTAGGGCTTTATTGTGGTATCCTGACTTTTCCTTTTATGTAAGCACTCACTGTCCTGGCTGATTTGGTGTTTTAAAAATGAAACTGCCAGATAAAATCAATCAATCGTGACAAGTGCTAGGGACCACAAATAGTATTCCTACTAACAACAGAAGGGTAGTGTATGAATTAGTAATAGTTATCACTACTTTTTAAGGTCTAAGTGTTAAAATAATAATATTGCACACCTCTTGCTTTCTTGACAAACTCAAATGTGTATTTTTGGTTTCATCACTGTTGTTGCATGTAATCTACAACCCAGATACTTCACTCTCAGATAAATGGAGAGATTGGTGTCAAATAAGATGGTAGTTCAAAATAACATGATAAATCTGTATAGACTATGAATTCAGGAGTGGGTTATGAAAACACCGGTGTCAAACATTTCAACAACAGCTACACTGACCCATGAAAGCACTGTGTATGAGTGAGGGAGGATGCTGCACTCATCCAGCTACTCAGTCCACAACCTGACAGACTGACTAGAATGACGTAACTGTATTACCCGCTTATGCCAGAAAATCAAATGAGTTCATCCTCACCCACACATGTCAAACGTTTTAGGCAATTTTGTTTATTATGAGTAGTACAATGTATCTATTGTGCGTTTAATTGACTGTGTAGTCGTTATCAGCTCCGAGATTCTTGAAAAATAAATCGGTGTTTTCCGTAAAGACAACCTGGGGAAGGGCTGATGCTCCTCAACGTCAGTTAACGTGACGTTAGCTAGCTTTCGAAACAGTGACGCCGTTGGGCCTAAATACACACAGCCCACCAAATCAGACAGTATTAAATGACTAGATAACGTTAATATATGGCGACAACCAACGCAGTGACTGATTAAACATGTGTGAAACAAAACAGAAACCCCACAGGGTATTACATGAGCAGTGTGTTTGTTTACGTTTAGCTGGCTCTGGGTATCAGTTAGCTAACGTTAACGTTACTGCTCAAAACAAATCGACTAACCGCTGTCATGACAGTGAGCAGGCTAGCTTGTTTTGGATATAGCTCCGTGAATAGTGCACTTTTTTTTTCCGTTGTCGTCGTTGTTGCCGAAGTGGGTCGTGATTTTATTTCAGTGACACTGACAATGTGTCCGCGTCTAACGCAAACACAAGGTCCAGAGCCCCCCAGAGTGCAGACCACTCGAGCAGGGGTGAACTAACGTAACGTTAGCTTAGCGGGCTCCGATAAGCTAGGGAAGTCAAAGCCAAAATGCTACCTAGCAAGCTGACCCACCGCAAGAGTGTGCACCCAAACTATGAGGGTCCTGGCAAATTGTTTGTAGTTAAAACAATGACTTGTGTGATAAAAGTCGCACTAGCTTAAGAGCTGAGCACAACAATGATCTTTGACGTTGCTGGTGTTAATTGAAGTACCGTTAAGTAAGGGTTAATGTTAGCCTACGGTCGTTAGCTTCGTTAGCTCCACAAATGACAGACCAGCATCTGCGATATCTGTATTTTCACGTTAGCTACTCACCTTCCTTGATTTATCCCCTGCTCTTTATCATTGATAGCGGTGGTATAAATCCGCCTGTATCTTTCGGCCAGAGCTCTCCCTGAGAGTAAAAGCTGGTACCGAGTCCGACAATCCGACTGGGCTCCGGTTGTCGGACAAGAACCCATTCCCGAACCAATGGTGGAAAGATCGGCTCCTGCTCCAGAAATGACCCTGACACCCAGCCCCATCGACGGCGATGAGGAGGGCAGGATCCCTCCACCGGCGGCCGCTGCCGCAGCAGCACACATCATCGTTTTGGAGAACAATGCATATATCACACAAAAGATATCACAGCTAGATAATATCTAGCCATCAGTTGCAATCCACTTGTCATTAAATCCGCCACATGTCACATTATTTGTCCGTCCCAAGTTGCAGAAATACCCCAATTAGCATCCACGGTCCCCCAGTTATTGTCAGCGCAAATCGTAGCCAATCTGGTGGTGCAGCTACAACGTACGGGTCTTCCGATCTTCCACAGCGTCAACACGGTGCTCGCCTCGTCGAAAATATATCTTCTCAAGCCATAACGAAATTTTCTTAAGAAAATAGCAGAACCGTCAATCTTTAATTTCCAAGCGTCGCCTTGTCGTGTTTCGGTTTTATTCGTTCCTTGAATATTTCTTGACCCCAGAGAGGCAGCACCCTCAGTTGGGCTGCCATCTTAGCTCCATCATCCCTCCCCTCCCTGGCTGAGTCTTGCGTCGCTAGCATGCCGGGATATTTTCATATGACTAAAATCGGGCGATGCTATCATTGATTTATTTGAACGATTACCTCCCTGTGTACAATTATTCAGATATTCTTTATTTAAACACACATTGCATTGACAGGCGTGGAAGTGAAAGCTAGCATTATGGATGGAAAGAAGAACCACAGAAGTTATTTTGCACAATGTGCACAGTTGGAATCTGGACATTTAATTTGTAGAGGTCTGTCCAGGGCCCCTCCCAGTTTGATCTAAAATTGGCACACTGAGATACTTTGGAAAGCGATGAAGCGACCTTTAAACCGGTGTTGCATTATGATAAGACTGATTTGGTTTTATAGTTCATAATCTCTTCTCTGCTATCATTTACAATCCATTTAGCCCACTACTGTAACGTTAATTAGCAGCCGGAATAATGTTAGCATTGTACTTCCTTCTCCAGTGACCACTGTATAGCTGTGACATGTGGCCATTTGATCTCAAACTCATTAGTTTGCAGAAGGATTGCAGCCATCTTTTGATTAAATCTGGATGGCACAGTGGTCTTCTTCACTCAGCAGGCCCTAGTCAAGGTCTACACAGCTCTACATACCTACAGTAAAATATGAACCCTTTTATGATATGGCTCACATTTAGCGAGATAGCAGATACACTATATGTTTATTTATGCCTAAAAATTAAATTGCATGGGAACACTTAAATGCCTCACAAATCCAACATACAGATTATGATGATAGTAATACTTTCATTTTCACTTTCTGACACAAGAGTGCAGGAGGAGCAGGAATACTGCAGGGGGGAATCTGGGAGACACTGTGTTGGGTAACAGCAGTCCAGATGGCAGTGAAGGCCAATAACACGCTGCAATACAAAAGGTGTGCAAAGGAAAACAGGTGCAGGCGGTGTGTATTTCACTGAAATGTACGTAATGTGTCCCTCATACACGTATGTCTGACTGTCAACATGTTTTTAGCAAGTTAACGTCCACAATGCTCCATTGTACTGAATCTCCCTAATGTCAAAGTTAAAATTAATGTCATCCTTTTAAAAGGGTGGTAAAAATGTATGTAAGTGTGGATGTGCATGTACATTTATTGGAGAGAGAGAGAGAGAGAGAGAGAGAGAGAGAGAGAGAGAGAGAAAGAGATTTACACAGGCCCTGGTGGTGCTTTATTGGCTGTGAAGCATTGCAATGGCCCAATAACAAGAGAGGGGTCGGTCTACAGCCTCTTCTCATAGCAACCCAGGAAGCATTCAGAGATAATCATGCGCAGTATCAGAGTGCTAGTGTGTATCAGAGATGACAACTGACTGAGGAAGAATTTATTAACATAAAACGGAGGGACAGTCCTATTAGGATTTCATTATGAAATATTGGAAGTGAAAAGCAGCTCAGTTGAAGTGTATTGTAAAAGTCTACTGAAGTACTGCTGACATCCTTGGCCCTCTTCTTCCTAATGGTCTTTAGGTTATAAAAAGAGAGTGATTTGGCATTGAATTGTATAACCTGAAGATGCAGCCACATCCAGAAGCTCATTTAACCCCTGGTTGTCTCAGTTCTGTCCTGTTAGGACAAATGGAGGAAGGAGGGGTGGGATATCTAGGCCAAGATGATGCCATAGGTCAGGCAAGAGTGTTACAAGCGTGAGCTGAACTGGCAGGGAGAAAATCCAGTTGGTACACATACATCCAGGAACTGGAGTTGGAATTTAAAAAAGTATAGATAGGGCGCTGGAACGATAGGAAAGTGTATCAGTGTCATTCAGAAATATTTGAGCACATATGTTCTATAGCTTCAAAAAAATGCCTTTGTTGTGTCTTGACTTTCACACTCACTAGCTGATTATAAAATGGTCAGGACATGCCTTTGGCAACTTGTTTTTTTTTTGTTTATTTGTATAGTAGTTGCAAAACCAGTATTTTTCATGTCCATCATTATAGCTCTATCACCACCCAGTGTCAGTCATTTCCGCTTGAATTTATGCATCCATAAAGAGGGCAGGAGATTATTGTTAACTGCAGTAATTCATTTAAAATACTTGAGCTTGATTGTAGTTTTTGTTTCTACATAAAGTTAATTACTATGACTTAAATTAGCAGAGCACGTTGCTTACTCAAAGTAAACATTTAGTTTCCCTTAAAATGTGATATTCAGTCATGCTTGTTGATACAGATACATATTTCTCTATTAAAAATGTACTTCAGGCTGTGGACACTTAGTCTGCATTCCTATCATGCTCACATTGTGACTAGGAGGGGTTCACCTCTTGGTATCATGCTGTCACACCCCTGCCTGCTATGTACCTGTCATACCTTCAATCATCCAAGACATGACACGCCTAATAATGGAGCTCAACTTCAGGTCTGATTGTACAAGTTTTATATGTACTCCTGATTATTTAGACTTCTGTAAGTTTGTTATAACTAACCCCTTTGGATGGCACAACAGATGTCTTAATCAGTATGTTTCATTCGAAGTTCCAGTGTTTAAGTCTGTGGTGAAATCTTAGGCAACATTTGCCACTTGCGTGATATGTGCCCATCTTATTACCAAGATGTTTAAGTTTCTTTGTAAAAGGTGAAGGTGTAAGTACTCATCACAGATATTCTGACATTTATTGGACTTAAGCGATTGGTAGTGATGGTAACTGAAGTTGAAACCACCTCACGTGTAAAGTCCGCTGTCTGGTACTGTATTGAAATGGCAACAGGATATCAATACACAGTCATAATGCAGGATAATACTTTAGAGGGAGCTTGTTTCTTATATTAACATCAAAAGTCAATAATATATGTAGACCAAAGATCAATATATATTATAGTTCCACTTGCATTATGTCACAGTTAATATGGATAAAATGTTTCACATCGAGATTACTATTTAATAGTGTCTCCATTAAATACTATTCCATTAAAATCAAGGTCATTGCAGGTTAGAGAAGCACAAAACCCCACACCCACATTGTAGTTCTGCTTCCTTGAAACCTGAAAAAAGTTGAATTGCAGGTCCTTCAGCACTCCACCCAATGCTAATTTTATTCAGCCCACAAACAGACGGTGGAACAAGTAAGGAGGTATTTGAATGGTGGTGACGGAAAGAGAAAAATCTAGAGAGGGTGACAGAGAGTATTCTTTGATTGTTGTCTGAAGCCACACCCGTGGGTGGCCTTGAAATCTCCTCCCTTAAGGTTAAAAGCAGAAGGAATGACAAGGGTGTGATTGTAAAGTGCAGAGTAATAGACAGGTGTTAAGCCTTGAGCCCTAGTGAGAGTTTACTTTATCAGCCCAGCAAGACACAGAGTGAGGTATGTACCCCAGTCTCTTTCTAAATCCTTTGCCAGTTTCCAGTTTATTCTAATATTTTTGTGCGCTGATATTTCATACTTAGATTAAAAATGTGCTTAGAAAGATTGTATGTGTGATAGTGAGTTCTTTGAGAAAAGGTGCTTTGTATTAAGGTGCTATGGTCCTAGAAAAATAGAAACAAAAACATACTAAATAATGATTATGTAATAATGTAGCAATGTGTTCATTACAGAATGTATTTTTTTTTTAGGTAACTTTACTGTGAGGAATACATGTTGTACTGATACATTGACTCACTATAGACATCTCACACACATACACACGCTCTAGGATGTCAAGTCCAAACTTGCTGTTAACTGTTACCTCATATCTAGAAAACTGATTGTACATAGTCAACATTAATCATTTGTATTTTAAGTGCTAACTTGTACAGTTGGAACAGCACTTTCTGTTTTGATAGAACATTTTCACTGATATGATCGTTGATCTGATCGCTGATCTGATCGCTATGCCACATGATGTTACATAGTCCTGAAATGAAAACATCCCTTAAAAATTGAATTAATTAACTAACTAACTAACCCTATTTCAGATTTGGATTATTTAATAATCATCAAGAGCAAACTTTGAGACCTTCCAGTCTTACAAGACTAGAAAACATATAGACTCATAAGCAAAATATTCTATTTGATCAATCTTAAAATCTGTTTATTTTTGTCAACAATTTCAACTGTCCAGAAAGCTCCAAGACAAGTTCTGTTTTAGCTCTTTAACCCAAGACATCCATTACAAACTACTTTACACAAGGAAAATGAACCCAACACTTAACACAATAAATAATAGTAAATTAAAAATAATACATTTTGGACTAACAGCACTCAACAGATGGTTAGCTTGGACAGATGTTGCAATTACAGTTGTAACTGTAGTAGCTGCAGATGACCTGACTTAAAGTTGCTGTTATGAAAGTGCTTGAGCGTGCATGTAGTCTAAAGGGCACAATCTTTATCATCAATAGCTAATTGCATGTCACTTGTACACTGCTCTGTTTTGCTGACAAAGGTGTGTTTGGAGAAGGTGTGTTATGGAGGGTGGGTGTGTTTTGTATCTAAAAATCAAGACAAACCAGTTTAGGGCTTAAACTGTGAGTCTGGGATTGAGCAGAGCTTTAGTTGATATACTGCAGACATAGTGAAAGATAAAAAGCATTGACTTCTTAGCTTTCTGAGTTTTAATGTGTACTGATATCAGGTCAAACTTCAGCACGGAACAAGCAGTGTGTTCGAAAAGTCTCAGCCCACAGGGCCACCTAGTGGCTAATGTACTGTAGTCCCATTATTTGATGAATTCTCTTCTTGTTTCTCCTCTCACACTTACAGGTGAACTTACAAAATGAGCAGGTTCTCAGCAAGTAAGTATTGAGAAATATCGAATAATAACATGAATTTCCATATAGTGCAGACACTTTTTGTTGTCACATGATGTTCTAACAGTTTAATAATAAATAATAATAATAATTTAAAAATATATTAGACTGCATATGTTTTTAGATTTTATCCTTTATATTTCTTTTTATCTCTAATTCCTATTTTGCCTTTTACACACTAATGTTTACACACTGGTCTTTTAGCATAGCCTTGAACCTTGTGTGCAGTAAAACCTTGAAATTTACTGCACATATTATTATTAATGGCATGTCTACAATAAATAATGATGATTTAGATGAATTAGAAAAATAAAAATATAGACATATGTAGTCTTAATATAATTATTAAAAACCATTCACATGTTAATTAGTACATATTAACTGGGTTATATTGTATTAGATTAGATTCATATAAGAGGCTTTACCTACTTAAAAGACGTGTTATTGCTTTAGTATGTGAACTGGAGACACTCAAGTTTTCCTTTTCTTGTGTTTGCAGCTAAGAACTCTCTCCTGCAGGACAACAGCTGGATCAGGAAAACTGATGATGAGGATGAAGACGTTGAGTAAGTCATGTAAACATAATGGCTGAAACACTGATAATATTCCCAGGCTGGCAAATGGGCTTACACACATGAACACACACATCTAGGAAACGGCAGAACTGTTGGGTGTGAATTGTGGTTCATATCTCTCATTTTACCGTCATCTTTAAAAAAGTCTCATTATACATTCCTTTTGCAAGCCACAGTGTTGAGTCATCTCTTGAAGTATGAGTTAATTAATTTGTTCTCCTTCTTTCCTCCTTCAGCCGAGACCCAAACTTTGGCAAAATTGTTCTAAGCCAGTACAGATCCACTGAAAATCTTGTGGGGTAAAAGAAACATTTAATCCTTTCCTCAAATAAATGACAAAATAGTGGGAAACTATTGTTTACTGTGGGGACTGTGTGTAATGTAAATAGAAATTTGAGTCAATAATATTTTTACTCATTGTGATATATTGTCTATTGTTCACAGTTCAGAACCTGAAGAAGTGCCTACCACCAAACCAATACGCACATCAACAACATCTGTGCAGGCTCTCTCCAAGAGGTATAATATTTATTAATATTCTGCTTTTTTTTTTTTCTTTGTAAAAGAAACACTTGAATGAACAGATTGTGACAAGAACATCTGATTGGGTCTGTCATTGCAGATTCAGTGGAAGTCAGGATGAGCTGAGGAGCAGGTTGGTGAAGTATTTTTTCCTCTGCAGACACACATACATTTTTACTCCAATCGTCTAAGTCAAGGCACATTCAGTAACTTGGGCTTAATAATGCCTCTTTTCTACTGGTAGCCCCCTCCCTTCCAGCAAGCCTATGTCCTCCTACACCAAAAGGTATATTTCCATACTGGCACAACTAATGCAAGAATAGATAGTGATTTTTTAAGGGAATTGTCTGAATGATCTCCCTCTTTGTTGCAGCACATATTCAAGCCTGAAGTCAGATTCTCCCAAGACGTATGTAAAGCTCCAGTCTATAACACATAATGCAAAAGTCAACAAAGACATTAAATATAATGTGCCGTCACTACAGTACCAATACAACAGAAAAATACTAGGCTTAGGATTTTGTAAATTTCTTTTGTATTACTCCTCCTTTAGCACCACAACCACTACAGTGACCAAGGATGGAACCACCATCACCTCCACCAAGAGTCTGAGGTAGAGAATATTATAACATTAATATGTCTCCTCTGATCACACATTTAGTCTGTGTCAGTTTAAGGACAACTGGGTTTTATTGCAGGTCCCCTGTGATTACTTCTCCCACCACAACCTTCACCGAGAGGGTCAAGTCTTCAAGCAAAGGGTAAAAATATACTACAACTTAGTACACAGATTCTTTCCTTAAGTAAAAGTACACGTACAACAGTGGGAAAACAGTCCATTAGAAAAACAAATATGGAAACCGTACATAAATCAGCTCCACCTAGACCAAGTACAATATTTAAGTTCTACTTTGATTTAAATACATTGATAATATATTATTACCCTGACAGGGGACATTCTGCATAGGAAGTACTTTAATTTTTTTTGCACCTAAAGTAATTTTTCCCCCCACTACATATGTAAATTTACTCTGTATACTTCTTCCACCAGCATTTTATTGCTGTAGTGGGTCAAGGTGAAGCTATTGTATACATATATGTGTGTATCTATCATATACACAGTAGCTGAATCCAGTGGTTCCAAGTTGGTCACAAGATAAATCTGATGGGTCATGAGATGATTAATGCAGTAGGGAAAAATAGGTTACACTTTATTTGGATTGTGCAGCTACAGATTAATGGGGTTTATGGAGTTACATAATAACATTTCATTAGCTTCATAATGAAGGCTTCATTGATCATATATTTGTGATTTTGACAAAGGGCACAATACTCAACCTACTCACCTACCAGAACAACCAAAGTGACTGAGACAACTGTTACCAGCAGTAAAGAGTAAGATATTGTCACATTATTAAATTACAGTAGAATTAAATATTTTACATTACTTATAATCTAACCTGTATTTCTTTGCAGTCCGGAGGACAAACTTTACGACTCACTCATTCCTCCATCTATCAAGGATGATTTTTCACCTACAGACAGGTGATACTTTCATTCATCAATCCTACAAAATGAATTATATTGATCATGACTCCAGACAATCAGTGATTTTATACTGTAAAATGTTCTTCTTTACAGCAAAACAACTGTCTCCAGTACTGAGACTGTGACGGTGAAAAGCAGCCCTGATGGGTGAGTTTCTGCAGGACAGCTTTTACACAGTGATAGTGACTTTAAATACCAGTCAGATAAAATATTTTGTATTGTTTTGTTTTTTCAGAGACAGTATTAAAACCACAACCACTACAAGGACGTCCTCTCTGTAAGATAAACCTTTTTTTGTTCATAAATATGATTTCATAAGATGAGGCTTGTACTCATAGTCAACAGTGCTGACACTAAGTGAGTTTCATCACATAGTGAGTATAATGCAGGGAGGCCGTACTATCTCGGTGACATTATTTTCAAGTTAGTCAGATGAAAGGACTTTTTTCATAAGGATAAGTCTGGTGATATTCTTACTTCTTTATTGTCAATAAATTCCATCAAAATACAAAAGCAATTTATTACCAAGAACATGGGTACTGTGGTTTATTTTCAGTCAATCCCACATACAGCACCATGCTGCCATTATCAAACAGTAGAGCACCAAAAGTGTATCAGTTCGCTGCTGAAAATAGTCCCCAACAAATGCACCATTTCCCCATTTGAGTAATGTTTGTTAAAAACTATAGACTGTTAAAGAAATAACTGAGCCTATTTTTAAAACTAATTAAATTATATGAATATCTATATCTTCATTGGAAACCAATGGGCCACAGACAGGGTAGAGATGTCATTATGTACCAAGAGACATACGAATGTTGGCCTTATCTTTCAAAACTATGACTCCAACAGGGATATTGTCTATATACTGCAATATCACTGAAAATTCATTATGTAAGCATAATAAATGTTCATCTCCATTCCCACCTATAGACATTTAGGTTAATTGGAGGCCCAGGCGAGTGTGTATAATGTGGTCTTCCAGTCCAGTGCCCCCTTCAGTGTGTCTCTGTGTCTTGTAGCCAATGTAACAATGGATAGATATAGACCGTATAATGTTATTTTAGGTAACATTATTCTACCAGCATTAGTTTCTGTTTGCATTTAAGTGAAACTGTGTGACTTTTGACAGTACAAATAACAGAAGTTGAATTCATAAGCAATAAAAAAGCCCCCTTACTCAATTCAGTATACTCATACACTTAGATGTACGTCACTTACAATTTAACCTGTATTTCTGCGCAGTGCGGAGGACAAATTGTATGACTCACTCATCCCCTCATCTATCAAGGATGATTTCTCGCCTACAGACAGGTGATATTTTCATTCATCAAGCTTTGTAAATTACATTGATCATGATGCCAGGAAATCAGTAATTATATATTAAAAGTTATATTTTCTTCTTTACAGCAAAACAACTGTTTTCAACACTGAGACTGTGACAGTGAAAAGCAGTCCTGATAGGTGAGTTACTGCAGGACAGCTTTTACACAGTGATAGTGACTTTAAATACCAGTCAGATATAAATATTTTGTCTTGTTTTGTTTTTTCAGAGACAGTATTAAAACTACAACCACTACCAGGACTTCCTCTACGTAAGATAAACCTTCATCAATCTTTTTTTTTTTTTTTATAAATATGATTTAAATAAGATAAAGATGAAGATGAAGATTGTACTCATAGTCAACAGTGCTGACACTAAGTGAGTTTCATCACATATTGAGTATAATGCAGGGAGGCCGTACTATCTCGGTGACATTATTTTCAAGTTAGTCAGTTGAAAGGACTTTTTTCATAAGGATAAGTCTGGTGATATTCTTATTTCTTTATTGTCAATAAATTCCATCAAAATACAAAAGCAATTTATTACCAAGAACATGGGTACTGTGGTTTATTTTCAGTCATTCTCACATACAGCACCATGTTGCCATTATCATACAGTAGAGCACCAAAAATGTATCAGTTCGCTGCTGAAAATAGTCCCCAACAAATGTACCATTTACCTGTTTGAATAATGTTTGCTAAAAACTATATATTTGAGCTAATTTCTAAAACAAATTCAATTCTATGAATATTTATATCTTTATTAGGAATCAATGGGCCACAGACAGGGTAGAGATGTCATTATGTACCAAGAGACATACGAATGTTGGCCTTATCTTTCAAAACTATGACTCCAACAGGGATATTGTCTATATACTGCAATATCACTGAAAATTCATTATGTAAGCATAATAAATGTTCATCTCCATTCCCACCTAGAGACATTTAGGTTAATTGGGGGCCCAGGCGAGTGTGTATAATGTGGTCTTCCAGTCCAGTGCCCCCTTCAGTGTGTCTCTGTGTCTTGTAGCCAATGTAACAATGGATAGATATAGACCTTATAATGTTATTTTAGGTAACATTATTCTACCGGCATTAGTTTCTGTTTGCATTTAAGTGAAACTGTGTGACTTTTGACAGTTCAAATAACAGAAGTTGAATTCATAAGCAATTCACTTACAATTTAACCTGTATTTCTGCGCAGTGCGGAGGACAAACTGTACGACTCACTCATCCCCTCATCTATCAAGGATGATTTCTCGCCTACAGACAGGTGATATTTTCATTCATCAAGCTTTATGAATTATTTTGATCATGATGCCAGGAAATCAGTAATTGTATATTAAAAGTTGTATTTTCTTCTTTACAGCAAAACAACTGTTTTCAACACTGAGACTGTGACAGTGAAAAGCAGTCCTGATAGGTGAGTTACTGCAGGACAGCTTTTACACAATGATAGTGACTTTAAATACCAGTCAGATATAAATATTTTGTATTGTTTTGTTTTTTTCAGAGACAGTATTAAAACTACAACCACTACCAGGACTTCCTCTACGTAAGATAGACAATCATTATACCCTCACATAAAGGATTCTACTCATAACCAGCATATATTCATAATATTGTTGTCTTTACAGGGCTGAGGATAATCTGTATGACACCCTCCTGCCTAAATCCATTACATCTTCTCCTGTCAGGTAAGACGTCTCAGTGAATAACTTATAACAAAACGCACAATCATTTAATTATCCTATCAGTAAAGCGTCACACTGTCGTTGTCTCAGCAGTACCAGCATCAAAAAGAGAGAGATGAGGTGGAAATTAATTGCTTGAGACTGTGCAGACATTCTTTGTATGTATGGCCTACAGTAGTTATCCTACTTTCTACTGATATTGTCTTTTGTGCCATTTAGAGGAGAAAGCCCAACTCTCTCATCGCCATCCTCCACCCGCAGAACCACCAGGTAAACATGCTCATTACAATGCAATACATTTTAGACCCAACAATATCTACCACTCCAGATTTGGTGGCATTAAAAAGAGCTGGCAAATCCCAAAAATATGTTTTTCTAAGATTTTAGTTATCTGCAGACCATATTATACAATGAAACCCACCTAAAACATATATCTTATCAAGAGCATTATTGATTTGTAATTTACAATGACTAAAATTAAATCTTTTTAAATCGCCAAGTGACTCTAAACAGGTTAATAAAGTTTAGCTTTTGAGGGCTCAAACAAAACTAAAGAACAAACAATATTTTATTTATTTTATATTTTAAAGAGAGGTCTACAACTAAATAATGTATTCTTCACTGATCTTTTTTTTATCCGCTAAAGGTATTTAGCATTTAGGCATTTAGGTTAATCTGCGAGCAGCATTATCAGAGTATTTCCTGTCCTTTATGGAAACATGACAAACTGTATGTCTTAGCTGATTTCAGAGATCACGGTATTTATATCCCTCGCTCATTTTTACACGTCAACCAACAAGATTAAGAGCCTTAAGCCGCACTGTGACGCTGTACTTTGGCACAACGGTGCTTTGAGCTAAATGCTAACGTCAGCATGCTAACATGCTCAGAATGACAAACATGTTGATGTTAAGCAGGTATAAAGTTTAACACTAACATAATGTGTCGTGTTAGAACGCTAACATTTGCTAATTAGCGATAAACACAAAGTACTGCTGAGTAACAAGCTTTATTGAGACAAATAATCGTAGTTGTGATACCTGAATTATAAACTCTGGATTCTATCATTATAAACATCCAAATAAATACAGAAATAAAAGAACTGTTCAGTTGCTACCATATCCAACTCATTCCTATGCCTCTTTGACACACAGCTACAGCTCGTACACTGATGATATTCCTTCTACCCGGACCACCTCCTACACCATCAGCACCAAGCCCAGGTAATCATTCGACTAAATCAACATCTCTCACACTCAAACACACACACACACACACACACACACACACACACACACACACACACACCTCTTCCAGGGGTTTCTCTGCCTGTACAACCAGATGAAAATGTGTCTGCAGTACTTATGTTATACCTAACCTGTTGTGTATTTGCACTCACAGTGAGGACTATAGCAGCGACCTGAAAACCTACTCTTACTCCAGACCAGACTCCAGGTAGGAAGCATAGCAAACCAAGACCTTACATGATTATTGTTATTTTCATTCTCTATACATTAAGTAAGAAATATCCTAAATCTCACATGTGATCTGTCGTCCATTTTGTCTTTGTTTAGTTATGAGTACAGCAGTATCACCAGTCCCAGTGTCTACACCTCGCCATCATACAGGAGCAACAGGTATTTAATGATGAATATGACTCATAATATTAATATTGGTGTACAAACATTATATGAAAATAAAATCTGACTCTGTTACTTATATGATAACTGTGCAACTCTCACAGCAGGTCAGATGACATTCTGGCAGATCCAATTTACTCTAAATCCTCCACAAAGAGTGTGTATGCATCTCCTGAGAGGTGGGGAAAGTGTATCAACATTCTTCTTTTGCCTTGGAAAAAATAGTTTACAAAAGAATAAGTCTGTAGTCGTGCTGGCGGCTCTGTGGCGCTGTACTTTGACACAACAGCGCTTTGAGCTAAATGCTGACATGCCCAGAATGGAAAAGCTAACACGCTTGCTGATGTTAAGCAGGTGTAATGTTTACAATCATAATTTAGTGTGTTAGCATGCTAATATATGTTATATAGACTAATATGGGACCATTGTGGTGTAGTGACCAACCAACAGACAGACGTTGCCATCCTTAAAATCTTAACTCCAGGTCCACTCATTAGCTTTTTCCTCGAGTTTTCAAGTCACATATTTTATGGAGCATGGGATAAGATTTGTTTTTGCCAAACTACTGTTTCCAAGGCAAAGAATGAACTTAAAATATATATCATGCTGTTATTGTAATACATTGTGTAACACTTTATCGACTTATCCCATACAGGGCAGTGCTTGAGAAAGACCTGTGCACCTACTGCCATAAGCCCTTCAATGCTGATGCCAAGATGGTCCTGGATGACCTGAAGATCAACTGTCATGCTTCCTGCTTTAAAGTGAGCAGATTAGTTTAGTCTCTCCTTCCATAAAAGTCAGCAACAAGCAGTGGTTGAAGTGGTTGAAGCCAGCATACACAAAACCAGGGGTCAATTTCATAAAAGCAGTTTGTCAGAAGCAAGTGTAAATAGGGTCAGCCTCACATTTCACTAATATTTGTGTCTTGAAAATCGAAGATATGTTTGTGACCACTTTAATTCTTTCAAAATCATCTCAACAAGAAATATTTGAAATCGCAGCTTGAATGCTGCAAATTTGGTGAAATGGGCCCAATGACCCTTAAACAAAAGCAGCTAAATGGAATTCAGCCATTATTAAACTTACTGTTTACACCTGGGCGTTTCGTACTGTGACACCTTCTGTGAAACTTTTATTAGTAGCCTACATAACATAAGGTTATGGTACGTAACACAATGGTGCGTTCCATTTATCTTTGTCCAGAATCAGAGCTGGGAATGACATCACACCTGAGTTGACTGTGTTTTAGTACAACAACTCAGAAAAACAAGCTGTAGCCAGATTAGCTATTGGCCATAGTTAGCCATACCAGTTCATAACAATGCATTATGCTGTACAGCTGATTAAACGATAAACAAAAGACAGGAATGCTAATAAACACAATATTAGTCCAACTTTCACTCAGTTCTTCTTGGACTTTGAGGCTGGTGTTTTTTCGGACTTCTACTGCACTGTTCCCAACTTACACCTGATTATAAGTCCAATCAGCCTGAGTGACTGAAAACACCTGTGTGAGTGTTCAGATGCTTTAATCTGCAAAGTAACTACAGATCAATGTAGTGGAGTAAAAGGCGGAATATTTTCCTTCTGAAACATAGGGTAGGATTAGTAGTAGGATTATCCAAAATATCAAAGTACTCAGTACATCAGTACCGTACTTCCTGCACCACTGTAAATGTACCACTGGCAACAAGATGTTATCAAGAACTGTGCAGCTGACTGCTCAGCATGTACCTGCTCCCTCATGTGAGTGTTTGTTTGTGCTTTGGCAGTGTGCAGTGTGTAACAGCACTCTGGGTCATATGAAAGCCGGGGACAGCATGTGGATCTACAAACGCATGGTGCACTGTGAAAACTGCTTTGAGGTCACCAGAGGTAAAACCTTTTTTCTTCCAGTTCTTCATCTCTATGAAAGTCTGTGTCCAATAAATAATAGTTTATATGAATTTGTTTAGTTTGCTTGTTGATACAATAATGATAACACCTTGAATTAAACAGCTAATAATCTTGATATATATTTTTTTCCCCTACAGAGAAGTGGAGACGCTGAGAACCTTCACTGGAGATATATAAGGACATGAACAAAGATAGAAAGATAGAAATTGATAACTGTTTATTGATATGTTTTGGGTGACGTGGGTTCTACTGTACTAATGTTTTTACAAGCCGACAGAGCTTTACGTGGGTGTTTTGACAAATGACAGTTACAGTCTGAATATAGCTTTTTTTGGTAACAAGCAACCAAAATAGCAGCTAGTTGTAACAGTGTTGTTGACATCATGATACCACTGTCTCTGTATCTAACCCTTTCACAAATTTGAGCTAGCATTTCTGATATCCTCTTAAGCCTGTATCCTTCAGGGGACTCTTGTGTGTAAACATGATGGGAGATATTGCAACATTTAGGGCCGGGGGCTTTTTCTTTGTGCAATAAAGGCAACCAATATATCTTTATCTGAAAAAATGAGTAAAAATGTGTCAGTTCTTTTGGTGTTAAGTTGCCTTGTTCTTTATTGTATCATTATTTACTCTTTAATTATTTGTATGTATGAAGAATGGTGATCTGAGATATTTCTTTTGTCTTTATTACTGTTGCTAGACTAGATACCAGAATTACAGCCCTGTGGTTGTGTGCGTCCACCAACCCAGTTGCAGTTTACATCCATATCTGTCCACTCATATTATATATTTGGTGACTACTTAATAAAACAGTATAAAGTGTATGTTTTGGCTAAATGGAAGTTATCACTATATTGATGATATGTATGTATGATTACAGTGTATATACATTACCCATACTCATATACTAATTACTAAAGATGGATTCTTGTAGTGTAGCAATGGAAAATGTGCTGCTATCTTTTCGTTGAGGCGTTTCTTGAAGGAAGATTTTACAGTTCTACCCGACTTATGTTTCCCACTATAGGTCTGAGCATTCTTGCCCATAAGCAGTAATGCAAAACCCTCAGAAGGTCTGAACTGCAATTGTGTAAGAAGTATGAAAGATGTGAAAAAGGTGAATTGATGGGAGAAAATCTCAAGGGCCGTGAATGTTTGAATGGAGTTTCTCTGTGAACGTATGAATGACTGGGACTCTGTGAACGTATGAATGACTGGGAACAGAGGGGTGATGATAAGTTTACATTGTTCCATTGTAACAGCTTCAAAGAAAGGTGAATATTTGAGAAGTTTTAATAGAGATTCTTCATGCATTCAATGGAGACGCTCTATACACATTCTTCTATACATGGAGAATATGTTTAAAGTTTGTAATATTTATGCTTTTTAGGGATAAACATATCATCAAGGGAACTGATTATGCTAACCTAGCTATTTATTAACATTAACATTAGCATAACATTTTGTGAGTTAATGTTATTTTTGTCAAATGTAGGTTAATTCAACATTTTTAGTTTACATTTTTATTCAACATCATTTATCAAGTGTCAGTCTAAGTCGTTATGTCCACTATTTTACATCTCAGTCTAAACAGACCACAGTTAGGCTAAATGTCATTTAGCTCAGTTGAGCTAACAGTTACACATTGCCGTTAATGGGACTAAATATTTAGTAGCAACTAGCTAATCTCTATAAGAACTGTGTGTGGTGCAACCTGCTGTATTTCAGTAAATCTCCACTAAGTAAACACTTACAAAGCCGAGCTAGCTTAGCTGGCTCCTGGGGGAAGAAATAACACATATGGCAGGTATTTAATAGGCTGGTTCCAATATTATTAGACCTTTAGGCTAACTTGGTATTGTAATAATAGCATTAATAAATTAATAAATTATTTAATTTTCCTCCACCAGAAGAAAGGTATTGTTGACAATATGGATAAGTCGTTGAAAGAGCATAAGGACTTTCATTTAGCATAAAATATGGAACTAAACAATTAAATAAATATTTCAATTTTACATTTAAACATTTTAGAGGCTTTCTCGTTGGTGTCTGGAGTGGAGAGATAATGTGGACTCATAACTATAATATTCTTAAAATGGTATCTGGCTCCCTCAGTAATAATTTAGGTGTACCACGGATTTCTACCAATTTATAAAAATAAAAAAAAACATTTTAATATATATATTTCTAAATATATATAAAGGTCACTGTGTGTGTGCTTTGAAAGCGTCCACACCACTTCCTCGGCAGTGGTGTGATGGGAGTTGAACTCCAAGCATCTGACCAATGAGATGGAGGCTGTGCAATCATCCCAGTAGCAGCAGCAGAGGCAGCATCAGTGTGTGTGTGTGTGTGTGTGTGTGTGTGTGTGTGTGTGTGTGTGTGTCTGTGAGTGAGCGTGTTTGTGTGCGTGCATAGTAGCTTCAAACGAGGGGATCTTTACACCCTCTCTGAATTGAGCAGGACCCTCTGCAGGCAGGCCGTGCTTTTTCTGCCCCTCTCAATGTGCTTTTTACCAAATGGAAGCAGAGGTGTTGAACCCCCAGATGATGGCAGACGTCAATGGCAACAATAAAATCACCAACGCAGAGCTGGAGGTGTTAAAGCTTCAGGAATTAGTCCGAAAATTGGAAAAGCAAAATGAACAATTGCGGACTAGAGCGAACGCTGTAAACAATTGTTCCATCGGCCCTCATCTCCAGACCTCGTTGTCGTGTCTGCACGGAGGTACGTCGTGTCCGAGTGACAATTTCTGCAGTAAATATGGCATTTCGAGCCCGACACAGTCGCATCCGTGTGCCCCCGGACCCCGAGGTCCAGCGGAGGAGCCGTTAGCCTATTTTCAGCCGAGCTCGGTGTCTCCTGACGCCGCTGTGGAGGACAGTGTCGCCGCTGGAGCCACAACTGTTTTGGATGAGGTTGATATTTTGGACCTCAACATCGTGCTCCCTGTCGGAGAGCCTGATGGCTGGTAACTACTCTGTTTCTATCAGCCACTTTAACGCAGACAGATATGTGTGAATGTGCAGGGAAACATCGGCGTCCCTTGTGTTTGATCGGGCTCTGAGAGATGCTTTATAGGCCACAGGATTGTCAACTAGCCACAGTTATTATCACATTATGTGTAATGCTACCCTGCCGTGTACCCTCTCTTATTGATCACACTATTGATTCCTCTCCTGGTGGAGTAGACTTGCAGACACTGGCAAACAGAGTGACTTCTTACTGGAGAAAAAAGAACAAAAACAGATTTGACACAATCTTTGGGTATCCCAGAATGCACTGTGCATGCAGCATAGGTATCTGTTCAGAATAAGGCAGCAGTGGGATGAAATTAGAAACAATGACCCCCTTCAGCCTGTGATCAAACAGCTCAGCTTTGTGTGTGGTGTTCAGCCCCAGGCTGAACTACTTTGAAGCACTGTATGTGATGACTTAGGTAGCTCACACACTGACATGCTGGCTACTGAAGCGTTTCCAGCTTTATGTATCTGATGTGATGTGATGATGTGGAAAATGTAGCACACAGCTGAATGCAGCGCTGATGGGATCCAGCCTTCACCCACTGTGCCAGTATATATTCACTGCCTTTAACATTTCTAATTAACCCCCAAGACAGTGTAACACTACAGCCTAGTTGCCGAATAAAAGGTCGCTTTTGTTTGGTGACACATCATTTTTTTTTACAGCCCAGTTTAATTTATTTTAAGGAATCTGTCACTGCAGAGTAGCATAGTCACACCTTTATATTTGGTTTATTGATTTAATGTGTAAGCTTGTCATTATGAGCTAAATCAAAGCAAGAGATGAGATAGCTTGTTTTACTTTCGTTATTCACTGGTCAGAAATAAGAGAGATCCAGTAAACTCCATTTTACTTTCAGTTTTTGTCTGACCAAGACACAAGTATCCATGGCTGCAACAAATAGTTATTTTCAGTAGTCTTTTGATTATTTGCTTGATTCCTAGGTTCTTCATTTGGTGGATAAAATGTCAGAAAATAGGGAAAATTGCCTATTATAATTTCCCATAGCACAAGAATGCATCTTCATATAATAATATTCAATGTTCATATCTGACAAAGGAAAGCAGCAAATTTTAGAGAATTTGCCATTTTTGGTTGAATAATTATTAATCACTTAGCCACATAGTTGCTGAATAATCTCCATTATCTAATCCATTAATTGTTTAAGCTTCACAAGTATCGACCCCCTCGGTGATAAACCCTCCTCGGTATCTCTGTAGCAGTCACATACTCACATCCTATACATCACTGCACCGAAAGAAGCTGTCACTGCTTTAGTTTTTATTTGACGGATCGGTTTTATGTCTGCGCTAGTAAAATGGAAATTGCTCTATGTGGACATTTTGAACTTTTAGGGTATATTGGCATTTGGATTTTATAAAAATCACTCCCTTCACACAGTCATGGGTTTGCCCTTTGTTATAAACTGCCCCAAACCTTCTTATATAACTTCAGTCCTCTCTGTAAAGTACCACCATGGGCTGTGCTGTAAAGGTGTCAGGACTAAACTGTTTATTGTGCTGTGTGTTCAGGCTGTATGTGAGTCCCAAAGCCAAGCTTCAGGGTGAGAGTGCCCTCAGCCCTCTCCAGTGGTGCAGGCAGGTACTGGACCACCCGGGGCCCGAGGTGGAGCTGGCTAAGATGACCCTCTGTCATAGACTGGACCAAGGTACAGTATATTTACCACTCAGATTAACGGCCATCATCTGCAGCCACATCTGGACATCTGTCTCTCTAGCTGCTGACATGTGATCATAAGCTGTGACACACTTCACCCACAAAATGTCTCCATGTGTGACAGGATTTCTGAGCCGTGGGAGCGATTCTCTGCACCCAGTCGTTTATAACCATTTGACCATTTAACTCACTCTCTTTAAATTTATGGGTTTTAAAGTACCTCAGCCAACCTCCCACAGAGTGATTGTTTCTGTGGGAGTTGGAAGGACTCCCATTTACACCTATCAGAATCTCCAGAGAACAATTAAGATCTGTTTAAGGGATTTGCTACTCTGCTGGAATAAAAAAAACAATTCCATTTGGAGGAACTCGTGCTGTGCAGCTGGTCGGCATTACACTGTATTAAGTGGGAAACAGTGTAGAGAGGATTATGAAGCTGTGCTTAAATTATCACTGTTGCAATGCACCACCAACAAGTGGTTCTGCATACACATACTTTCCATTTTAGATTTTTTAAGGAAAAAATATTTTCAATTCCAGTTCATGGTTTTGAAATATTAAAGACTGAGAGGTTGCATAGACGAAGTAGTATCCACTGTGTACAGTCTTAACATTCTTTAATTTGGCTTTATATGGTATATTTATTGCTCAAAGTGCAGAGATCTTCTATTGTTCAGGAATGTAGGATGCAGAAATCCATTATAGCAGTTAATTTAATCATTAAGCATTTTTACCTCACAGTAGCATTTTCCTGTCTGTTTAGCAACACCTGATTGAGTTAAGTTCCTCCTATTTCCAATTATTTTCACCGCACAGAGGACAGCCCATGTACAACTTGGTGAACTACAAATGTTACAATATTCA